CCATGGAGATCCGAAGCGACAAGAAGGGCGTCTGTCGCTCGCTTTCGCTCGTTGAAGATGGCCACCACATCTGCCTCACAAGTGATGACGTGGGCTTTTCTGGTGGGAGGGAAGGCGACCTCCTCAATGTCGATGTCTCCGCGCTCCTTCAGCTTCCTGACTAACTTTTGGGCAATCTCATCATATACGGATGGCTTCACCTCGATGGCCCGCGCGGGGGTGACGACCAGGTTGAACTCATCACTGATGGCGGAAAGACTCGCATTTGAAAGCTTTCGTTCGTCGAAGGTGGTTGCGGGCGCTGATTGAGGAGATGTGAAGTGGAGGTACGTTGACCCGGCAGGGGCGTATCCAGGTATGCTGGCCATTGTTGAGATCTGGGAGGGCGATTGAGATGACGAAGGGGTCGGCTTGCCAGTTTAGATGATGGGGGAGTCGACTGGATGAACCAGAAAGAAAAAACCAGACGGCAAGGAAGCGAGGAGTAGCGGCGTCCAGTAGTAAGAGTTTGGACTTGGGCCGGCGGGAAGAGGAGCCAGATTTGTGACAGATACTATTGGGGTTTACTGGATATTAAAAACAGTCCGAGTGAAAGAGAGAAGGGAAGCAGCCAGAAATGTCAAGATGGAAAGGAGCCAAGGCAAAGGCGAAGGTGAAGATGAAGAAAGACCCAGCTGACTCTGCAAGTGTCCATAGACCCGCGTTAGCTTACATCCAATGATGGGACATTCATCATGAAAGGTGAGGCAATAATATTTCCAGGTGAAAGTCTTCCTCTGCAACGCTGTCTTTGCTGCCCGGCCCATAGTGTCTTGTTGGAAACAGGTGTAGTACATTCGACCAGGCTCTACAAACGGCGTTGATCTGTCTTGGCTTATACGCATCGGAATATTGCATCAGTCACCGACTTTTACCTCTGCCAGGATATGGCCATGATGGAACTCTATGTCACATCCAAAATCCAGAGAAAGATGTGCATTTGACCCCATGCATATTGCTATTGTTAATGATCAACCTGCTTATACACTGATATCTGCTACTAGTTGTCAAGACTCTAAGAGAGCGCGGCCAGAAGTCTTGGCTCGGGATTCAAAGAGAACGAATAGAGAACTGGAGCACTACACCAGAGCTGTTTGTGGCTCTAAGGTAAGGTTGGTGTGTGTTTTCACTCCCGTTTGCAACGTCCGACTGTCGATGCCTGTCTTGGCCCATGGACTTCCATCCGCTCATTGCCCTGATACAGATGAAATTGGTCTACCAGATTCCATCCGTATGCAGAGCTTGAATGCAGGTTCCCGCATATCTACGGAAGGCAGCGTATGATACCTTGGTGCTACTCTTCTTCCAGGCGCATATTACCGAAGCATATGACATAATGTGATGTGCAGTGCGATGTGCAATGCGATGCCCACAGTGAAGGTGACTCTACCTGGCGTTTTATATGACACTGTGTACACATTGCAACAAACGGAAGGAATTCGTCATGATCTTACGGGCCAAGTCTACATTCCAGTCTAAGCCTGTCATCCAGCCCAAGCCTGCTTCAAAGCTGTGATCCATAGAGGGATGTGAGAAATTACCTGAAAAATCGCCAAAGAGTTGCCTTGTTATGTTGTTATTATTCTCAATACGTATATACCATGCGGCATACTCGCTTGGAGATGATGACTGACCAAGGCCGGTGATGTAGAAGCTGAGAGAAAGGTGGGGGTTGCCCCTATTATAGAGTTGGCTGGGTCTGAGGCTGCTGAAAATCCGCTCATGGAAGATCCCATCTTCAAAGTATCCCGATTCGACAGTGTTTAGTTCTACAGAACTCAATTGCTGCAGCCAAATACCTTCATCATGCATGAAAGAGCTCTCGTCAAAGTAGGATGAGGTATTTGAACAAAGCCTTCAAAATTTTCTGCACCGAGATGCCCAAGGTGGTGAAAAAGAAAATCATAGGGTACCTGCAACATTTTGAAAGGAGAGCCTCCATTTGTTTGAGATTACAGTATTCAAGCCACTGTGGAGAAAGAGGTGGAAGCAAATTCACCTTCGTTGCCTGCGTGAGGCGTCTTTTGTGGTTGAGTTTTGTTCGTCCTTGGTTGATTGATTCGGAGACGGGAACCTTCCTTGCCGCTTGTGCAACCTCTGTGGTGGCTTCCCGCAAGGTACATACATCTTCCCCAACCTGAAAAGCCGAGACACTTGGACTTACAATATCCCCCCACTCTCACTTTCAATCTCATTTCACTCTCACCCTCAATTTCACTCTCGCTCTCACTCTCATTCATCACACATCCGTTTGCTGCCGCCTTTTCAACGGAAAGCAAATCCTTCCCGCCACTCTAGACCTCTCAGGGAGGAAGCGGAAGAGGACAAGAAAAACACGAGAAAGGGAGACGAGACTCTCACCATACCGAGTTTTCTGGACTACCTACCCATCTTCTTACTCCCCAAGGCTTTCTCTATTTCCACTCAACCTGACCACCTTCCTCCATTCTCATTTTGCAGCCAGAGTCATCGATAGCATCCGCAAGAACAGCCTGATACACCACTCTCTCATCGGCTTCATTGGCAACATGTCTCGCGTTTATGCCGATTCCGACCATTATCGCCCAGGCAGCATCCTGAACCTCACCAAGTACAGACCAGTCCAGCCTCATGGCACCTCTCAGTATTTTCCGAACCCGCCACCTGGCCCTGATCTTCGCCACTTCGACCCTCACCGATATTTCCTGAAGGATGAGCATCTCGAACTTGAGGTGCTGGAGCGCCTTTCTGAGAACCCCGGACCACAAGTCTTCCGTTGCAAAATCATTGCGTTGCCCTCGCCCGAGTGTATGAACAGCGACACTGACGCGAAGCTTCCCGTCCCGCAGACTCAACTCGTGGCCAAAGTCTTCGACCACAAGCTCTGGCCGGAATACAACGGCACGCCGATCAGCAACATCGAACTCGCTGAAGGCGCCCTCAGCCGAGAGAGCTGCGTTTACCAGCACCTCTATCGGAAGAACTTGACCGGACCGCCGCACCTCACTGCGCAGTACTACGGCACTTGGGCGGTCAGGTTCGCCGTCGGCAAGACTCCCAAGGGACGCGTCCAGTACAAAACCGTGGCTCTCATTCTCATGGAGTACATTGACGGCTACTCCATTGAGGATCTCTGCAACCGAGATGAATGCGGTAATCTCGTCCCGGACGATGAGCTGCCGTTGGAATTCCACCAATCCGACACGGGGCACCCGGTGCTTCTAGACATCAACCACAACACGCGGATGGCGGTTCTCAGGCAGCTCATCGATGGCAACGTCAGGCACATGCACACGGGGGTCATGGACGGCGACTATGAGCCTCGCCACGTCTACATCACAATGCGAGACGGAACCCGCGATCTCGACAAGCCTCGGACGGTCCTCTTCGATCTCAGTCGCGCACGCCTTTGGTCAACGACCAAGAACGCGAAAGACGCCGCCGATGGCATTCACTGCTTCGAGCTCGTCGAGCACCCGATTCATCCCTACGAGGTTGTCAGTGCCCCCGCATTGGGCGACTTTGCCGGATGGTTTCCTCAAGAGTGGTTCGACGAGGCCGTGGACGGGGATGCGAGCAAGGGAAAGTTTCGGGAATGGCTGCTCGAGGCTTTTGGCCCTTTGCTAGAGAACCCAAGTTACTCTACCTGCGCAGCCGTGGAGGAGGCCAAGGTCGAGAGGGACAGAGCGGACGTCCTGAGCAGGGTGAAGGCTGCGATGATCGAGACGGGCTTTCACATTTACCCGCCGCTCTACCACGCGGCCACTACTGTGGAGATCCCGCAGAGCTTCAGATCCCTCAATATTTCACACGAACCTTATCCCGCTCATGTTCCCGACGCGTCCCCGTGGGAGCCATCGAGGAACTTGGACGCGCCCTTGCGCGTCGAAGTTCCCCCGACTGACCCTCAGCCCGAGTCTGGTGCGGGTGCGACGACGACTACTGACTCTTGGAACCAGGGCGGTAGTGCGGGCGAAGCGTCTAACTCACACACGCAACACGATCAGCCGGCCTTGGAGGGCGCGCAGGCTCCCGACACGCACGAGAAACCGAAGCCCAAGAACAAGAACAAGAGGAAGAACAAGAAGAAGGGCAGGCGTGGTTGAAGCCTCTCTCTCTACCTCTCTCTTCTCTCGGTGTGTCTTCTCTCGCTCTTTTTTGCCGCATTGGAGAAGTCGACCTTGGTTGTTTGTCGGCCGCGGCGGGTGTTTTGAGGATGCCCTCTCTCTGACTTGAGCCGGGAGGGACTCGCTCGTCTTTTTTTTCTTCTTCTATCGCTGAGAACATGGGGACACATTGGGGACACGGCATTCGGGATACCATGATGACACTGGGACTACGGGCATATGGGAACATTGGCGTGGGCAGTTTGGAGTTTTCTAGATCTCTTTTGCATGTGTGTTTGGGTTTTCCCTTCACAACTGGTCTGTCCATCTTGGAGATGTTCCCTCTTCTTTTTGATGGGGGTTATCTATCTACCGAAGGAGATACGACAGTTGTGATGGAAGTCTGCATCTCGATTTTTTTGGGGGGAAAAGGAAACGGAAAAGACAAGGCAAAGTAACAAAAGTCCATTTCAGAAATTGGTTCGCCGGGCCCTTCCATTGTGATGCTTCTTTCTGGGGGAATAGTCTTCTCTGACCATTTTCTCCCTGAGATAGAACAAACCGTGACATGCAAACAGACCCAAGCAAGCAAGAAACGAACGAACCGTGCCAGGACGTGTGACGAATGTTCACCTAAATTCTACTTGACACAGCTCCATAAATCTCCTCCTCCTCCTCCTCCTCCCAGACTCTCCATCCGTTCTATATTCTCTTGCTCCATTCCATTCTAGCATATAATCTATCTATACGAGCCTTTACCAAGATCTCTAAGACTCTACCCCCCAAAAGCCAACAACTCTTACCCCTCCCTCCATCATCATACAAACGTCCAAGAAAGACCCCCAGCAGGAAAGAAAAAAAACCTTTCCTCTCACCTCACGTCTCGCCCTCCCTACGCCCCCTCTCCCACGCAGCAACGACGGCACCAACAATCTCCCTCCCCTTGGTGATAGCAATCTCGTGCCCGCCCCTGAGGACAACGACCTCGACCGCGTCCTCCCCAAGCACCCTCTCCGCATCCCAAACCGTCTCCCCGAGCACGACAATGTCATCGTCCTCACCGAGCAGGAAGAGCACCCGCCCCTTTCTCAGCCCGGGCTCCGATGACAATCCTCGACCATCACCATCACCATCACCACAGCTACTCCGCCTCGCCTCCAACACCTCCGCCAGAACCCTCCACTCCTCGTCCCCGCGGTCGTAAATCGGCGCGTGCCGAATCGTCGACATGTAACTCGTCACGAAGCCAGGGTGCCTCGCAAGCTGCCACCCCACCACCTCCCCAATCCGTCCCCCGCCCACGAGCCTAAGCTCATCCCACTCTTCCTTCTTCTCCTCCGCCTCATCATCATCAACAGTCTCCTTCTCCGGCACATCACCGCCCACCCCGCCTCCCACCATAACAGGCCTCAACCGCCGCCCAACAACCCACCTCCTCACCCATCCCGGAATCCACGCCGCGTTATACAGCACCCGGCTCCGCCAGCCGACGTGCGCTCCGCTGCGCACTAACCCGCCCGGCGCAACGAGGCTGAGCGACCGCACGAGGTGCGGGTGCGTGGAGGAAAAGGCGGCGGCGATGGCGCCGCCGAGGGAGTAGCCCAGCAGGTGGAAGGCGTCGTTGCCGGTCCAGCCCGGCGAGGGGGAGGAGGCGAGCGCGAGGAGGATCTGCGTGGTGTAGAGGCGGGCGTCGTGGGGGAGGTCGAGGGGCGCGTCGGAGTAGCCGCGGCCGAAGAAGTCTGGCGGTGTTAGTTAAGGGGTGCTTGTGAACGGGTTTCTGTATGATGTGTGACGTGTGGTGTGCAATGTGTGAGATCAGTGAGATGAGTGGTTTGCTTCGAGAGTAAGACCCAAGCTGCCAAGATCATTCTAATATTGAACAACACACTGAACAATGCTCTTCACTTCACATTCCGGATATCACGGCTCATAAGCACAATCACACATCCTCAATGACATATACCACCTCTCACAATCATCACCACCATCATAAAAACAGACTCACCAAAAGTCATAACCCTCCACCCCCTCTCCACAAACTCCCCAGCAATACCCCCCAACGCAAGACAAGGCGTCCCGATACCATGCAGCAAAAGGACTCTCTCCTCCGCCGCCTCCGGCCCAAACTCGTACACCCGCAGGTTCCCGTACGCCGTCGCGACGTCCCGCGCGCCGGGGAACACGTCGGGCGGGTACGGCAGCCGCTCATCGCAGCCCTGGTCCCGCGTCGTCGTCCACTTCGGCGAGCGGGCCGTCTTTCGGCTATTCCTCGCCGGACGCGGGGCCGGGAGGGCGGATGCGGAGGCGGAGGAGGCGGCGGTGGTGGTGCGGGAGACGAGGATGAGGAGGGTGGCGGCGGTCGCTGCTGCAAGGCCTAGGCCGAGGCCTATTCGCGGGAGGTGCCTCTCCAGCAACCCGTCCCTCATTGCGTGTCTCTCTCTCCACCTGGGGTTCTTGAAGGAGAGAGGTATTCTCGAATTCTCGGGCCAATCACTTGGTGGTATGGATGTTTGTACAACCGTCCGGGCGGGCTGCGAGGCTTGCGGTGTGCGCGGGAATGGTTTGTGGTTGCGGTACAACAGGGTTGGGTCAAGGTTGCGGGAGAGATTTCACATGATGGATTGTATCCGCGGGTATAGGATTGCGGGTGCTGCGCCGGGGTGGGACGGAAGCCCCGTCACCGCACGGAGATCGGGTAGAGGAGGCAACACTGTACGATAGATACACCTGTATCGCATGGGGAGAGGGATATGACAATCGCTCGAGTAGCGTGAGGGTTGGGTTTCCTTGGTGGATTCCCGTCGTCACTTGATTGACTTTTGAAAATTACCGAGCCGAGAGCTTGATACTTTCCCCTGAAGAGAGAGGCATCGCATTATTCCTAGACTCATCGTCGGCGACGCCGCCAGGTTCCGCGACCCTCCGAGAGGGTGACGTCGCAAAGTAGCCGGCTCTCTCCTTCGGTCCCCCATGGGCACAGAATGGGGCCTTGGCCATGGGGCGGATCCTCGACTGTTTCTGTTTAGTGGGAATCTGAACAATGCCATTCACTCGGGACCCGGAGACCCTGTCTTCACCCTCGACGTCTGCCGGGTAAGGTGACTGGGTGGGGTGAAGAACAGCGCATACAGCGGAAAGAATGAAGACTTCTTTTTCTGCCCTACAGCGGCAGCATGTTGTCGAGTCCCGACAGCGAACCATTTGAGTCCAAGACACCGCCGCGAGATGCTGCGTCTTGTTGCATCCGCGCCGGAGATGCATCGGATGGAAGCGGAGCGGGATTCGCTCGCCAGCAAAGCCCATCCTCGACCAAAGCAAGCAAGCGAGCAGTCCAGCCAGCCAGCCAGTCACCTCACGCTGCTGTCCGTACCTGCTGGTAGCCCTGAACCAGCAGACCGCCAAGCAAGCACTGTGCCGTTTGGCAGATTGCCCCACCATTATCAGCACCGCTGTGCTGGAGGTGGTATGGCATGGTACGGCATGGCTGCCATGCCATGCACCACCAGTGAGTGCCGCCGGCATGCCAGATGCGTCGGTTTGGCTGGTCGACTGCTGTCCCGGCCCTGTCGCTGGCGACGCCGAACCGTTCGCATTCCTACTCCTCCTTTTTTTGCTTTTTCGATGCTCTACCGTCGATGCAGGAAGCCCTATGCGTTGCAAGCCAGATAGGTAGTGTATCCGTAGATAATGGTGTCCATGGAGGTGGCTCAGCTGATAGCTTGCCGTGTTTGCCTCGCCAACCCAATGTAAGCTTCAGCTCCCAGCGATCGTCTTCATACTGCAGTACTTCTCCAACCCCTCAGAGGACAAAGGAGGGGGAGGGGAAGATGGGAACGGTGAGAGAGAGAGAGAGTGGCGGCGAGGTGGTCGGAGCGTCTCCCCACTGAGACGGTTGGCGTAGAACCCGGGGAACGAGGTGAGGTGGTGAGACAGGCGAGAGGAATAATCCGCCGCCGCAGCAAGCGATGCACACAATCCGCTACCTGGATCGAGTCTGGCCCAACCTTGAATGCCAAAATGGCGGTGTGGCAGTGAAGAAGGGGGCTTTTCCATGTCTTCCCATGCCCCCCTCAACCTTGTTGATGGTCTACCGTCCGTGTGTCTGTGGCTTCCCCGTCCTCCCTTGCCTTTCCCATGGCTGCTAGATCCTATTCACCGAGAAAGCAAATCCGCAAGATCTCGTGGGGTGAGCCGACCAACGTCAGTTGTCAACTCAAAGGAGCAACACCGATCCTCCGTCAGCTGCCTCACATGGGCGCAAACATGCCGTCCGCCTCCATGCACATCGCACACTTGTGGTTTCACGCGGGCGTTGATATGGTAGGGTTTGAAAGTTAGCGGGAGACTGATTGGTGATTGCACAGCTGGTGAGGCTGGAAGGTTGGTCCAGAGGCTGGAGACCAAGAGCAACAAAGGAAGGTTGTCCAACCGGCCATCGAATCCTTCCCTCCAGAGGAGCTTCAGCGTTGGTAGGTGTAGAGCATCGAGCGTGGATTGGATGCGTCAACAGGAACTGTGTGACAGCGAAGGTCGAACTCAATGGCAGAGTCCCCACACAACCATCTTGCTTTTCTTTACGGATACTTGTTGTCTAGACCCTGGCAACCTAGCGAATGTTGGCTTGCGTTGCTGCAGGCATTCTGCTGTAAGCTCGTTCGCAAGAAAAACAAGAGCCTGGCAGAAGGACATCGAGGTTGAGTGTCAATCCTGTCCCGATATGGAACCAGTCCTGGATAAAGGAGGGGATGCCGCTCCTACGTCTGCTGCAGTCTGCTGAAAGGGTCCTCGGCCTCCCCAGGCACGGGCGAATCCAGGAACCCTGAGCCCAGGACCGTCCGGCTCTGGCCTCTCTGCACAGCGGGCAAGCATCCAACAAGTATCCGTAGCGTAGAGAGCCGACTGGGCGACCAAAATAGCAGCCCTCAGTTCCATTGCGTGGGACACTGGGTGACTGGCACGATTGGATGGCATGGGAACGGTAGGCAAACGGAACAAATGCCCGTTACGTTATTGACATGAGCCCTGGCCATGTATCCGTACCGGTGCTGTGACTGTCGTGGCGCTGCCAAAGGCAAGAGAGCGAGCGGACGGGATGACGGTTGATCGGAGGACTGGGTGACTGACTGACTGGTTGACCGGGCTGACTGTCGAGGTGACGGACTGGGACGTGGGGTGACAAGGCGATGGGAATGCGATTCTGCCCCCTTTCGTCACTCGGATTCCCCTATGAGCTCCACTGTAGAGATCACGAAGCCATCGTCAGGTGTCTCAAGATGGTTTCCCATCTCCTATGGGCCCCTCTCCCAAGACCCCTAGGGGCCCCAGCCGTGCCCTGCCCCGATTCATCTCCACTGGACTGGCAGATTGGCCTCCGCAGCAGGGGCGACTTGTCAATGCCGGCTTCAGCCTTCAGCGCTTCTGCCTTCTGTCTTCACAGCCATCGGCGGGTGGGCAAGGGAGCTGTACTGTGCCACAATTGGGAAGCAGAGAGCCAGAGACCAGGGACCAGAAAGACACAGTTGTTCCAGGGTCTGGCCCAGGGGGCGCTGCTGGCGTGGTCGCGCAGGAGGCCCGTCCACTTCATGCAGTGCTGGTGCAAGGTCGGGTACCACAGCAAATCCCACGCTTTTGCCGTACGGATAGAAGGTGTGGAACGTATGGTCCCAGTCGAGAGTTGGTCTAGAAGGCGTTTGGCGCCCACCGCCGCAGCTGGAAGCTGTTATCGATGGCGATAGAGTTGCTCCCATGTGTATGGCATGTCGAAGCTTACCTTAATCTCGACCTGACGCCTCCGCAGCAGCAGCAGCAGCAGTCCATCGGCCGGCAGTCGCAAGATCTGACGGATCATGAGCAGGATATCCGTACGGAGTATCCGTATGCATGCACGGCACCGGGGAGTTGCTGAATGACTGAAGCCGAGAGTCAAGATGTGCTAGAATGGAAAGAGAAAAGGCATGGATCGATAAACAGGTCTGGGGCTTCTTCCATCATGGCCTGTTCTTGGTTTGGCCACTGACGGATGATGCTGGGGTGAGTGAGGGAGGGAGGGGCAGAGAGTGACGAGTGACGATATGGGGCGAGAGACCTTTGCTGAGATCTGCGTAAACGTCTGCGCCGGGACTGAGTGAGGGTGAGAGAGAGCAAGAGCAGGTTGTGAGTGAGTGGGATGAGTAACTGAGTGACTGTGAGTGTGACGGTGAGATCGGTCAGTTACGGAATGGCAAACGGTTGCCCCGCTGTTAGTGATGGGGCAGGCTCACTGTCCACCTTATGGAAAAGTTGGTCATCCAGATGGAAGGCAAAGAGAACCTTGAAGGTGCTGACTGCCCAAGTACGTACCCAAGATGCTGCCTTCCCTGCTCTGGTGTGTGAGGTGGGCAGTTGCGGTGTGCCCTGTGTGAGAGATGGAAGGTGCGAAGCGTGGCAGCTTCCACGGCAGGTGGGCTGCAGCCTGCGGAAGTGGCAGTCGCACACTGTGGACTACATGACTTGATGCCTAAATTGTCAGGTCCACAAAAGTGACATCCGGGATGCGGTCAGTCGCTTGATTCGCCTCCAAGCGTGCCAGCCGCCACGTTTCCGAATCCAGGCCAGAAGGTCAAGGGCCCATGGTCATTTCTCGGTTATTGTTTTTCTTTTGCACCAGACCAGGGGTCTAGCGACCAGTCATAGCGGCACCGAGATCCACCCAGTGTCTGCATGTCACTGGCTCACAGCCCTGTGTGTGCGTCCACGGGTGCGTGTGTTTTGTGATTGTGTGTGTCTCTCTCTCTTTTCGCATGGAAGGTTAGGTACCTGCGCAGGATGTAGGGCAGGCACCAACACGTAGGTACCTTCCATTGCCTCTAGCAGCGGGAGAGCAGAGGGCCACTGCCTCGTTGTCCGTCATGCATCCCGGGGCTCTAACCTCCTGCAGCAGTGTGCAACAGCACCTTCATGTGTATGTACCCAATGAGAGTGGAGGATCTTTGGGGCCTTGGGCAATGTCTTTGGCACTCTGTCACATCACAGTGTGGGTGGCGGACAGTGTGAGCAGCCGGCAACATTGTCTGGGTCGTCCATGGCTGGTAATCCCACGCTGGGAGGTACGTATCCGCAGCTGGATGCTTGACCCTCCACTAGATGCTCGACCGAAGCCTCGACAATTCATTTGTCTTGCTGCCGCCGTGCAGTTGTGCAGACTCCAGACCGCTGGTGGTACCGTGGACCGACTTTGGTGGTGTGTGAGGTGGGAAGAAGCGATAGAGTTGGGGAAAGAGAAAAAGAGAGAGTGGGCGGGTGCTGCGTTGCACTGTTCCAGCTGCAGCTCGTCCTCTGCCGTTCAGTCTGCCCACCGCCCAGTGCACACAATGCATCACGCAGTCCCGTCCGTTCTAATGTTTTCCTCCCCTCTTCCCCCATCTTCAGTTGGCCGAGCCTCTGAGGCCTGGCTCTCCCCCGAAGGTTGGGATTCGGCCGGACAAGGGCCACCCAGCAGAGAGGGTCGGGAGGGTTTCACTTTGGACTGAAGCAGACAGGCGGCGCAATCGACAGTCGACCTTTTGATGCTCTGATCGGAATACACACTGTGGGTGAGCGGACGACATGAAGCCAGCCGAGTATGAGGAACCTGGGAAGCAGACTCCTACCGTTGGATTCTCCGTACGGTGTTTATTGCAGCGTGGGAAATGGGAAACACTAGGCTGCGTTTCTCGTGTTTCTGAACATCAGACTGCGCCAGTTTAATGCCCCTGTGGTAGCAGTAGAGCATGCGATAGATCATTAGCACCACCGAAAAAGACGATGCCATCGTGCGTGCATCCCAAAGGTCTCTCTATTATCAGACATTGCACCGCGTCAGCCTAAAGCATACTGACAAGTTTGCCGAACTTTGGGCGGGACTACCTCGAAGATAACGATAACAAACAATGCCATCCGCCATGGAGGGTTCTTTAGCGTCGCCTGGAATTCCGGACGAGGTCGGAGAGTGCTGAAGTGCGTAAGGCTTTGCGGATAATGGGAGGGATGAGGAAGAAAGAGAAGAAGAAGACGGACGCCGAAGCGTACGGGCGAAGACTGGACGAGAGCAAGACACACGCCGTTGGTCGGACCACGGCCAGGACCGAGAGTCCCCTAGGCAAGACAAGCCTCAAGACCGCAAGAGGAGAGGTGAACGAGCGAGTGGTCACTTGATCACAAAGGAGAGACATCTCGACACAGCCTGGCATAGAGTGAGCAGAGACATCAAGGCGACACTACTGGCTACTCGAGGATTCGACAGTGACAGACTGACATACAAGTAGGTACTTCCTACAGTGGCAGGGAGAGAAGGAGAGACGGTGGATGGTGGCACTGGGTGGATGATGGACGGTGCAAGATGGGAGGGAGGGAGGAGTGCTGTGCCCCCCTCAATCCTCATCCACCGTCCGTATCATGTCTCATCTCTAATCTCGCTCTGTTCTCTCGTACCGCAGCAATATTGAATATGCTCCTGGTTGATTCCCCATCAATCACCGCGCACACTGGGGTTCTGGAATGACAGGTGTGGGCAGCCAATCTCTCGCATGGCCGCAAGCGGTACCAGAAGTGTAAACAAGAACAAGAACAAGCGACTGGCGCCGGCGACTCTCCGACTCAGGAGGCTTTTTTTGGGGAAGGAGTTTCCTTCGCGGCTGTAAGCACTGTGAAAGGGCTGTGATTGAAGAAAAACAAGGCCCACAGTGCGTCCTGCAATGGGCAGACTCGGTACCTGCATGCCACGCATCAACTTGCCCTGCGTCCATGTTCCGACGTGGAATGGCCAAAACGGGTGGGTGAAGGGAAAGAGGAAGGGGAGGAGGGATGCAGATTTACCGTCTGCCGAGACTGACGGTGAGATGTGTGTGTGTGTGTGTGTGCCAGACTGAGATGGGTACTGAACTTTGGAGTGAGAGTGAGAATGAGACCAAAAGTGAAAATGAAAGTGAAAGTGAAGATGAGAGAGAGGGAGAGCGTGGGAGGGCCACACTCTCAGTGATCCCGCCAGCCATACAGAACCCCAGTGCATCGCATTCACTGTCGAACCCTCCGACCAGGTTCACCCAGGCTTGCCGGGCACACGTAACTCTTCGCTTCCCACATCTTGCCTTGCCTTCCCGCCCGCTGCGCAGTCACCTTACCGTTCAGTTCAACATCCAACCCTGGTGTACCGTGTGAGTGAGTGTGGTGTGTGTGCCCCAGTCTCATTCACTCACTCCATCGCTCGCTCGCTCACTCACTCATTCATCGTCTCCCCCATCCAAATACGGCCAGCCCAGGCCCCACCCCGACAATGTACTGTCCGCCGCACTGGTAGGGTTGACGGCAGCCGGCGCCACGCCCCAAATTTACACCAGCCCACTAGGCCGCGCTAGTCCCTGGACGCTATAGTCTGAGATCTGCCAGCCAATGGAAACAGGGTGGCGAACTCGCATATGGCGTCAAGGAGTGGGGTCACAGTGTTCACTACCGCTACACTGTCTTCTGATCATCTCCCATTGGGCAGCCTGTGGGTCCACCGCCGCCCCCCCTTCCCTCCCAGTGTCCTCTCCTTGCCCTCCGTGCCCTCGTCGCTCCTCTCGCCTGCCCGCTCACCTTTCCACCGTCCTCCCACCCTTCCCACCGTCTTGCTCGAACCAACAAAACCATCGCTTTCTCCGGATTCTTCCCTCCCGATACTTTTCAACATCTCTCTCCCCCCTCTTTCCAGACGTACCTTTTTTACCCTCCCACCGCATCATCAAACCTCTAAACCACAAAAACGCTTCCACAAACGATCATACATACCAAACGACCTAAAAGAAAAAGCATTGCTTTCTTCCAACGACCTCTTCTACCTTGAACCTATTCATCGTACACATTTTTACCACTCGCACAACGTCGACTCGGCAGGTTTCATTGTTTGTGTTTCAAACTGCAATAATACCGCACAGCTCGGCTCGCCCACATAAGACCATCCGCACATCCGCCACACTGCCTCCCAACCAACAAAAAACGGCACCCCTTCTCCGACCTTCCACCACGACATCACCACGGCATCTACTTCCGAAACATTCATAGATAATGTCTTCATACTACCAGTTTAACCACCACCAGGCGCATCCCACCCCCGCCGTCCCCGGTGCCTCCCACAACCACCATGGCGGCCGCAATCGCAGAGCGCCCCGTCTCTCCGTCTCCCAGAACCAGCACAAGCAGTTCCGTGGCGTGCGAAGCATGAAGGAGCTGACCGAGTCCGCTACTCTCAACGCTTTCCGCACAAAGTTCGAGGCCGGCCGCTCTTTCGACCTCGAAGACGACATGGAATTCTGCCCTGGCCTGTTGACCGACAGCGACGTAAGTATCCCGGAGCCTTGGATCTGTCTCTCATGATCCGGTGACTAATAGTGGTCGCCCGCTGCAGATGAACTCCATCCACAGCTCTTCTGAGCGTTCGTCTCTGGCCAGCAACTCTCCCGAGTCCTCGCCGACGCAGCAACCCCAGACCGTCGCCCCTGGGTTCTCGTTGAATTCTTCTTCTCCCGCCTTCATCCCTCCCGCGTACCAGCAGTCTAGCCTGAAGCTTCACCAGCCCGCGGCTACCCGCGCCCGCAATGCCATTCCCATCGTTAACCCTGCCACCGGCATCACCATGTCGAGCCCGCCGCCTTCGGTTTCCCCCGCCAGGATGCAGCAGGGCATGGGTCGCAGATGGTAAGGAGTTGATCCCGCTCTCGTGACAGAGGGTTTGGGGTCACACTCCCTACCTTTTGTGCCGATGCATGCTGAAGTGTAAAATTTCTGCTCATTCGGCTTGTTTAGACCGGCCATCTTGGCGGGCACCGAAAAAAAAGAAGACGAAAAATGGCAATGGCATCGATGATTTTCTCTCTTGCGGGCTGGGTACCTCAAGGTAATGGCTAGACTGCCGGCGTGGTCTGGCCATCTGTTGGCTCAAACAACATTCCTCTCCTGTACAAACAACCTCAACGACATACCCTGTTTAACCGACAAAACCCTTCGAGGCTTTTTATCAACGGCGCGGAATGAGAAGTTATCGATACCATTTCTCCTTTTTTGGGTACTTTCGACTACAAAAAAAACTCGACAAAAATCTTTCGGTGTCCTTACCTCGCAAGATGAGGTTGGACTTGCACGAATGGCGTTTTCCACACGGATGGTTTTGCATTTTCATGACATGCATCGGTGTGAAATCACACCACGGCGGAGTTCTCGGATATAATTAATTCTCGGCATCTTTTTTCACGGACAGCGGGACGACTTTTTTGTTTTCCAAGATGATTCAAAATTTCTGTTGCTCATCATGGTGCTCGACGGGTCACGAAGTCATTCCGGAAAAGATTATCTCGACATATAGAATGAGTGTCTTTTCAGCAACTTATTCGGAGCGGGGGGGCAACAGGTGTTTCTGTTATGGGCTCACATGGGAAATATCAAATGGGTGGTGGCGGGCAAAGACATGCGTTGCTATTGTTTTGCGGCAAATCTCCAAAGCTTGGAAACGGTACCGGGAAATACCTTTTTGGGAAAGGTGGAGTTGGTCATGAATTTTGGGTGCGGCCTGCTGGCGAACCTCTGCATTGTTACCTTGTTTGGTTGAGCGATGCGGACGGGGATCGCGCAGTCCTTTGTTGCTTTGTTGCGCCTCTTCTCTCATTTCATTATTCGAGGATGGACTATTCTTACTACTATTGCTCGATATTCCGGCGGTGCAGGTCTAGCACCTCGCGACACTGGAAACGGTTGGTGGTGGTGGAGTCATACCTTGTCTGGGCACTTTCGCGAGCATCTCGGAAGAGTTGTGTGTTTCTTGGGTAGCGGTTTTGAGACGATAAATGGCTCTTGTGGTTACTGGGTCGGAGAACGGGATACCTTTTGGGGTTGTACAGGAAACGCTCAAGATGCGAATGGTGTTGAATGGGATTAGACCAAGCTGTCTGATCTTGTGGCGCGAAGCCAGCAAGGCGCAATGCAATATACGATATGTTCATCAAAACCTGTTCATCATGAGTGTCGTTCAGTGAGTGCCAAGCATCACAGTAAGTGACCAGCTACTGATAGCTTTTAAATCATGGCGACAATATCAGGTAGATGTTCGGTGATAGACGAAATGCCACCGGCGGGATTTGACATCTTGCTCATCGGCATCAGATACATCTCACGACTGTTAGAATAAAGAGATGACTACATGCCGTCATCATGCTTACTGCATGTTACCCCTTCTTGAACCGTGACATTGCTGATATATTGCAGGGTACTGTAAGACGGCTGCTATCGAGCTGCGTGCGATGGGGGTCAGTACATCAGACATAGATTCCCGGCCCACACCTGCTTCGAAACCCCTTTGTTCGCCGAGGATACTACGGAGGGGAATGAATCTGAGCTGAGCTGAGCTGAGCTCGGGGGCTGCGAGGGGGGTTGAAGGTCGGGTTCTTTGTGCAGTAGAGTTTAGCATAGAGGGTGTTATCATTGTTTATTTGTCTTTTCCCTGTGTGCGAGGTATGATTCTGTAGGCGCCGGTATCTCTATGAAGGGCGGTTAAGGAAAGGGGAGATGGATGGATTTCGCCTTTTTTTTTGTTTGTTTTCTGTATCCGTTAGCATTTTCTGTCAGGGGCGTTGAGGAGGAGGTTAGGTCTGGTGTGCCTGGTGCCTGGGTCGCGGCCCGGCTTCATTCTGGGCCTGAAGGGGACCTGAGGGACCTGAGGTGCCTTGCTTACCCGCCGCTTGAGTTTCTGCATGGTGCCGCGAGGGGAGGGGGGGGGGGGGGTGTTTGGCGGGGATGAAGTGCTGCAGGCAGGCGATGAAGGTGAGGTATCCTGCGGCTCGATGCTTCCTGATCAATTTTGAAGATTAGTGTAACCACTACTACTTTTCCTCTTCTTCCCGGCGACTTTACTATGGCGTGGACGCATACGACGAGCGTGATCATGGGTTGGAGAGTGAGAAGGGGGGATGTCACGGTCACGTGATTGACTTGGTCTTGATGAGAGAGGTGGGGTAGCCAATGATGACGATGCAGCTGGGCAGCAAAGCACGGAGCGTGGACTGCCATGTAGGTACTCCGTAGAGTGCAAGAAAAGCCCGTCATGGGCCTGGTTCCGTGGTGGGGTCTATACCAGGGGTAAGTGATGAAGGTCTGGAAAAAGGGGATTTGGCTAGCTGGTGATGGCGAAGCCAGTGAGACAAAACGACGATAGAGAACCCCGAGCATATTGGGCCGATGACGACGGATGTGAAAGGCCCTGCATCGCAGACTCCAAGTTGAACGACGATGATGGATGGCCCCTTCGTTGGATGATGTGACTGTGGGCTTGCAAATGGTCGACAGGCAGTTGGTCAATGGCCCCGCTCCCCTCGTCTTCTGCAAGACTGCAACTCTCTCCTTCCCTTCCAAATAGGCAATTTGCGGGGACGTAGCGATGCTTCCAGCCATTCGGGTAGCTGCGCTGCTGCAACCAGCTGGGGAAGGGGAAAAAGCTCGGTCCTGAGGAGATGTCACTATGTAACTCATCGAGAGGGAGAGAGCAATGAATAGTGACGTCACGCCCGGGTCAACGAAGCGGCGCGCCGCATGCTTTTGGCGGCTGCTTTCTCGTCTGGCTGGTAGCTTAACCTAGGTTATTGCTATTGCTCTACTTCTTGAGCTCTTTTGCCGAGTTGTCGTGATCATTTGGCCCTCTTTCCCCCCTTTAATACCTCATTGAATCTTCATTCTCTTCCGTTCAATTGAACCTGTCTGCAAACACAACACGATAATCCACCCTACACCGTGATACCCCCTCCCCTTCCTCTACTACAACTCAAATACCTACACAACAATGGCGTCTCGTATCGCTCTGTCAGCTCGTCCTTTTGCCCGCGGCGCTTTCGTCGTCGGTAGACAGACTGCTTCCCTCGGTCGTGGCTTCAGCATCTCCACGACGAGAACGCAGGGCTTGAAGGAGTCTTCTGGACGTGAGTCTACCGCCTATTCCACTTTTACCTGCTTTCCTTTTCCCCCGGCAGAAGGATGCATGGCAATTGGTCTTGGAGTGAACTCACAAGCTTCGATGACGCCTTCATTGCGAAGCATTAACCCCTCCCACTCATGAACCAACTCTTCCCTTTCTGTTGCTAGAGATGATAGCTAACACTTCCCCATCAAAAGACACCGACAGCGAGACGCACGAGAAGCACAAGCAGGACTCCCTCTCCAAGCAGAAGCAGGGCAAGGGCCACTGGAAGCCCGAGCTCGCCTCCGACAGCGAGGAGGCCATCAAGGCGGATCGCGACGAGCACATCGACCCCAAGAAGTTGCAGGAGAAGACTGCTGGCAAGGCTTCATGAGGGATGATTGTTCGCACACGTCTCGCGGCACCTAGCCTCGCCCCATCTTTACCTTCAACGACGCATGAGGAGGTTAGAGGGAGAATGAAGCAGATCACAGTATGCCGTACAGCCTTGATGAGCAGACACATACAAAACAGATGCATGGGTTCTGCGGGAGTTTGTTCTAGGGCACCTTGGGATCGGGATTGGCTGTTGAGAAAAATGTACGCGGGCTGCGTTTGGGAGAGGATTTGAGGGGTTTTGCAATGTAATCGTATTAGCATCGTATTGGGACTCTAATTGATTCTTGTCCACGTTTATGACTGAAAGGTCTGTCAATGTCGTATTGAAAGTCACCAGAACCAGAAGCATTCGCACAGGACTGAAGTGCTCGTCTGAAACTAACGAGCCAGGTCCGCCGCCTTAGTTTCTGCCCTCTCGCATGCCCATGCGATATCCCCCTTCGTCATCCTCGTACTCTGGGAGACCGCATGGTCTTTCCCGTGTAGCAGTCAATTGCCTAGCCTCTCAACTGGTATAAGTACACCGAGCTTCCGTCAGACTCGTCTGACTGGACATTGTTTCGGAGCCATTATACATGGTGGCCGGCTAATCATGGCCTTCTTCGCCACAGAGAAAGTCGGTCATGGACGTGAGGATTCGTGACCCAAAAACGCGCCTCCCACTGGGCTTTCAGACAGTGCTGTGGACCCTTAGGTACCGTACTTCCTGATTGCTTTCTGCGTATACTGTTACGTATATAAGTAAAGTGATGAGAAGGTTGTGATATAGTAAATTGATAACATAAACCTGGAGCTACAAGATCGAGGTGTTGCAATGCAGTTCAGCTTCAAGATTTCATCTGTGTCTTCCACCTGATCAATGCAATGTTCACCTAGAATGGGGACTCAACCTTGCGGAAGACATTGGCAGACTGCCCAGTTTCCGGCTTTAAATACCTGATACGGTAGGCACGGTAAGCACAGACGATATTGGGCTTTCTTCTAATTAGCATCAGCGGGTTTTCTAAGACGGCCATTTGCCTTGCGCTGAAGGTAGGATGTGTTATCAGCTTCCTGACCGGTCTAATCAAGTCTGAGAGGGTTAGACGAGCATTACTACTGAAAGGTCCTCTTAGGCTTTTTTGCAGAACACAGTCTATTTTGTATTCAATGGCCTGGCGTGAATGGAAGTTCAATAAAATTGGCCCTGGAAAACGGCAGTTTAATCTACCATGGTTGACGCAGTCCTGGAAGTTCAACGTTTGTCTGCGATATGCTCTCTTGCGACAACAAGCAGGACAGTGCCGATGCATGTAAGCGTTGATACGGTGCGCAGCCCTTCAGTGCTGGATTTGGGCGTCTTGTAATGGCATAGATTTGGGAAGACGGAGATCGCAGTCTACCTAGCATGCGGCTTAGACGAAAAGGCGGTAAGGTGGTGAAGAAGAATATAATGTACAGACGGTGCTTGTAGACGGAACGAATTGACGGGATGGTCTTCGAGGCTCTGTAAGTCTACGACACTTTGTGGTCTAGCGACAATGAAACAGTCTAAAAAGTCTAAGAATCATCTTGATGTTATAAACCTTCGTACGGTAAAGAGAAAAGGGGACTATTCCTCATTGCGGGTTTTCTGTTCGATTCAGCTTTGTCTTTCTATTCCCAACAGAATACATAGACAGGTACAAGCACTGTGAATACGGCTATTTACTTTTCTAGTCAGCTTAGAGAGGGCTTGAGTACACTGAATCAAGAGGTTTGTATCATCTTTGACACGGCCCAGAAGGTCAAGAACATTACAGCAGAATCACGCTGTGCTATGCAGGAACTTCCTCATACCAAACTTCTCCTCCTTGAGTAGGTGACATAACATCTATGGTATGAAAGGGTCCCTGCCGGGAAGGCCCGTTCTGATACCTATCCAAAGTGCTTCACCGACTCTCGCATGCCATGTGCACCATCCCGTGACGTCCTGCTATAATGGCCATTCTCATTCCGGGTGATTCAGTCCACCGTCATTATCTAGTCTAGTTTAGGATACTCAATAAACCCAACAGAGTCCACCTCCTCCCCAGACTCCCCATGCATACCCACAAACGAGCGGCCCTCACCCGGCACAAACTCAACACACCGATCATTCGTCCTCGACCCAACCTCCAGAACCCGGCCGAGACTAGTCGAAGCCCGGAAGAACCCGACGCGGTCCTTCTTCTTCTTCCTGCCGTTGCACACCTCCGTCTTGATCCAGTACTCCCCCTCCTCCAGCGTCAGCTCCTTGAAGTTCCCGCCACTACCGCCGTGCTCCTGCGCTCCGTCGGGGCCTCCGTCCATCTTGACGCCGAGCGCGTCGACCCGCGCGGCGCCGCGGCCAAAGATGGAGACGACGCGCACGCTGTCGAGCTTGGCGAGTTCCGTGCCGTCGTTGAAGGAGGTTGAACTGCCGGCGGGCGCGCCGCGGTAGATTTCGCGAAAGGTGAAGCCCACGTCGGCGAACTGGGAGAGGTCGATGTCGGAGACGATGGGGACGGTGGCCCAGCCTTTGGCGGCGGCGAGCTTCTGCACGAGGAACTCGGCGGCGGGTTTGGCGGAGGGGCGGTAGTCTCTGTGGCCTGGCATCACGGCGCCGAGGGGTAGACCGTTGCGGCTGCGGTCACATGGTGTTAGCGAGACCGTCTCGATGCCTTCATTTGCAAAGCTGGAGTGGATTCAAGACTTACCAGACCGGGTCAAACTTGTTGCAAAACATCTGCACCCTCTCCGGCGCCAGACCGGGTATCGTGTTCTTGTTGTACACCTGCATGGTGTTGCCAAACGTCACGGCAGCGACGATCCGATCCTTGTATTCCGATCCAAGCCTGTCCGAGATCACGCGAGAGAGCATCGCAGCGCCTTGGCTGTACCCTCCGACGACGACATCAGAGTCGGAGCACTGGTCCATGTACTCGCGGATCTGGGTGCTCGCGCTGGTGACCTCGCGCGGCCGGCACAGCTGGTTGTTAATGCATAGGTTGTCTTGCAGCGTTGCGGCGTATTCTATGCCCTGGATGGCAATCTTGTCCGCGCCCAGCGTTGAGCGGAGGTACGCCGCGAGTTGGGGGCCCGGTTGCAAGCCCTGTGGTGGACTGTTAGTTCTCAATGCGCTCAAGGCAAAGATATCATCGGGCTTTTGCAAGCCGGGTTTGCTCACCATATTAGGCTGTTGAGTGCTTCCGCGGAGGAAGAAGAACATGGTATCTTTGCAGGTGCCATCGCGCACCTCATTCTCTAGGACACCTTTATCTGAAGAATCCTGTTGTCGAGTTTGAAGAGAGTGGACGGGTCGGCTTGCTTCGTCCGTGTAGTCGCTTCGTGGTGTTACTCTTGCCAGGCCTGGCGTCAACACGCACTGCAAGGCGAGTATGATGACTGTGGACCTCTTCGTGACGATAATGAACGTGTGGTAATGAGCGTATATGGGTTAGTACTTGATCAACTTTTGCCTCCTTCCCGGGAAGTACCACTAAATGAACGGAAACATATCGGGAACTGTCGTATTCAAGACACTGGTTTTTGCAATGTCTATAAGTTACGTTTCTTGAAGCTTGGACTGTTCAAAGTGGAATCGCCAATAAGAGCGAGTGTTTTCCCTTTCGCTTCAGCAATTAATATAAAGGAACGTCAAATGAGCGTCAATGTCCTTTCAACCTTAATTGATTGTATAAAAGGGCCATACCTTAAATTGTGGACGAACTCTTTCAATCTTATTACTTTACCTGACGGCTTGTCCGGCAACTCCAGGGCTGCAGCTCGGAGGGATCGGACAGCCGGGATCTGCGATCTTGGACTCACTTTTCACCTAGAGAGGCCATGCATCGAGTGGTCCCACACAGTGATCTCTCGTCCTGGTTGTCGGTGCGAGATACTTGGGAAGATACTACTTTCCCATTGACTACCCTATGAAGTAGTCGACTAGCTTGGCAGCCTTTCACGCTCGTCACCTCTCACTCAAGGTTGGTCCTTCAACTTTCTCAGACGAAATGACCAGTGGAAGAATAGAATCGTCGCAGGCTTCTTTATGATAGGCGTTGTTGCCGCATGCCTGACAATGGTGGCGCTGGAGGATGGCGAAAACAGCCCCGCGCATCTGATTGCCATAGCCTCTTTTCTGTTCCCGTTAAGCCTTTAGTTCAGCACTATAGCTCACTGGATGTGGGATCGCTGGTCGATGCGGCGTGGTGATGGGAATGCGTCGCGTTGAACGTCGCCTGCAAATCGCTACGCAGATGTGTGTACAAGAGAGGGGGGTATAAGGGGAATTATCGAGAGAAACTGTCTATCTCTACAGAATAAATATTCGTTCAGGTTCAAATCCTGAAGCGTTGTTACAGTCCATCAGCGAGTGATAGAAGTCAAACAAACACTCAAATGCCTACTCCCGCAAAGCCGCCGCGTTCAACACATCCTCCGCCTCGCCAATCTTGTCAATCTTGCCCTTGGACAACAAGACCACGGCATCCCGTCCCGGTCGCAAGCCTTCCGTCACGCCACCCAGCCTATGCGTGATTGCTATCACGGTGTGGCCCTTGTCCGTGAACTCCTGGCGTATGATATCGCGTATGGCAGATTCGGTCTCGGTGTCGAGCGACGATGTGGCTTCATCCAGCAATAAGATCGGCATGATGTGTCGACCTTCGGTTCCGTTTGCTGATGATTCGGACGGGTGGTTGATGGAATAGAGTTGAACGAGCGCTCTAGCTAGTGCGAATAGCTGCGATTGACCGGTGGACATTTGTGGTAGGGAGGATAGTGGGCTGTCTAGAGTGTTGCGAGTTTCCTCCTCAGATGAAGTGTTTTGTAGGTGGAAGTGTGACAGGAGGCCGACCCTCTCGAGGGCTGAAATGATGGCTTCATCTGGGAGAGTAGTCGAGGGCTAGGTAGTGGGTAGGTTAGCAGGAATCTCTCAAAAATATTGAACAGAGAACTGTACGTCGAGATTAAAGCGGAGGCTGGCATGTCCTAGAATGAATGAGTCTTGAGACACCGTGATGAAGCACTTCTGTCGAATTAAAGAACGTGGCACGAGACGTAGGTCGACCCCGTCGATCTTGATGCTTCCAGCATCCGTGTCAAGAAGACGTAGGAGTGTGAGTAGCATAGTGCTTTTGCCGCTGTTTGTCCAAAGTGTCAGCAGAGATCAGTACATGATCTATGGATGCAGTCATGTACAACATACCTGCCTGTTCGACCACAAACAATCAATTGCTGGCCTGGAGAGACCTCCAGGGTAATGTCTTGTAAAGCCACTGCATCGGGGCTGCAGAGAGAGTCAGTCTACAGAGGCGACCGTATTGTGAATAGTTGTCTTACTTATACGAAACGGTGACCTTGTCGAACTCGACTGATCCAGATGACGGCCACGCCTCCGTGGGAACAAAGTCCTCGTGCGGCTGATTCTCTTTCGACGTATCGGCCTCCAAGGTCTTCAAGCGAGATCTGCCAAGCTATCAGTAAATGAGTCAGAAATATAGGGAGTACGAGAAATCATACATGGCACCTAGGGAAATCTCCATATTCGTCCAAGATGTCACGAGGCTAAGAAGCGTCGCGTTCGCAGCCAACACAATGTTCAACGCCATACCAATTTGACCGGCCGTCGTCGTTCCCCTCACAAAAACTGCAAGTGTGATGAGGCCGGTGGCGATAGCAGCAACCATGAGATCCAAAACGATGCCCAGCCATTGCTGAAGACAGAAGAGGATGTATGCTGGCTTCTGCGACTTATCAAGACAGATTACGTTGGCATGCTCGGCTTGTTTCTCCCAGCCAAAGGCTCGGATGGTCGTGACGCCCTCAACCTGCATCGTTGTTAGTCGTCACGCACTTACCCAGAAGGGAATATGGAAGCGGTACCGATTCGAGGAAGCTCGAGTAGACTGCCGACTGCGACTCGAGATCTAGCAGACGCAATTGTCGCGAGGTGCGTAGGTACACCCGCTGCACGAGATACACGACCGCGGCGCAGAGGGGAAGTGATAAAGCCAGTAGCTTTTGTGCGCTAAATAATAAAACCACCTGTACGAGCAGCTTGAAGACCTCTGGAACCAACTATGAGTAGGAGGAGTGAGTGCTGGGTCAGGAAGGCTTACGATTCGACATGGACATGATGGCTGGCGGCAACTGCTTATCTACCAGTTGTATATCCTGACTGAAACTGTAAAGACTTAGCAAATGATATGGCTCATTCGTTAGGCGTTGCGACCAACCGATTCAATGTAACTCCCGTATCAGTCTTTGAGAAATACGATAGTGGGGCACTAAGTCTGGTCAGTGGGTGTAGGTGGTAGCAGATGAAGTAAGTAAAATTGCACGTACCCGATGATAGTTGAGAGTAGGCGGCGATGTAGTTCAGTGCCGGAAGCGGGTGCGATCAGGATTTGGGTTGACCTTCAACTAAGTCAGTATCAGGGTCAGCGACCTGAACTATGCGTACTCACCACATCGTTCCGCTTGTAGCGAGCCATGCTAGTAAAGATGAGATAAGGTAGCCGCAAATATAGAATGTTGTCTGAGACACTGGTGCCTCCGTCCACTTTTGCAACCAGTACTGAGGGAAAGTTACGAAGAAAGAATATGTTGAGGTGCAAGCGAGAAGTAGTAGGATGTGCCGAAAGCCTACAGCCCGGAAATAGTATCCTGAGGGGGGATGGCTGAGTTAGCATTCAAAAGGCGAAGAAAAAGTGCAACATACCATAGAGAGAGATGTCTCCCGTTGCTCTGCTGAGATCAAAAACAGCCTCGGCCATCTTCAAGTTCTGGTTCTGCACGGTCTTGTCCACTTGGGGCTGCTCCATGATCGTATCGTTCTTCGAATCCTCAATATCAACTTTCAGTGAGGCATACTTGGGGTTCTGCTTCAGGCCATCCCACGTCCCCTGGTACGCAATGGTTCCGCCACCCAGAATAATTAGCTGGTCTGCTAAGTTGAAATGCGCAGCTATAGACTGTCAGTCTTCGTACAGTCTCGCTAGCATAGCAACGTAGGGAGCATACTCGAATGAGTAACAAGGAAAATAGTCGTGCCCGCCTTCTTGAAATAGCCTGCAGAACCGAGCAGGTTCTCAACAACACGACTTTCTGTTTTACCGTCAAGTGCACTGAAGCTATCGTCCAAGATGACGATCTCACTGCGGGCGTATACAGCTCGAGCAAGAGCCTTAGTAGTTGTGGTCAGTGAAGTGAACCGTTTGAATTTTGACACGACAACAAATATGTAGCGAAAAGAGCATGGCGATGCAAACGTACCACTCGTTGTCGTTGTCCTCCAGAAAGGTTCAAGCCTCGGCTTCCTATCATGGTACTGTCGCCGCTGGGAAGTGCCAGGAGGTCCTCATCGAGACAGCATAGTTGGATCACCTCCTGATACCAGACTGGCTCCTCGGGAAGGAATCCGCAGACTGCTTGTTTGAAGGTTCCGCTAGGCAACCAAGGAGACTGTTCGCAGTATCCGATCCGCTTCGTCGACACAGATATCGTCCCAGAAGCCGTGGAAATCTCACCTAAGAGGGCTCGGACAAGCGCCGTTTTGCCGCACCCAACGGGACCAGAGCACATAATTATCGAACCCTTGTCAATGACGAGGTTGAGATTGCTGAGAATTGGAGGTTTCGATGCAGTGAGCCCTTGGATAGTGACGTCGTTGAAAGACATGGCGGGCGAAATGTCGACGAGGCTGTCTTCTACTTTATCGAAAAGAAGTCTTTGGTCCTCTCGGGGTGGCTCAGCAAGATATTTCAGGATTCGCTCAAACGCCGCCAGCGAGCCCACAGCTTGCGGCACGATGGTCATAATCAAGTTGGCAGGGTGCGTCACCAAGCCGAGTAGCGCCGTAGTCGTGAAGGCCGTCTCAACATCGAGTGCGGCGCCATTAAGCCTCGCTACGATCACGTACAGAACGAGCGTGAGAATGGGGGCGAAGATGCCGAGAGCGTTTGCTACAAGGTGTCAGGAGATAGCATTATACCTTGAAATCGGATGAGATCACATACCACTCGCGTTATAAGCGACCATCATCCACCGGACTTTCTTGGCCATATCTAGCTCTCGAAGGCGGAGAGATAAGATCAGAGATTCCGTATAGTCTACGATCCCAAGCATCTTCAAACTCTTGACCGAGCCAAGCATAGATGTGGTCATGGCGATTCGGTTCTGAGTAGCCACGGACCAGTCCTTTTGCTTGCTCTGGAGGTTCTTTGCCAGATATCGACTCACACGAGAGCAAACTAAAGAGCTCATTAGTTCTTACTCTGAGTACGAGTGCCCAGATTCAACTCACAAAAGATCATGACGAATGGAACCGCGCAAACCCATCCGACTCTCTGAGCTAGCATCACAGTGCCTATAGCGACCTCGATGATCTGCGCCCACGTCTCGTGGAACATGGAAGCCGACTGAACCACGTTGTCTGCGTCTGTACTCATCAAAGTAACCGCCTTTGCATCGTCGTAGCCAGTAGACTGCTGACTGAGCTGCTTGTTGTTGAGGAGACCAACAACAGCGCCTCTAATCATGATCTTGAGGCGGTTGAGACGGTGTTGGTAGGCAACCCTCGCAATCTAGAATACAACTAAGTATTGCACCGTAAGAAACCGCAGGCGACGAGACTTACAGCCAAGCCAACATAAACGACGACAGCCATCAACACAACCGAGCACCCATCATCTTGAGATTCCTCGGATGACTTGCTGATGGAGCGAATGACAGTACCGATGAGGACCGGCTGAGCGTAGCGGAATCCGATGAGAACCAAGCGAGGGATGATGGGCGCAAGAAACTGTGGAAGCATACTACGCAGCAGCACTTTGGGCAGCGTCATCTTTTTCTCCGGCTTGTCTATGGTGCTGTTAGCAAAAGTCGACGCGTTGTGCTACGCCAGCGGGAAAATAGGCGTACTTCTCTGATTCCATGCTTGTAGGGCTCGTTGGCGTCGAAGTTGCGATGACAGCTTGCTGTCCATCATAGGAAGGCAGTCTCCAGATAGAATGTATTTGTTCCCTCGGGCGAGAATCGGATTGATCCATCCAAAGAACGTTCGATCCAGAATATTGGACAATTCCTCTGGAGACCACTGATCACGAGGACCCTGCAGGATCGTTTGTTTTCCTCGAAGTTCAACAACCAGAAGCACGCCCTTGATGCAAAGACTCGCAAATGCCGGGGCGGCAACTTTGGCGGACCCATTGTCAGAAACTCCCGTTCTCAAGTCAAACAAACTGCATCCCGACGATACAAGTAGATAGACAATAGCGAGATCCGACGGCCTGACGGATCTGGTGTGCTCCAACAAGAGCAGCGGGCAGAGGCCCACATAAGCCACCAAGGACAAAATAGGAGAGTATAGATTGATCCCAAGTCGAGGCATCGAGAATGCTGTCGTAGCGAGTATGGTTGACTGGGCCACGACCAATATGATTGCGAGGATCTAGCTTCAGTTTAGTTCAGTTCCCAAGAAGCTGCATCATCCATCACTACGCACAACTTTGGCATGGCCGTGGTGTTCCGGAATAACCTTGATCGTTTCTTTGCGAAGCTTCAATAGACGGAATGGCAGCAACAGCAGAAACAAGGCTGATGCTGTGGTTGACAAAAAGAGCGAGTTTGGAACCATGATTGCTTGAGCTTAACTCTTCGTCGGTCTCACTCTCCCCTTTCCCTCGCGTCGATTCTTCTCTTCTTATCTGTGTCTCTGTGCACCCAGAAGTAGCAGTGATTGAGGTAAGATAACAAAGACGGAATCAAGAGGCTGAACTGTTGTTGTTTTGAGCGTCATGGGTTTTGTCCGCCGCGTGCCTTCTGACCCGTATTTGGTGAACAAGGGGTCTGGATTCCCTATTCAGAACCAACGACAGTAGACCTCCAAGACCTATTGGAGTGATTTAGGAATGCGATGGCCGGTGAGTTCCATTCACGGAGCAATGCACAAGTGGAGCGCTTGGCGAGATTGGATACGATGTTATAGTGTAGGCGAGATGCACAAAGCATACGAGGTCTGTTTACTTGCTTGAAACCAACAACTTCATTCCACGCGTGGCACAGCTGCAGTCGTCCCTATTTGACCCTGGTCACCTTCCCTGTTGGAGTTATAGGGCCGCGTCCCCTGCATGAAGTAAGCAGCGCTTCCACGTTGGTGTCGGCAAGTCCGAAAAGACAGACAAGTCGCGAATTGCTTCAATTTTGTGTCAAATGTGTATGTCTGTGAACTTGAAGATGCCATTATCCAGTCTTTCGAGCAGAGTACAATGCTTTTACAGCAAATATCATCGCCGAATGACTAACCAAAGCAGCCGTTGCACAACAGTCTGGATATTGCTTGCAATGCTAAGGTCCGCGAGACGATCGATACTTTTTCTCATTCGAAAACTCTCGGGCATTTCTGCTTTCCGATCCTCCAGTCTGGTTGGACTGACTATTCGAGAGCCACTATAGCGTCTTGTTCCAGGTGTTTGCATCTGGCTGATGTCGTTTCTCATGTCGCTCCTCACGGCGACTTTCCAAGAGTCGATGTTTGCTCTAGGAGTGCTCTCAATGAGCAGGCTTTTACTGTGTTTCGCTGACGCTGCTCAATTGAAGAGCGCCAGCCATATAATTCCAATCACGCCACTATCCGACATCCTTCTATAGAATCAGCATAGGTGACAAAGTTGCGCAATCTCATTGATTCATCACTTGTCAAGAACCCGCGCCTTGACAAAGCGGTTGATTTGCTCCCGAGAGAGCTTGTCATTGTACTGCTCGTGACAATCGTAAAACGAAATCAGCTCTTGGGTGCAGTCAACCATGGCAGCGATATCAACGTTGCTCTCGGCCAGCCAAGCACCGTACCGCTGCACCCGGGTGAATCTAGCCTCCGGTTGCTTCTCTTTATCCGCGGGGTTCGGTGTTCCGGGAGTCGGAGGCAGTCCAGGCACTCGGCCTTGGGCCTGAGCTAACGCTGCGCTTGCAGCAGCAATACCAGCTGCGGATGGCGGGTTGGAACCAGACATGTTAGGCGAGGGCCGCAGAACCAATACAAGCAAGATTGCTGTGAGGGCAATCGTATGGGGTGGATATAGCAGCGGTAGATCCGTCATGTAGTGATCGTTGATGATGGACCAGCCTAGGGCGACGTCCTCCTGGGTCAAATTCAACTCCTGTTGGTAGTTGTTCAGGGTTCGATACGGTTGATGAACTATGAGCTGAGAGCTCATCTCGGATATCATGAAGAACTCGCACTCGCCGAGCTTTGAGGTGTCGAGACCGAGGAAATCGGGCCACAGGGAGCGAGCTTCACTGACGATTAGACGAATATGCTGCGGGGACTCTTCCATCTTGCAAGCCAGATACAGCGCGGTTGCAACGACCAGGTATGGATTTGTTCGCCGGATTTCGACCTTGGTGTAGAAGCGTTTGATATAGACTTGGGCAGTGGCCATGGCCTGCTGTCGGACTACCATGCGTTTGCCGAGTCGGTTGACCTCTGCGTGCGTGATGAAGTTAGCAAGTGGGCATGCTTTGAAGAGCAGCAGGGAAGCTAACGCTGATTGAAGTAAATGCCTAGGTGCCGCTGTTGCGGGAGAGGAAACATCTGGACTAGGTCGGCATTGTCGTCTTCGAGCTTCTGGCGCACTGCTTGGAGTTCATCTTTGGAGAAGAGCCAGAAGCGACGCTGGGTTGACTCCCAGTAGTTGGCAGCCATGATGACCTCTCCCGGGCGTTCTGATGGAAGTCTATGACATGATTTGTGTCCGCAATGACCCGGAGAGGTTGGAGGAGTTGCTGTTGAGGAGCAGCGAGGCTGATGTGAAGTTGACGGAAAGGGTGGCTGCGAGGCTGGTGCAACACACCTGTGGCTGAGGTCTCCCTGATAACGATAAGGCGGAACATGTCCGTCCGGGCGGCCTCAGGGAACCACCTCGCTGGAGCTGTCTGCTGAAGGAGCACTAGAAGCTCCCGGGAGCACTGCTAATTGGTGGCAGCTGATTGCCTCGCTTGGCCCGCCAGTGGAACCCTCCCCTGGGTAGCCGAGCTTCTGACGCTGTGGCCCCAGCGCGAACCACTTGCGGCAGGCGGTGCTGCATTTTCTTGGTCGCTGCACCTCGCGATCCTCCTACGTCAGTCCTTGTGACTTGCAGCACCTCATGCAAGCAAAGCCAGTCGCGACAACACCAACTCAACGCCGCCTTAGATAACCCGCCATGTCGTCGTGAGACAGACGCCCCTCGATAGACCCCCCCGCGATTTCCACCTTTCTACCGCCGTTCGCCCTATGAATCCCGCGTCGAGACCGAGCCCTCGACTCTACTGACCCTGCGTCCTGATGCCGCCGCCGCCATGGGGGTAACAAATTGGGTTACCGAGCGCCAGATGGAGGTGGACGAGTCGCAGAACCAGCGGGATAAACGGGTCGAGGACCTCTGGAGGCAATTGGACCCCCAGGGGACGGGACATTTGGACTTTAAGGGGTTGCAGAAGGGGTTGAAGAAGATTGATCACCGTTAGCATCAAACTCTGCCCGAAGCTCCCGTGTGGTCTGGGTGCTGACGTTGCCCTTTAGCTATGAAAAATGCGGACGATATGTTGCGGAGGATCATGACCGTCGTCGACACCAACGACGACGGTGTGATTCAGTATGAAGGTAAGCTGCGAATTGGGGGGCTATCAGACTAGAAGCTGAAGCTACTGGCCGGGTTCCCCTTGTCTTGGATTGGATATGATATCGAGGACGGCCGCTGACAATGACCTCTCGCCAGAGTTCCGCTACTTTGTCGAGCAGACAGAGAGGCAGCTCATGCTTCTTTTCCAGTCTATAGACAAGGACCATGATGGGAGACTTGACAAGACTGAACTACAGGAGGCCTTCCGACGAGCTGGGCTGGTTGTGCCGATGCGCAAGCTCAGCTCCTTTTTTGGTGATATCGACATGAACAACGATGGCTACATAAGCTTCGAAGAATGGCGGTAAGTTTCTCAGCATTCAGTAGAGTATGTTGTGAGTCCATGGGTGTTGTTGTAAGCCCAAGCCGCAAAGCGAGGTGTAGAGGGAAAGGTGGCCGGTTATCCGACGTATTTGGGAAGGTCCGGATCTAGGCCCAGGCGCACTACTCCACGGTGACCGGCCGTGATGTTTTCGGTGTGGCTCGGTGTACAGGTGTACAGTTGTATGCCTAAGGTGGGCGAGAGGCTTCTCCGATGGATGCCCTAGTGCCGTTGTCGGGTTGCTCCTTCCTCTTTTTCTTCTTGGAAAAACCTCTCCTTCTGTTCTGCTTGGAGAGTGAATCACTGACAGAGCCCGGACACGCGCAGAGATTTTCTTTTGTTTATGCCAACACACAATGGCCACGCCCCTCTGAAGGCCGTGTTGGACTTTTATTCTTCCATCGTCACCCTCACTGCTGAAGGTGACTCGATGGTATCGGAGGAGACACTTGAAGGTTTAGGTACGACCGGCTTCCTTCTGCAAACCCTCTTTGGATCCATTTTGAGGATCGCATCCCCTTCGGATCGTGAGCCCGGCACCACCACCGAGTCCTTTGCTTCCTCCGCCACCGCCGACGAAGACGGCCGCCCCGTGGTGATGGTTGTCCCCTCCCAGGAAGGCGCTGCGTCGCCCGTTCCTACCACAGCTGCGCAGCTTTCCACCTTGTCAAAACCGCAGCAAAATCAACAAACTTCACCAGACAGCCTCACTTCTGCCACAGATTCCGCCCAACAGCAAATATCAAAAACAACAACATCATCAGGAACCGCGACAACCGCGACAACAACACAAGCCGTGATACCCATCTCTCCTCCAGGCTTTTCAGGTACCAGCGCCAACATGAACAATATGAACATGGAGGCAGCGGTGCTGCAGGCGTGCATCGAGGCCGGAAACGAGAAGCGCACAGGCATCCTCCGAAGACTCCCCGGCGTCGGCACCTCTCAAGCGAACCAGGTCACAGACAGCAGCTCCGAGCAAGGCTCTAGCTCAGATGCAACTGTAGCACCCAAGACCAAGAGACTGACTGACTTCGCCCCTGATCCAGGTTACTTTGTCGCAGGTGCCGTCGCCGGAGGACTATCGCGGACTGCCACTGCTCCTCTCGATCGTCTCAAGGTCTACCTGCTCGTCAACACTCGAGCCAGTACCGAGACTGCGGCCTCTGCTCTGAAGCAGGGACGTCCGCTGGTTGCTCTGAACAACGCTGTGCGACCTTTTAGCGATGCCGTCAAGGATCTCTGGAAGGCAGGCGGCATGCGCAGTCTTTTTGCAGGTACGCTCATGCTCATACTTCTACTGATCTTTATATTCATTCATGGCTATCGGCTGCTACTGGCCCATCGTACCGTCTATCTTGGACTCCCTAGATTGAAAGATGATTGGCCAGTTCAGACCTAGCAACCACTTAAATCATGTACTGACTGCCCCAAGGCAACGGACTCAATGTCATCAAGATCATGCCTGAGAGCGCCATCAAGTTCGGATCCTATGAGGCCGCAAAGCGAACCCTTTCTAAGTTCGAGGGACACAACGACCCCAGACAGATCAGCAGCACCTCAAAATTCGTGGCGGGAGGTGTAGCTGGCATGGTTGCTCAGTACGTTATTTCTTTATACCACTCCTCCAAGTTTGCCTCATTTGCTTTGGCCGCTGTCATCTCTATCATTTCCCACATAGCCGCCGTCTCTCCCCTTGTCTCTCCATGTCTCTCTTGCCGCCTTGACTCGCTGCTGACGTCCCCTAGGTTCTGTGTATACCCGCTCGATACACTCAAGTTCCGGCTCCAGACGTCGACGGTCCAGGGCGGCCTCACTGGCAATGCACTTGTTATCGATACTGCCAAGAAGATGTGGCAGGCGGGAGGCATGCGCATCGCCTATCGTGGTGTCACCATGGGCCTCATGGGCATGTTCCCGTATAGTGCCATTGACATGGGCACATTTGAGTTCCTCAAATCCTCCTACAAGAGATACATGGCCAAGTACAAGGGCATTCACGAGGAGGATGCCAAGCCGGGCAACATCATGACTGGTCTCATAGGAGCGACCAGTGGTGCTTTCGGAGCGTCAGTGGTGTACCCACTCAATGTCCTCCGCACCCGTCTCCAGACGCAGGGAACAGTCATGCACCCTGCAACTTATACCGGCATCGTGGATGTCGCACGGCAGACGTTCAAGAATGAGGGTGTGCGGGGCATGTACAAGGGACTCACGCCTAACCTGCTCAAGGTTGCTCCCGCCCTGAGCATCACATGGGTTGTGTATGAGAACTCGAAGAGAATTCTCGGTCTGGAGTGAAGAGACAAAGACTCTTTTGGGATGGTGGTTGATCTGGACAAGAGAAGGGGAGTGGACTTTTACTACAAGACGTCAAAGAGACACCACAAAAGCCAGGAGGTATATTCTTGGGTTCCTCATTTGAATTGTGGAGGAAGACGAAGATTTTTGGAAGGCGACATGGGGTCGCCTACGTATGGCCAGCTCAAGGAGAGCGGCACACTCTGTTTTGTTACATAGCCCCGTCGTCAATGGCGTTTGGAAGACGTGGTCAGAGAGAGAGAAAAAGAGATACCAGAGAAGACTTTTGCTCGCTGCAAGGGTGGATGGAACCAGGCTGGCGGTAGCTGTCGGTAGCTTAGCTGCACTGCGGTGCGGATACAGGAGCGGGAAGCCCCAGAGATGTTTGCTCAATACAGCCGAATGCCTGCATATAAGTGGTTGGTTGCCACGTGGGGGTGATGCTTTGCAGGGTGAGGTTATCGTGAGAGTGACGATGGAGGGCCTGTCTTTTATGTACTGGTCGTCATGTATAGGAGCCCGAGGTAAACGTCGCAGAGCCCCCAAACTTCATCTCACGTCTCCCAGTGGGTGCCATCTTAATCTGAGATCCGAAAAGGGAAACAAAAAAAGAAGGAAAAAAAAAAGCTTCAAGATCGGTTGACGTAGTCCTCGAGACAGAATGGAACGTCGTCTAGTCTGCCAAGCTGGCGTGCCTCAAGGGAAAAGAAGCTTACGTCGCGCTCGTCGTCACCCCGCGTCCACACTGAACCCCGTTGGAGGGGTTGGACACGACAAGACACCCACTATGAAGAAGCTTGATTGATGGGCGGGCTCCAGTCAATATGCAGAGAGACGACTGTGATTCGTAACCCGACGACTAACAACGATGATATCCTGGTAGACCATAGGATGGTTCGGAGGGACTAGCCGAGGCTGGTAGGGGGTGACTTGGATAAGCATCGGAGGGGGGAGATACTGGAAGGAACTTTGTTTTTTGCGAGCCAATTGCGTGGGTTGAATGTACCTTGAGATATGTTGCCTATCTAATGATACGTACTGCTGGAGACGTTGGACTTGGGTACTTTTGTCGGTGTAAGATCGGGCCAACATTGCTCCACTTACACTTACTTACCTTACTGTGTAGAGGTTAACGGTTGACAGTTGACTGATGGATGACTCTTCCCCAAGTCCAATCTTTTGGAGCTTGTCAGATTGCGCACCCAACTTTATTCAGTCACCTTACATCAACAAGTCACTAACGAGTCCACGACCATCCTTGCTGGACGAGGAACTTGTGCTCGTCTTACTTTTTCACGCTTCTTCTCCACTCGATAGCCGTTATCCAATAATCTCAATTGACTTTTTTCCTTTCCATCGTTTGCACCCGGCGGCGCGGCATCCCTCGTACTTTTAGGTTCCCCACCGTCCTTAACGAGCTTCCTGTTTCGTTTGGCTGCGCAATAAGCGTGTTACTGTCACGCAAGCAATGCTGCGAAAGAAGAGTCAAGAAGCCGTGCTGCCATGGACTTGGTGACTTGAAGACTACACTACGCAGTAATGCCTTGCGGATACTGCAGGACTGACTGGGTACCAGGGGGCGAAGAGAGACTGAGATGGTTCACACCATACAATGTGCATCTTGCGCTTGGTAGCAATTCAAGTCCCCGACACTGCCGTTGTCCGCGGTGCCGTTACTTGGTCTCATATCGTTGCCCTGATCTGCAGGCTTACGAGTCTGCCCCCCCTCTTTCGCGATGTCGAGTGAATCCTTCCACCGTATCGGGTGCAGGCCCGCCGGGGACGGCGTGCGGGCAGCGGCGTCTGCCTTGTTCACGCATGTCTTGCGTCTTCGGCGACCCGACCGGGTTCGGTCTTGTGGATTCTGATTGCAGTTCGTTCGTGTATCCATCCGTAGGTGGTTGGGGGTTCCCTCTCTCTCGCTTTGTCTCTGAGTATCTGCGAGGGTTGTCTCAATCTCGGCTCCGACTCAACTCCTACTAGCCTCTTTCTGTGAAGCCATTCCTGTCAATCCCATTCAACTCCATCTCTCCCGCTCTCTCTTCTTCGTCCCTCATCTGCGGTATTCGTAACTTTCCCCTCTATTCTCCCATCGTACCCCCTCCGGCTTACCTCAATCGAGTGTGAACGCGCACTTCTTCGTGGCCCCGACTTGTATCCTCCTTCCTATTATCACTCATCTTACGTCGGCGCGCGTGTCTCTCCTGTTGTCATTGACAAGGTGCAATCATCTACTGACACGCGAGAGAGATACTTCACTCATACATTGTTTGATCAGTCAGCCAACAGCAACGGCATTACTCACGGTCACAGAGGGGTGCTGAAGCTCTGAGGCAAACGAGAGCCCCGTCGCCGAAACTGTTTGACTCCGTTTCTTGGCGTCCGTTCTATCCGTTGCCCTCGACACTGCGCGTATCAGCCAAGTCCCCTTCACGATTCAGTCGCTGTCACTTGCTGTCACTGTTTGGCGTGCCAGACTGCCACCGTCTACCCCGTCAGAGACTCAACGTGCCCTGTCCCAAGGGGCAAAGCTCAAACATTAGGCGACCCGGCATTAAGAAACAGAACCACCAAACGAAGGGAACAAAACGTTATACCTACTCCAAAACGGTTGTATCCCACAGAGCACAGACAATCCCCCAAAGGCCCCAAGGGGACTCTGTCAGAAGACAAAAAAGAAGGGATCAAAGGGACTGAAATAGTAACAAGCCGCCGCCATGCCGGCCCCGTATTCCGACAACCTGTACTCCGCCGACGACTCCGACTTTGACGAAGTCCCGGACGACAGTCTCGACGCCCACCTGTCGCCTACAGACGGCTACTTCCAAAGCAGCACTTCATTGTCAGCCGGGGGAATATACCCTCCGCAGCAGCAAGAGTCTCATTTCCACAACAGCGAGGACAACGTCACTGACGCGACGACGTTCCCCACGTCCGCCGCCGTACCGCATGTGCCCAACGTTCTCGTCCAAGACCCTTCGCTGTTGCAGCGAGAGCAACAAGAGCAAGGCTCCTCGTCGTCAAAGAAGGACCGTGAAGCCAAGGAAGAGACAAGGTTAAACACATCCTTCCACCAACACCATCACAACAACGGCGACGACGACATAGAAGCACAATCACGTCACTACTCCTCAACACATAGGAGGACCTCGTCATCCGTCTCGGCCATTGACGACTTTTACGACGACGGGGCCTCCTCTACCGCCGCGGACAGCGAGGCGACGCCATCACACACAACCTACACCTCCAACGTCCACTCCCATTCCCACTCTCACTCACACTCCCACGCCGCCCAGAGCTCGTCGTCTTATACACCTTACTCGCCCTCCACAGACGCTCCACTGCGCACGCCCCAGACTCACTCGAGATACTCCTCCAACAACCCGGCCTCTCTGTTTCGCATCCCCAGCGAGGCACCACCTGCCTACACGCCATCGCCCACGTCCCCGCTCTCGTCATCACCCACAGAGTTTAGAAACTATCAGACCTTCAACACCATCTCGAGGACGGCCAACAACAACAACAACAACAACAACATCAACATGGGCGCACCTGAAGAAGAGAGGCGCCTGCTTGGCCGCGACCCCGAGAGCATGGGCGACGTGCCCTATGATGACAATGACGACGATCATGACCCTAGACCTCCGCCGTCGTGGAAGGATAGAGCTCTTAAGAAGTTCCCTTGGGCCTCGAGGCGGACGCTGAAGATGGTGCTGCTTGCCGCCTTGGTCTTCTTCACCTTGACGGGATTCCTTAGCATGTTGGCCTCGACTGTGATTAATGCGGTGCGTCTCAAACTTCCATCTACATCTACACCTACTACTACCTTTACATGAAGCTAACTAACAACCCGTAGCCATCTGAAAAGTCTCCTGCCAAGGAGCCTCCCCAGCAATATGACCCCGTCACCGGACTGCCCATCAAAGACGGATCTCCCGTGCCAAGTGACCCCTCCAAACCCGCCGAGCCTGGCGAAGCCGTCCCTTGGCGTCCATCGAGCACATGCCTCCAGACCGAGCACCGCTTCGAGCCCAAGTTCTTCGACCTCACCTTCGCCGCCGACAAGGACATCAGCGTCCTCCAGGCCGTCGAGAACGACTCCCCCTCCCGCGGCTACCAGCCCCAGGTCTCGGGCGACTTTGTGATCCGCCGCCAGCAGGCCGGCCGCCCCGGTCCCTCGATCGAGCTCGAGGTCGTCTCCAACGACCCGGCCCTGGACGTCTCCGTCGAGTGGAACGCGGAGCAGCAGCTCATCGTCCGCACCCCGCAGCGCATCGAATGGACCCAGTCCCGCCGGCCCTGCATGACCGTCCGCGCGACCGTCTGGGTCCCCGAGGGCGCCTCCCTCCGCCACGTCCTCCTCATGGCCATGAACCTCGACGTCCGCGTCGTCGACGACCTCTCCGTCAACCTCGCGGACGGCCTCGAGATCGGCACAATGTCCGGCGACGTCCACTCCCCCGTCGAGGTCCCCGCCACGTACCACCTCAACTCCCGCGACATCCTCGTAAAGACAATCTCGGGCGACATCGTCGGCTCCTGGCCCCTCTACGACTCCCTGAAAATCAACTCCGAATCGGGCGACATCATCACAAACGTCTCGCCCCAACAGGTCCTCGACGCCCGCCCCCGCCCCGCCGTCCTCGAAGTCGCCACCATCTCGGGCGACATCACCGTCAAAGAACCCCTCGCCGCCGCCGCGGAGAGCAGCAAACCCGACACCGTCGTCCCGCCGCGCGACTACATCACCACCATCGACACCAAGTCCGGCTCCATCAAGGCCTGGGTCGCCTTCTCGTCCGCCGCCGTCGCCGAGAGCATCAGCGGCGACATCGCCGCCGAGTTCCTCCCCGTCTACAACGTCAGCCTCCTCCAGGCCGTCGCGGAGCCCGAGCTGCACACCAAGACGAAATCCGGCAACACGGCCGTGAAGATCCTCGAGCCCATCTGGGTCGAGATCCTCGGCACCGAGGGCGCGTACGAGGGTGAGAAGCCGCGCGCGAACCCGGATGAGCCCGTCGATATCCCGACGAACCCGCTGCCCATCCCCGATAAGATCCCGCGCATGCCGGGCGTGCCGTTTACGCCCATCGGCGCCGGGCCGTGGAAGCGCATCCCGCTGCCTGGCGGTCGGCACTTGGACGACGCCTGGCGCGAGGTACGTCGCCACCCCTTTGGTGATGCCATCACGGCGTCTTCAGAGCAGGAGCGCGCGGTCTCGATCAGGGACCAACCCCCCATGCGTCACCTCAAGTCCTCGCACGGCTCCGTCAGCGGAAGCATGGAGCTAAAGTACCCTGCCTCCTGGGAGGGTACCGTCGAGGCCGAGAGCATCAGCGGCAAGATCAACATCCTCGGCAAGGACGTCAAAATCGACAGCCGGACGAAATGGCCCAAGGCCGTGCACGCGCACAAGGGTCAGGCGTGGAACTGTCAGGTCTCGTTGGGGAGTGTGTCTGGCGATGAGGTTCTTATCATCGGAGAGGAGAAGTAAGCCAGAACAAGGACTTGCTTATTCTTGGGTAAAGAAAAGGGGTTGTGATAGATGTCGTCCCCATGTATGCGGGAAATACGTGGACGAGATGATTACGCAAGTATGCGTGGTCTTGCTATGCTCTAAGAGCAAAAAGAGGGTGGAGAAAAGGGCATATATACCTTAATACCTGTCGTTACGATGGATGGAATGGATTTCAACGGCGTTTTTAGGACGAGGAAGCTCAGCAAAGATGAACTGAGCAATCTTCTTGGCCAATACCGACGAGGCGAAAATCATAAGCCTCGAGCATTTCATTTCCTTTTTATACTTGAAATACAAATAAGAGCAATCAAACTTCATTGGCGCTTTTCATCCATCTTCGCTCTCATGGTGACTGGGTTCTATGCTTCCTCATACATCACGACACTGTAGGCGATTGTAGATAAATATAGGTAAATGTAAGTAAATAAGGGGGGTATCTCATGCTCATGCTCTTTAAGCAGACTTCAGACCAAAACTTGCTCTCCTCTCCTTCTCCTCAACCTGTTTCTTCCGCAACACCGCCGCCGTCATCATCCTCTTCTTCCTTCTCATTCCGCTAATCCGTTTCCAAACTCTCTCCTCCGCCGTGCTATCCGCCAAAACATGCCTCCTTAAGACAGCACCCCCGGCAAAGGCGTGGCTGCTGCTCTGGCTTCTACGACCGCTACCACTGCCACTCCCACTGCCGCTGCTACTCCCACTACCGCTTCGTCCCTGTCGTATACGACCCCCACCACCCATCGTCTCGCGCTCGAACAAGCCCATATCGACCTTGCGGTACCGTACCTCATACTGAACCCACCTCTCGAGGCCGGGTAATCCGACGCCCAATGTCGGCAGGGCAAGCATCCTCAGCACCTCCTCGCCCGTCTTCTCGTCGCGGTTGACGGCGTACAGCGCAGGGAGCGTATACCGCACTTTCCCCGGCGCGAACCGCTTCAGTATGCCCTCGAACTCAGCCCTGCGGTCAGCCGCGCTAGTGGTGGTGCCGCTGCTGGTGCCGCGACCGCCGGTAATGCCGAGCCCAGGCGCGGCGCGAATGACCCCCTCCTCGTCTTCTTTGCTCTCCCGCTTCTCCCCCTCTTCTGCACCCCCAGCAGCAGTAGCAGCCTCACCTCCATCACCTCCAAGACCCTCCCGGAAAGCCTTGCCGTGAATCGGCGCAAACGGCGCGATCCGGAAATACGCCTTCACCCGTCCCCTCACCCGAATCCAGAACCGGCCGTCCCAGAGCTTGAAGCGCCGCCAGGCGTACCACCTCCTCGTCTCGCGGAACCGCGGCTGCGGGAGCGGCAGGCGGTCCAGCGCGGCGAGCCGCTCTCGCGACATGTACTCTGCGTCCTCGGGCGACTCCCACTGCGTGGGCGGGAAGGTCGGGTGGCGGTGCTTGTCGCTGATGTTGGAGGTCGTTGTGAATGTCGTCTGCGGGAGCGGGTGCAAGGAAGGGTAGGGTTCGCGGACGAGGTACCATTTTGAGGGGCCGAGGGGGAGGAAGAGGATGGAGGCTTGGTTGAAGGCTTTTGGTGGCGGTGGCGGTGTTGAAGTTGAGGGTGAGCCTTCCACGAGGGTGGGAAAGAGTTTGGCGACGATGTTTTGGAGGGATGTGTGCTGAGGCGGGGTCCGGTCGGGCGAGACGAAGGCCACGAGTCTCTTTACGACGTACCCCGCGACGGCCCTCCGATGCGCGAGCCGGAGCTCCCTCCTCACGTTATCGTTGACCGACTTCCTGCCCCTCTCGCGCCCGCGTCCCGGACCGGAACCAAAGACACCCAGCTCAGGAAGCCGAACGACAAGCGTCCCGACATTCGGCTCGAACTCTGCAATAGCCTGCCTCTTAATCCACCTCTCAGCCTCCTGCTCCAGACCCCTCAGCTTCGCCCCGCACCGCGCCGACATCCTCAGCACATTCTCCTTGCGCAGCGCCGCGGGCAGACGGTGATTCCGCACCATGTGCCTCACCGCGTTCCTCGTCGTCAGCGTCACGTCTTTATTGGTAGCGTCCTCGAACCAGCGCACGTTATTCGCCTCGCACGTCGCAATCAGCCGGTCCTTGCTGAAGTCGAGTAGCGGGCGATAAATCATCACCCCGGCATCCTCGGTGCGTATCCTCGTCATGTTCCGCGCCGCGGCCGCGGCCCTCGCCTTCGCGGACGCAGAACTCGCCGCGGAGAAGAGCCAGTCGCTTCCAGCGCTGTCGTCTTCGCCGCCGACGTAAGGGCCCTCATGCCATCCCGTCTGCAGACCGGCTCTCAACTCGGCGCCGTATAACTCTAGATCCAGCTCCGAGACGAGCTGTCGCCGCATGTGCCTCCAGTCCCGCTTCGGCGGCCGGAAGCTGATCTGCGGCATCCGCATCATCTGGTCGTCGACATGTCCGCTCTCGTAGACGCCGTGCATATCGTAGCACTCTGGTATATTCCCGGCCTTGAGCATGCCTCTCAGCCCGCGGCTGCCGTGGCCAGCGAGCAGCCTCATCAGCACGGTCTCGTATTGATCATCCTGGTGGTGCGCGAGGAAGATACTTTCAACGTGCATCGCAAGACACAGCGTACCCAACCGCCTGTACCGCACCCTCCTCGCGAGACTCTCGACGTTGGGCAACAAATTCGGATCGCCCGTGACACCCTCAGCCTTCCAATTCACCGTGTCCCACTGCGGCCGTATATGCCTGAAATTCCGCAACTCCTTCACGACGGCCAGCGCCTCCTCGCGGGATCCCTCGCGCAGGCCGTGATCAATGACGTATGCTGAGATTTTCGCGAGCGGGTTATCGACGACGCGCATGAGGGGGTTGATCTCGCGCAGCTGGTTGAAGAGGTGCGCGAGGGCCATGGAGTCGACGCCGCCTGACACGGCGAGGCCGATGCGGCGCGGCTGGGCGGTGCGGGCGTGGGGGAAGCGCGGCGGGGTGGCGGCGCGGAGGGCGTCGAAGAACTCGAGAAAGGTTATGGGTTTCGGGACCGGGTGGAGGATGAGGTGGTGGGCTGCCGCCGCCGCCGCTGCTGTTGCGGTCGCCGCTGCGGTCGCGATCGGGGGGGTTGTGAAGGCCATTCCATCGCCTCTATGTCGTTGTGGTTTTGTCCTGTGTTGTGTGTCGGGTTCGATGAAGCTATCGTGGGTTTCCGTTTCTTGGGATGATGCAATTGACGAATCAACGGTTGGCAGTCTCCAACGTGACGATGGGATAAGGGAAATGGAGCTTTCAACCGACTAAATCCCCCACTGCCGGAACCTGTGAGCTCGGGCTCTTCGGAGGAAAGATTTCCCAAGCTGGGAGCCTGTGTCAAGGAGCAGCGATAAGGATAAGGGAGCTCCCCCGGGCCCCGCGCTCGCTGATAACCCACCTCACCGAGCGGCGAGAGCATTGCAGACCTCGGAGAGTCGGAGCTCTAGCGCAAAGACCCCTGCCAATTCTTTTTTTCTGTCGCGTTACGTACAGGGACCGATTGAGCTCCGATATCTAATACCTCACGATACCAATCTCATCTCCTCCGTCATTCACTCCAAGTGTCGTCTCCCTCTCAATTGACGCAGATGCACTTTCTGTCGTCATAGCATTAGGCCCTTTCCTCTTGCGGCCTTCCGTTCTTTTGCATATCCCAGTCAATTGACTTTCGTTCGGTTGCCGTCGGTTTACATCCGTCGACCTCTTAATCCTCGGCGCAATCCCGAGCACGCGACCCAACGATCTCGACCTCCACGAAGCCACCACCACCACCCGAGCCATACCTCATCGAAGGCATTGAGAGAGCGAGAAAGAAGCCGATTTCTCTGCGAATCCAGATCTACCTTCTCACATAAACCACCTAAACCGCAACCATGTCCACCGCAAACCAACCCCCCTCCTTCACAACAGCCCTCCTAGCAGGCGGAATAGCAGGCACAACAGTAGACCTAACCCTCTTCCCCCTCGACACCCTCAAAACCCGCCTCCAGTCCTCGGCCGGCTTCTTCCCCTCCGGCGGCTTCACCGGAATCTACCGCGGCATCGGCTCCGCCGTCGTCGGCTCCGCCCCCGGCGCCGCCTTCTTCTTCTGCACCTACGAGGGTTCCAAATCCTTCATTCACTCCCGCCTCCTCGCCCTCTCAGGATCATCATCATCAACAAACGGAAAGGCGGCCAAACCAGCCTGGGTCGACCCAGCAACCCACATGCTCGCCGCCTCCCTAGGCGAAATCGCCGCCTGCGCAATCCGCGTCCCCACCGAAGTCGTAAAACAGCGCGCCCAAGCAGGCCAGCACGGCGGCTCCTCCCTCCTCGCCTTCCGCTCCATCCTCTCCCAATACTCCTCCCCGACCGGACGCAACGGCCTCTCCGCCGTCTGGCGCGAGCTCTACCGCGGCTGGTCCATCACCGTCCTCCGCGAGGTCCCCTTCACCATAATCCAGTTCCCCCTCTGGGAACGCCTCAAGCGCTGGGGCCGCGAGCGCAAGCAGGCCAAGAACTACAAGCTCGACATCGACCCGGCCACGGGGGCCAACACCAAACAACAGACGCAGTACGAGGTCAGCGCCGTCGAGAGCGCGCTGTACGGCAGCGTGGCTGGCGCCGCGGCCGCGGGCATTACGACTCCGCTCGACGTGCTCAAGACGAGGGTGATGCTGAGCCAGCAGAAGGAAAAGATTGGCGATATCCTGAGGACGATTTACAAGGAGCACGGCATTCGCCCCTTCTTTGCGGGTATCGGGCCGAGGGTCATGTGGATCAGCATCGGGGGGTCCATCTTCCTCGGCAGCTATCAGTTTGCGTCAAACACCTTGACCGGCGCCGTGATATAACAACAGTTTAATCAATTCCTTGGAAGTGTGTGATGGGATGTGGTTGTTCGCAAACAAGCATAGAGGCGCGCATTTCATAATGCGCTGGATAGACGGCGAACCGGCCATGTGAAAAGGGAAAAAGAATTTCTGTATTTGGGGGCCCTCAACTTGCCCTCCTGCTGTATAAACATACGCTTCGAGCACGCAGCCAGAAGGGCTGCCTGCGACTTGACAACTTTTCCGCTATGTACATTACTGAAAAACGCCATTATACCCGTACTGACTAGACATCACAGGCCATGGCCGTTTGACTCACGTCGTACAGCAACATGCAACTCTCGTGACGAAAATGCCCACTTGTACTTTGTGGTCCATGTGCCATCTCTATGCCAGTGGCACTCCCTGGTCGGACGCACCCTGTCTACCACTCGAGACTATCGCGAGGCCGAGGCAGCCGTAGATGTCCCCCATGATCGTGGCGGAGTTAGTTCAGAAGGCGCAGGTTGCATGTACTGCTCTTGGTCGGCTTTCTTTACCACACTCATGGTTTTGAAGCTTTGCGGTGGCTGTATCTTTTGCAAGCTTACTTGGAGGTGTGGTCTCCCTTGCCACCACCCTGCCACTAGAGACAGAGACTATCCTGTCGTTGGAGGTGTTGCGGTGCCTGTCGATGGTGCAGGGTCAGATTCCGCTGCTGACGGTGCTACCGCTGCAGGTTCGGTTTCCGCCTTGGGAGCCTCCTTGATCTCCTTGATCTCCTTGATCTCCTTGCGCCCATTTGCCTTGTAGTGAAGCTGCACGTCGTTGCCACCCTTCCAAATGTGAGCTCGTAGGGTTGCAAGGGTCATTGTGATGGGTAGCAACTAAGCCAGGTTAGCAGAGGTCGAACAGGGCGCATGCATAGGACACTTACCTGTTCGTTACAGTACAGCTCCAAGTACTCGTGAGGCAGGAGAGCATCAGGCTCAGGGTTCTCTGGCTGGGGATCGATGCGTTCCGCAACGTACGCCAAGATCTTCTTGACACGTAACATCCTGTTAGCGTTGAGACGATTGTTGCCATCCGTTGTCGCGATGTCGGGCAGGCTGTTCTGCCATGGCTGAAGGACGAATGAGACCTTGACAGGCTCCTTGATAGGGATCTGATTCTGGAGCAGCACCTCGCCCAACCACATGGGACCGCATTGCTCAATGATATCCGCCCCCTGGCCGACTGTCTCAACAGTGCCCTGATAGATGTTGGCGCTTCCACCAGTCGTCTCTTCCTGGAGAACAACCTTTGTACCAGGAGGTAGTTTGAGCACCGGTGTGTCGTTTGCCAAGCTTGGCGTAACCTTTGTCTCGATGAGCTTCTCGGGATTCTCAGTCAGTGACTTGTCGTAATCATTGCGAATCTTCTGGATGGCGCCCAGGAAACTGTCGTCGACTTCCTTCTCGTGGGTTGATGATGCCTCGGATTCTTCAGCCTTCTCGTCCACCACAGCCGGTTTCTCCGGCGCAGTGGTCGACGCCGATCGTCCACTCTTCTTGCTACCAAAAGACATGCCCATGCCCATGCGGAATTTCTTGCCAAACGGTGTGCTGGGCGACTTTCCATTGGTTGCGTCCTTGTCCTTGTCTTTTTCCTTGTCCTTCTCCTTCTCCTTGTCTTTGCCTGCGTCTACTGGAGTCTTGGCATCGGGAGCTGCTGTTTGCTCGGCAGGCGTTGCGGGTGCTGCAGTAGGCTTCGAAGCGCCTTCGATCGGCCCAATGGCGCTTGTAAAATAGTCTTCTCGCTCGGTTGACGGCCGGCTGAACTGAGATGATTTGTTGTCGAGGGGACTGGATGGAGTGGCTGCTCCTTCTGGCACGTCGTGAAGGCGTCCAGAAGCCCCCGGTGTGGCGAGGCCAATAGCCATGCCAGGTGTCATGGGGTAGTGAGAGCCATTCGCACGTGGTGTCATTCCCGAACTCTCATCCCATGCATTGTCGGTAGGAATCGCTATTGACGATGGAGGGTTTGCACGGCTTGCTTGCAGTCTCCGTTCGACGGCTTCGTTGAGCGTGGCACGGTACGCTTCATCGCGTTTGATTTCCTCGTCGATCAAGCCAGCAAACAGGTAGCGAAGGATCCATTTGCCGAGATTGACTAGGAACCGGTTAGTATATGATCAATCTCAAACTCCCAAACCTCTTACTTCTCTGGTCCTCTCGGAACTCTACTGGCTCCTCCAACTCCAGGTCGTCCGCATACATCTCTGCATCGAAGCAATTGAACGGTTCCAGAACTACAGTAAGACTTCCGGAGCTGATGTCGATGGAGCACCACGGAGCCACAGCTTCCGTGGTGTTGACTTCAATCTCAACGTCTTCTAGGTGCTTTTTTGCAAACTTTTGGATTGGTTTACACTGCGAGGGTTAGTTATTCATCCTCGAGCCACACAAGCCGCCAACATACCTTGATGAGATCCCACATGAGAACGTCACCGGCCGTGTCCAGCGTCAGAACTCTCCTCCTGTCGTTCAAAAGCCTGTGCTTGACCAAACCAAACTGACCCTCAATGGTCTCCTCCGGGTTCTGGTTGATAGGCTCGGTCCCGTGCGGCACATGATTTCCAACTGCCGGTGGAGATTCTGGGCCAGGAGCGGCTTGCACTGGGAATGTTGCCGTGTTGGAGATGCGCAAGATCGATCTTGGTGAGATTTCCTTCTTCGGGGGGTTCGCAGGTGGAGGACTCGAGGGTTGTCTAGTTCTCGAAGCCGTCGATGCAGCCCGCTGGCGTTGGAAGGCCTCGGGAAGTTGCAGGTCAGGGCCTGTGTCGATATTGGACCACCGGTTAATCGACGAAGTGTTAGTTGCCGTCCAGATGTAGTCGCCGGCCGCCACGACCTTGCTGATCGAGTGAGATTCGTGGGCGACAGCAACAGAAATTCCGTCGTCGAGGTCTTCAAGGTTCCCGCGGACGTCCGTTTTCACAACGAAACCGGACCTATCACTGCTGTAAAAGGTGCCCAGCTCAGGGTCATCCGAGAAGAGTGACCAGACGCTGTCTTCGTGCATGGTGAATGTGTACATACAACGTCCAGCCGTGACACTCCAGAGCTTGATCGTGTGATCGGAACTGGCCGTAAGCACCTTGTCGCCCGCCTCGTTGAGCAGGACGCCGCGCACATTATCCGTGTGGCCGACAAACTTGGTCACCCTCTTGCCGGAACGAGGATCCCATAAGCGCACAACCGACTCGGGGCCACCGTTGGCCATGATGCTGTGGCCGACGCTCAAGGCATAAATGGAGCCCTTCTCCGCAACCTCGTCGCCCTGTGTGTCGATCTCGAGAGTCTTGCCTCCTCCGTTCAGGTCCCACAGGTATATCTTGCGATCGAAACCACCCGAGGCAACCCAGTTGACGGAGCCGCCAGGGGGTGTAGCAACGCACTTGACATAGTCGGCGTGCCCTCCAATGGTCGCGGCGATATCGTTCGTCTCGGAGTGTGGGCGCCAGACCTTGACCGTCAGGTCGTTGGAGGCGGTGACGACGGCTGAGTTGTTGTTGGCGAGGACAATGTCGTTGATCCATGCCATGTGCGCCTGGGTCTGGGAGCGGAAGGCTGTCTTGGTCTTGGTCTCGGGGGGTGGTACGCTTCCGCCGGTCTGGAGGTTGAGGTTGAGGTCCCATGCGCAAATGTAGCCATCGCGGGCTCCCGAGTATCTGTTTGCGAGCGGAGCAGTGTCAGCGGGTAGCGGCGCAGAGACGAGGAGTGGTAGTAAGTGGTAGCAGGAGGGCTACGGTTCGCATCGCGGTCTCGGGGTCTTACAGAATGCCATTGTCCTTGTCGACGGCGAGGCCATTGACGCCTAGTCTGTGGCCGCCACCTTGCGAACCAGCTGGGAGCTCGAGGACTGTTTGACCGTATGTGGTTAGCAAGCGAGGCCATTGACATTCTCGGGAACACTGCAGACAGGTCCGAGTCTCGCGATCAAAGTCAAGACTCGAGGTGCTCATCCCGGCGGACGTGCGGGGTTGCGGTCGCCGGCCTCAGCCAACATGCGACGGAAGCGCAGCGGGCACACGAGCACCAGCAGCAGAGCAAAGCGGCACGGACAGAAGATGCACACGACGGACATACCATAGCTGACTCTCTGGCGCGCTTTCTTGGCCATTTTCGAGCGGTAGCGCGGGGGGGTTATGATCGATTACGGATTACGCATGCAAGAAAGAAGAAACAATGCAATGGGGGAAAAGGACGATGCGATGCTATAAAGGGAAGGGTATACGAGTGGCCGGGTACGTGAGCTCGCCGGGTGGTGATGCTGTGAGGATGTAGCCGTAGTAGTGGTGGTGGTGGTGGGAGTAGTGAGGTAAGTGGTAGCAGTAGGTAAGGTAGTAATTGGCTGCGGCTGGAGTTATGGGGGTGGGCGCACGGAGATAGGTAGGTAGAAACGTGGGATTGCGAGGTGAGGTGCCTGCCCAGGTATGATGTATTGGTGGATTGCGACGGGGCCAAGCGGGGGAGGACCTGAGCCAGGAAAGATGGGGGACGGGATGGAATGATGGATGGGAATGGGAATGGGCTCAGCGAATGCTGCAAGGCTTAAAGGCGCATTCGTACTCCGTACTTCGTACACACACTATGTAAGGTAGGCAGGTACTGAGGTGGGCTGTAAGAGGCAAAAAGGGTGTGAGTGCGCGTCGTTGGGTGTCTGCAATCTGCAACCGCATCTGCACCTATACCTGTTGGTGTTGGCGCAATCCAACATGTTGGAAGGATTGGGATCCATCACTGTCACCTGAGGCCGGGGTACTTTCTCTTCGTGGGTGCGAGGTGCACGGGGTAAGGACTCGAGGTAGGTGGATAAGGGGGGGGGGGCAGTCAGGTCAGGGTACCTCTATTCGTACCTGTGTGCAAGTTAACGAAGGTATTCATGTTCCGTCAGAGCATCAGAGGTGAAGCAATTGAGTTTGGCTGGCACCGTCACACTCGCTTTCTTGAACCCCTGATATCGTCTTGCCCATCTTATGATTGCACCGATCTGCGCATGAACGCTCCAGCAACGGGACGAACCTGCTGTTGATCTGTCTGGTGGCTGGCGTTCCTCTTGAAAGTCTGACCAAATCCTGCATTATGCGTCTTACCTACCTATTCTACCTAGGTACAAAGACAGTGGCATTAAACACCTCGGACGATCCGTACCCAGGTACCTTTGGTAGGCGTGGAAGGTGAAAGTGGTACGTAGACCGGGATCCAGAACAAATCTGACAGACGCCAGACGATCCAAGTAGCACATGGCTCGCCAATTAGCGCCCAGAGTGTCATGTGTCGTTTCTGTAGTACGACGGCGGCAGACAAGACCCCTCTTTTGGGCCAGCTCAATCAGCTCTGGGGAAGTAATCAAACACATCCAATGAGACACACTCATCAATCGAGAAGTCTGCCAGTCTTCAATTTGTCTCTGGAGACGGGAGGTCGCCTCTGGAAGAAATCAGTGGCTGGCGCATTCTCCAAGTGCAAGCCACCGACCCTGAACCGTCAGACTGAGGTGCCAACCCCGAAAAAAGAAAGCATGGACCCGCCGATCCCCCTCCCCTCGGTGCTCTTTCCCCCACAGTCCCTTTCCCCGTCTTCCATTGCCCCACGCGTCCGTGTCACTTCGGCGCCGGCCTCCATCACCAACATCCATCATTCAACGTCACCATCACCATCTCGTATCATATCAACATTGACGTGGAACTGAGATCATTCTCACCAAGGCCAAAAAGTCTCAATTGATGTCGTAACTCGTCCTCCGATTTGGGGGTATCATTCCTAAAGTCCATCCCAACGGTCCCAAAAAACGCACTTCCCTTGCTCTCCGTAATGAACGCCCTTATAAGCCACTCCAAACTTCATCACCAATTGCTGCCCCCAAGAGGATGATCTGGTGGTGATCGGCTATGTATCATAGCCCTCAATCCTCCAGATCCATCCTCTTGGTGGCAGCAACCAGCGTCTCCAACCCCATGATGCTGGTTCTCACACCCGCCGGCATATCGGCAACCCCCGCCTTTTTCTCAGCTTCTACATCACCGGCCTTAGTCAGTCATCATCTCCAAGCGAGTACGCCGCATGGTATATGCGTATTGAGAAGAATGGTGAATAATAGGGATCCGTTCACGGTAGAGATGTAGTACTGGATATACTCTTCGAGACAAATGTTCTCTATACATAGAGTTCTAGGCAAGGTAGTATTGCCAAATCAAGATCGAGACAGACATCTTTGATAAAATGAAGAAGAAAAAAAAACAATCAAAGACAAATAGTAAAGCAAAACTAAAAACTTACTCAAAGCCTCAGCAGCCCGCCTCTCTTTCTCTGCCCTCTTACAAGCAACACAAAGCCCAGACACGGGGCGGGTGGCAAACCGGGGCCGAGCGCGACACTCCCGGAGCGGAATGTCAAAGGGCTCCTTCTCGGGCAGGTGGACAGGCCTGTTGAGGGTGAGCTCGCCGTGGAGGGTTCTGTAGGTGCCGAATCGGGTGGTGCTGTCGCCGGTGCGGGTGCGGACGCACTCCATCATGTTCTGGTACTGCTTGTGCATGCAGGCCGTGTGCAGGGTGTAGGTGTAGGTGCACATCTTTTCTGGTGCTCCTTTTGAATGACTTGGTACTGCTTTTCTTTTTTGCGGATGGTGGGGGTTTGCTGGTGAACGATAATGTGTGCTGAGCTGTGTGAGCTTGGAGCGAGAGTTGTTTGTTGCTCGTCGAGTGAGTATTTTGTAGTTCCTTGATCGCCGTGTCTGTGTTCGTGAGTTTGGATCCGGTTTGGATTGTCTGATTGACAGAAAGATTGTACTCAAAGAAGGGGAGCAGAAAGTAAGGTCGAAGTGGCTGTGGATGGAGTTGGATTCCGGGCTGTTGCCTCGTTTGCTTGAGTATCGAGGCGACTCTTTAGCTGTCGTTGAATTGTCGATTCTCTGACTTGTTTCCTTTGCTCGAAGCTGGCTTTGATTCTCGATACTCCGGTAAGACGGGAGACAGAAAGTGAGTCTGGTGATTCGTTTGTTGTTGGTTGGAAGGGTGAAGCTTGTATGCGACCTGCCGTCGATGGTCCCTTTCTATCAAAAGCCGACTGACTTCTTGCTGATGGATGGATCAGAAGAAAGGAAAGTCGAGCAGCAGCCCAGGAAAGAGAAAAGTAAAGTTGAGAAAAAAATCTCTCGAGAAAGGAAGGAGCGCTGGGTGGGAGGGAAAAAAAGATGTGGGATGGGATGGGTTGGTGATGTGGTTCATATGAGCTTTCGTCTGGATGGTGTAGATATTGAGAATTATGTGGTACAGAGACGGAGTGAATGAGGCAGGAGGTGCCCGGTCTGAAGCCCATGTGGCCGGTGTGGAAGAATAGATTCAATAGAGTATTCTGGTACGCTCTTCTGTATATCCACAATGCATCAGATCCCGGGCTCCCTGGCCACGACCGTCCGACTAACTTGCTCAGTACAGTAAATCAGACTGGCCTCGAGCTTGCTAGCCTCATTCTGAAAGATGAGTGCATCTCATCCACCCGGTAGACATCGAGCTCGATGGGTCTCCTGTATATCTCTGGCTTCTTTAGACGCGTTGAGAACATGTCAAGAGTGGACAATGAAAGGCGATGCTCTTTCGCCCTGTCACAGACTCTCAAGTCTTTACTTCACAATGACATATCATGAACAGATCCAAATCTTGTAAAACAAATCAAAGTCCCAATTACCATTTTTTGACCATCATGATTTTTGATGAACGCGACGCCGTGCTGACCAAAATCTATTCTCACAGGAACCATGCCATCTCAGCAATAACAAGAACCTCTTCCTCCCATTTTCTTCTTCATCTTCTTCATCATCATCCACTGATCCCACCCCTCTCAAACTCCCTTTCACCGCTTCTTATAGAACCCACCAGTACCACTCTGCTGGTTCCTAGGCTGACTTCCATACGCTCTCCTCCCCTGCGTCTTCTTATCCCGACTCATGCTCGCGCCGACAGTAATATCCACCCGCGGCGGCGTCGAGAAGCCAAAGCTCTTTGCCACCTTGGCCAGATCCAGCTTATTCACGTCAAACACGGTGCGCAGCGAATGCGACGCGTACGCGTGCAGATAACTGCGGTAGCCGTCCTTGGCGCTCTTGTTGAGGTAGTAGTTCTGGTTGATGAGCTTCTCGAGCAGGGACTGGATGTTGGCGACCTTGTTGGCGGGGAAGTCGAACTCGACGACGGGCACGCGGGCCTCCTTGAGGTGCGTCAGGAAGCCGACCTCGCTGGGCTGGAGGAACATGAGGGAGCGGCCCTTGCTGTTGGAGCCGCGGGCGGTCCGGCCGACGCGGTGGATGTAGTCGCGCGGGTCGTCTGGGGGGTCGACCTGGACGATCCAGTCTACTGCGGGGATCTACGAGTTCTTTTAGTACACCATTGCATCCATGAGTGTGTGAGAGAGTGTGACTTACATCCAAACCACGAGCGGCAACGTCGGTGCAGATGAGGGTACCCTGCTTGGCATTGCAAAACTCGAAAAACGTATTCGTCCGCTTCTGCTGCTTCTGCTTGCCGTGCAGATCCAGCACCGGCAAATCGATATAGTTGAGCAGCTCGGCGTGGTACTTCACAGAGTTACAACTGCTGAAAAAGACGATGACCTTCTTCTTCAAGTTGCGCTTCAGGAACGAGAACAGCAGCAGGAACCGCTTATCCGCGTCGCAGAGCACGTACCCCTGCTCCAAGTTCGCAACGGTGCTGTGCTCCTGCTTCTCGTCGACGTTCACGTACAACGGCCCCGGGCGCAGCGAGATGCGCGCCAGGTCCTCGACCTTTGTCGTCTGCGTCGCGGAGAAGAGCATCGTCTGGCGGTCGTTTTTGGGCAAAATCTTGACAATCTGCCGCATCTCGTCCTCGAAACCGATTTCCAATATCCGGTCGGCCTCGTCGATGATGAGCGACTTGAGGTTCTTGAAGACGAAGGGGGTGTTTTGCAGGTGATCCAGCAGGCGGCCGGGCGTGGCAATCAGCAGATTGACGCCCTTTTGCAACTTGTCCGCCTCGGCGCGACGGTTCGCGCCGCCGATGACGATGCCGTAAGTCTGGGAGTGGTGCGCCATCAGCTCGCGCGCGACGCCAAAGATCTGCAGCGCCAGCTCGCGGGTGGGCGAGACGACGATGACGCCCGTGCCGTTGCGCGGCTTGAAGCGCAGGGCGCTGAGCATCTCGACGGCGGGGATGAGGAAGGCGAGCGTCTTTCCGGAACCCGTCTTGGCTGCGCCCAGGACGTCCTTGCCGCTTAGCAAGGGGGGGATGCCCCGCCTCTGGATCTCCGTCATCTTGGTGAAGCCCATGTCGCCAATGGCCTTCATCGTCTTCTCGGAGAGGTTGAGCTCGGCAAAGTCGTGGGCCTCGGCGCCGGCGGCGGGCGGGAGGGAGAGCTGCTGCGCGTTGGGGATGTCGTTTTCGCCGTCGGCGGTGTCCTTTGCGGGCGCGTGGACGTCGTCGTCGAGGTCGGAGCCGTTGCCCTCGTCTTCGTCGTCTTGTGCCGTCTTGAAGTTGGCGGCGGCCGTCTCCTCCTCGTTCTCGACATCCTCGGCGTCGCTGCCGGCCTCGACTTGCTCCTTCTCCTCTTCATTGTCGCTTTCCGGCTCGGGCTGCTTGCTGCGCTTCACCTTCTTGGACTTCTTCGCGGGGGCCTCTGCGGTCGTCGTGGCGGCGGGGACCTCTGCCTCGGCGGCTCGCTTTTTGCTGGAGACTTTCACGCCATTGGAGTCGCGTGACTTTCTCTTCTTGCTCGTGGCGGCGTCCATCTTGTGTGGTTTTTGTGGCGGTTCTTTGCAATGCGAGAATTGCGTTGTAGAAAACCGTGCAGTGAAGGCGGCCAGAAGGGACTTCTCTCAAGCTGCTACCAAAAGTGTCGACCCTCTCCCGCCTGGGAATTTTTTTTTCTTATCGGTCTGAAAAGTCTGGGCTGATAACGGAGGCGGTTAATCCACTCCGAGTGGAATGCGATGCGGGGCAAAAGGTACGTACCGGGTGCTGAACTCATGGAAAGGCGGGCCTCATGAACGCCTCCATCAATTTGAATGTAGACGTCCCGGCCTTTTATGCCTCTAGAGCAGAGCTTGGAATGTGATTCAAGCTTTTTAGAGACCATCACGGTAGAAGCCACCTCGAACGATTATTTCCAACGTATGACTCACAGGAAACTCGGATTTTCTCGATGACGAGATACTTGCGCGTTGTGTTTGGCTATCTGTTTTCCAAGGTCACTGCAATGTAGACATCACCGAATTCTTGGAATACAGGCCATCGCCAAGGGTCACAGCTTGAGACGATCACGAATCCTTGCCGAGATGCTCGACATATAGTTATTGAGGTTGGCTTGGAAGTTGCCAACCAGCTCCTATGTGGCTCGTTATACGCAACTGGACGAGGACAGTCACACAAACCAACTTGATTAAGATCATCTTCAATCATGCCCAATTTCCACTCGGTAAGAACAAGAACATAGCAGTTCTGATGTCAGTCACGGAATCGAAAGAGAACGTAATTAGTACCTAACGTAGGTACATTCATCATGAAGCTATGAAACTGGGAAACTAAAGGGAACAAGTAGAGAAGACTGGTCAGGGAAAATTTCCACCGTCCAGTCCCTCGTCACACCCAAACGGATGTCAAACGGTCCTTGGTCCAACCCGAACCTCTATGCCGGTGTCCGCAACCACTCAAACCGCCTGCGTAACCCCCCGTCCGATCGGTGCAATTTTTGTCCCCTCCCCTTTTCGTTCCCTTTCATTTGATTGTGAATTGTCGAACCTTGAAAACATTTGTCCTAGAGTAGTTGTAGGATCTTGAGCAAGTGCAAAGTAATTGTGATCCCGGACCGCAGAAACATTGCGACGGTGACTGCAAGACTCTGAAAGCGTGAAAGCCCACTTCTGGGTGAGAAGTGTAAACAGGGTGATGCGGTCGCCGTGTTGACGTTCGTCTGGTCCAGTAAAAAAAAGCAAGGTGATTTGTTCCATCGAGAATGGGTGTCGGATGCCCTCCGACGTGATATACCACCACTCTCCGCGTTTTTTTGCCGCCGTCCCTGTAATAGGTCATCTTTTCTCTCTCTCCGTGTTGTCCTTAAACGCCATCGTGAACCGAGTGGAATATGCCGAAAAGTGGAGTCTGAAAACATCGTCGTCGTCAAGAGAAAAAAGGAAACCCTTCGCGTGCGCAGGTCTCAAATCGACCTCGAACTGTCCTCGTCACAGAGACCGTGACCACAAGACAGACACGCCTGCGTCCATTTCCTTCGAGTTCCTATTCCAATCCTTCAGTCAATCTTGGTCCACATACCAATTTTAAGAACTCTTTTCACGTACACTCCGCAATGGGGTTCTCGTGCTTGGCCGTGGAACCCTTGCCGCGCCAGGTGCTGACCGCGGGGATGTTAGCCTCGTAGCGCACCTCCTCGGTTCCGTAGGCGCGCGGGGTGAGCTTGATGAGGGTGTGCAGGGGCACGTTCATCCAGGGGCTGTCGGCCTGACTCTTGTTCATGAAGTAGGCGTAGATGCAGCGCAGCACGGCCTGGTGGGTGACGATGAGAATGTCCTCGCTGCGCTCGAGCTCCATGATGATGGGCTCGAGGCGGATGACGACGTCGCGGTACGACTCACCGCCGCGGTAGCGGTAGTTGTACTTGTCCTCGTCACGGGCGGCGAAATCCTCCGGGAAACGGTCCTTGATTTCCTGGTAGGTGAGGCCGTCGCAGACGCCGGAGTCGAGCTCGTCGAGAGCCTTCCACTGCAACTGGTTGTAGTTAGGAGGGAGGAAGCGAGCGGTAGCGATGGTGCGCTTGAGAGTCGAGGTCCAGACGGTCAGGGGACGATCGTCCTGTGGGTTGGTCAGCAATTTAGACGAAAAAGAGCATTTTGTGAAATGACTTACACCAACTGAATCGCGGACGAGCTCGGGAAGTTTGCGCGCGTACTGCTCACCACGAGGAGAGAGCGTAGTGTCGCCACCAATGCGACCATCCAAGTTGTACATGGACTCTCCGTGCTGTTTCCCATTAGCCAAGACTCAACAGCGCAAAGTCAGTGATGCATACTCTAGAGAGCCAGATGGAGCGAGGACGAATGTGCAAGTTCATGAGGTAGTAGACAACGCGACTCTGAAGGTAGTCCTGGATGCGGTTGATGATGACCTGCTTGCCGACATCCATGATCTTCAGGTAGGTGTACTCGTTCTCGTCACCATCCTCGTCAAGCGTCTTGTAGACCTTCTCGTAGTTGCGAATGCGGTTGCGGAAGTCAAGCGCGGCCTCCTCGGGGTCTTGTCCCTGGTAGTCGGGCGAGGTGGTCTTGACGTCGCGAATGTTGGCCATGATGAGGTTCTCGTTGTCGCACTTGCTCTCGACGAAAAGGACCTCGATGCCCTCCTTGGTGCAGATGTCGAGAACCCACTTGCGGCGCTCCTTGGTGGAGTTGGTGGCATCGAGGATGCCAATTACACCACCCTGGCGGAACCAGGCCAGCATGTCCTCGATGGCCTTCTCGGCCGCGGCGCGACGTCTGCGCTCGCCCTCGGTATTGTAGAAGTCAAAGAAGTCAGCCGAGGGGTGCGCGTCCTCCTGGCGGCGGTAGCTGCCGACGTTGAAGGTCTTTGCCTTGATGGAGAGCCAACCCAGGTAGCGTTGCGCTGAGCCAAACCAGTCAGTGTCAAATAATCGGAATATCGACGCTGCGAATATGCGCCAAAGTGGCAGCTGGGTCGTTTGCTGAATATTCTCTGGAGAAATACGCAGCTGGAATATTTACTCACCTTTCTGGGCGATGAAGCTCTTGCCCCGAGCGGGCAGACCAACCATGACGACGCATATCTTGGTATCCTCCACCTGAATGCCTATGCCGTTAGTCTTGGCCGGCATCTTGACGCTGTGTCTTTTCTCGTTCTCTCTCTCTTTTTGGTAGTTGTCTGAGCAGGAAGTCGTTATGACGAGACAGAAGGAAAAGGATGTTGTAGAAGCTGAAAACGCGTAGGCATGAGAAGGAAGCTGGAGATGAATTGAGTGGCGTGGAAAGAGAGAGCGTGGAGGAAGGCAGCTCGCGTGATGCTTCCAGCTCGTGGCAGTAGCTCTACGCCCAAATAGGCGGGACCCCTCGGGTGTGACTCTCGGGGCGGGTGCGGTGACTTTGGGACGGGGATGACGGGGATGACGGGGGTTAAGGGTCACTCTGAGCCGGACGACATGGAACTGCTAAAAGAAGTGGAGGAGGAGGTCCTTGTCTCTTTGACTTCTTTGATAACGATACTGGCAATGTGTAGGAACTAGGGGGAAGACTGAGCCAACGGCTGTGCTTCGAAACGTTGTTTGCTGAAGAATTCCGTTTGCAGGCAGAGGCAAGGTATGTATGTAAGGGTAGATAGAGGTATGGGTATGTGTAGGTGTAAGGAGATGCAGAAACAGCACAGTTGAGGTTGCACAGGATTTGGGGAACGATGATGTAGTGAGGAGAAGAGAGTGACCTGATGTTAGGTGAGGTGAAAGGTGAGGGTGGAGGGCATAGAGTAATGAGTGGATGGGCGGCGTGCGTAAGTATGTGAAAGTGTGAAGGGGATCAAGAGAAAGGTACGTAAAACATAGGTAAACGAGGAGGGGGAACCTAAGAGGACAAGGGCTGCCGAGAGGATATCCCGAGGAACAGGAATACCAAAGGTACTTGGTAGGCAATGGAAGCTGCTTGGAATCGACTTGGCTGCCAGCAAAGAGCCGAGAGCAGCAAGTACCTTACTTCTCAAGAAGTACAGAAGAGTCAACGTATGGAATCGCTGGACTCGGCAGTACCTTGGACGAGACTCAGACCTCAAAGAACAAACAGCGGGCGCAACGACGGCAACGGCCATGATGGAGAGACACCAGGCTCAGCTCATCCATCAGGTCAGTTTGCCCAGTTCAGATATCAAGTCCACCACTGGATGAACTGATGCGACATGTGCCTTGCCAGGGGATGGATCGCTGTTTGTGCGGAAGGGTATCCGTAGTCAAGGTAAGGCTAAGGTACTTGAAACAGAGCACTGCTTGCTTGGTGACCCCATCTTTCCGGAAGTATCTTTGGGAATACAGTGACATGTGCTGGGTCACGAATACCGAACAGTGGACGAAAGGCTGCACTATCCATAAGGTACGGATGGTCAGGTAGAATGGGACTTGTTCTCTAGCCCGAGGCCATTGGAGCAAGAACGCCAAACAGCATACAAGGGAAAGAAAAGTCCCATCCTCAAGACGTCCCGTTCGCCCGTCCGCAACTGAGGACCACCACCAGCTTCACCAGCCAAGGTACCTTGAGCAGACACAACAAGATGGATAAGGTGTCCCTTGAGCTGCATGTACCTAACTGGGTATGCATGCAGGGCAGGTCATTCGTTCCATTGTGCGCAACGGCAGAGGCCGCCGTCTCCCCCTCGCGCGGCTTCTCGTCCGTGGTCTGCCCGCCCCTCCATCATAGAGGATCACTGGACCCCATCCCCCCAGGGCGAACTCCAATCCCCCCATTCGGGTGCCCCTCATTCTGCCCGCCTTTCCCCGGTACCCCTTGTCGGGGAGCCTAGCCCACTGGGCCAGTGGAAGGGCAGCTCGAGTCGAGGGCAGAAGCTCCAGCTTGAAGCTCCAGCAGCTCAGCGCAGACTCTAGCGGGCCATCCCCGCATCCACAGCACTTCACCGGGACATGTCGCATCCTAAGGTACTCGCTCCCAGTTTGAGCCTTGGGGTGTCACTTCGCCAGTCGGCTTTCTTGGTTCACCACCCTCCCGAAAAGCCAAGAGGGCAACTCTCACCGAGAACAACCGAGGTGGACATCAGACCACGCCGAACTGATCAATTTGACTTGCCAGACATAGCCGGAGCCTCCTCATGATACCACGTTCATCGGAACGCGGTAGACTACCTTTTCGCGATGACGAGGATGCAAACAAGACCCTTTGTGCTGAAGAATGAAACCCAAATTCCAGTCCACTTGAACTTCTCATTCCAACCACAAATCTTCAAAAGGGCCGTCAACGTCCTTGTCAACTTTGCCAATCGTTTTCACTCGAACTGCTCATCTGTTTGCTGCTCGGCGACCTCCGCCTGCGGCTATTCACCAGAGTCCACAGGAACACTCGACTTGGCATCGCATCAACCACTTGGCCGGCAACAAGAATCACAGTCATCCAGGTCCCCAAAGCTCTCGAGGCTCAACTGAGCAACCCAATGGCCACTAACAGCTGACCCCCACGGAAACCCGCCAGGGGAAAAGGCCACCCGGGACAAGTCTCCTGACCGCGCAACATGGGAAATTTCACCGCCGCACTTGCTGGGGGAAACGCCTCTATCCGCATAGGAGTCTAGGCTTGAGCAACCAGGGGATATTCCCTCTCTCTCTCTGCCCCCCAGCTCCGAATAAGCAGGTCCAACCGGCCGGGACGCGGATCCAACAAATCGGCACGATTACCAGATCGTATCAAACAGTCCAGAAGGGAAAAAGGCTAGGGGAGGGGTCCTCCATCGCTGACCAACACCCCTGCGTGATTATTCACACCGCCAGGAAGCCATCGACTGGGCAAAGGTGGAAAAAAAAAGTCACTTGACGATGCCCATGAGAAAGTCGGCATGGCGTTGCGCTGCACTGCAAACGTGACGACTGAAATCCGCGCAAACGAAACAGAAAGACAACGCGCCAGAAAAAAAAAAAAGTCTCAAAGCTCTTGAAAATCAAAAGAAAAAGAAAGCTAAGAAATTCGGTGATATCGTACCTTGCTGAAGCTCCAGGTATGCTGTCGTCGTGGCGTCTTCTTGCTCTCATCGGCGCTGTTCGCCGGGATCACTCCGATACCCATAGTGGATGGCTGGGCTGCTTGGAAACGTCGCTTTGAAACTGGACTCTGCTGGTTCGCTGGGCAATTCGGGAATGCCTTCGTCCAGGTCGCTTCCCAGATCAGGTCGGAAGAACACTATTCCAGTATTTTCCCCAGAATTGTTGCCGACCACGGGGGATGTCGGAGGGGTTCCAAAAGATCGGTACAGCGACTGCCGAGTAACCGCCGCACACCGCAAACGATGGGGGTTGAGACGATACAATCGTGACGGCGAAGAAGAGGTGGTGCAAGAGAGATGAGAAGAGGGCCGAAAAGAAATCTGCAGAGGAGAAGAGAAAGAGAGGACTGGCCTCTGAAGCAGCGGCAGCAGCAAGGTCGGTATCGCTTGGAAGGAAGTCGGTGAGGTGTGAGTAAGTGTTGCCGAGGGGCCTGGATCGTGAAGTGTTGAACCAAGTGGCAGAAATCAGAGCGCCATCGCAGTGACCTCACTGGAGTGGCTTATCGATAAGGACCATAGAACTCGATAAGCCCTCGTCGCCACTCCGATAAGTCCCGACCCGAGCACTGGTTTCAGTCTCGTCCACTGTGGAAACACCGCCTGCGCTGGAACTGCCGCTGTCTCTAACCTGAAATCACACTTCACCAGGCTGCCCCGGGCGCCGCCGAGGAGGCCAGGATGCTACCTAACCAACACGACTTCAAGTGAGCATTCAAAGAAAATATGAGGCAAGTGGCATTCATTAGACTGAACCCTAGCTCACCAGTACAAGTACAACTCTGTGTAAGCTACTATGTCTTTGGCCAACATGACCCCAAAACAACCTCAGCAAATCCATCCCCAATCTTGTTGAACAGCCTACATGAAATTGAGTAGTCTCAGTCCGAACCTCAAAAGACCTGATGAAGTGTCCTCGAAACTACCAAACCGCTGCTTGCATTTCTACTTCTCGGGGAGCTGAGGAGTGGCACCGTAGGTTTCGCGACCGTAGAAGCGAACCTGACCAGCACCAACGTCAAAGTAGGCTTCGACATTGTGTAGGAAGACTGAACCCAGGATGTACGGACCCTTGCCACCGGTGGTGATTCCGATCTGGCAGTAACCCGTCAGAGGGTCCACCAGTCCGTGGTAGATAAGATCCACGGGGTTGATGAAGAAGCTCGCGCCTTCGATGATGACGGCTATCTTGGGAGCAATGGCATCGCAAGGAGCGAAGTATCCGCCATACTGGAACAAGTAGATGGCACTGGGGGAGAAGGATCTGGCAATAGCCTCAGCTGTGGGCGGAGGCACGTACATGAGCGTCGTGCCGGTGTCGACAATGTACAGGTACTTCTTGGTGTCGCTCGTGGATCCCCAACGCAAGCCATCGACGAGGATGGTGTAGTATGAGTATTGCCAACTACCGTCGGGACGCTGTGAGTTGATGCTGGTCTGCAAGGTTGTAAGTCATACTGAGATGTCATCCTGTTTTAGTTAAAACTCACAATGATGAGATCGGTGTAGGCCGTCGGGCCAGTGATTGGCAGACCAGTGCGGCCACCCCATCCAATTACACCAGACGAATTGCGGACGAGAGAAACACTGAAGGCGTCTGAAGAGAGCCCTTGCTGAACCATACTGGTGAAGAAGGGCGAGTATGGGACCTGGAAAGCAGGGCGATCCTCATTCATGTCGCCAGTGAAAGCACTAGTGATGGAGGGATAGGCAAGACCGAGAACACCGTTGGTGTAGTTGTTGCCCATCCAGTACGTCTTGTTGGCCAGGCCGACCTGCTGTTGTTTGACGACGATACCGGCCACCTCGATGTCACTGTAACCCATGGGGCCGGACACTCGCTCGCCAGAACCGTAGCTCAAGGCGAAGTGGACATCCTCAACGAGGCCATATTTGAAGTCGTCAATCTTGTCCGGTCCAAAGCCGCAAGATTCAGGGGAATAGACAGCAGTGCCTGACAGGTTGGTACAGGTTAGATTGGAACTGGTGGCCCAGGTGTCGCTGCTGCCGGTGTCGAAGATCATGTTGATGAGCTTGCCGTCCCAGGTAACCTCGACAGCATATTGGGTGCCCCAGGGAGACAAGGCCGTGATGTTCTGGTAGCTGGAAGAGAGATCTCGAGGCTGAGCAGCGCCCAAGGCCGTGGCGGCGTTGTGGCCGGTGATTCTGCCATGGAATGGCTTCAATTTCTGGGTGCGGCCAGAGACCTCATCAGGGGCAGCCTCACGAAAGGCCTTGATGCGCTGGAAGTTGACGCCTTTGAGAGGGCTCTTGATCTCGACACCAACACGGCGTCTATCCTTGGCCAAGACAACGTCGGCGGAAAGGAGACCAACTCCTAACAGAGAGGAGAGAACGTTGGCGACCTTCATGACGTCTTTGGGTTACGGAGAGAATGGAAAAATGAGGGTGGTTGAAAGGAATGATGGATGGAACAAGAGAAGGGACGAGACAGTCGAGCTACAGCTTGAGTCTCTTTTTGAAGATGAACGAGGACGCTGGTCAAGTGTTGGGGAGAAAGACTGAGAAGAAGTGGCTACGGCGAGGAAGATGAAGGGTTCTGGAAAAGGGGGAGAGTCCTCGGACGTGTGTTCGGAGTGGGCGGTGACGACAGGAAGGCGCAGCAGATACGAATGCGCTTCCCCCCTCGGCTGGTCCCATCTGCGTTACTTCCCTTTGGGCGAATTGTAACATTAGGAAAGCGTTTGTATGGCGGTGACTGCTAGAAGCTGGAAGGAGGTACGTAAGGTGGTTGCCATCGTGGATAACAGGAACGGCAGGTACCGCTTGCCTTGGATCGTTTGCTCGGGATGCCACGTTCATCTCGGAAGGACCAGATCCGCACGGAAACAGCGTACTTTCCTTTGATATCCTGGCCTCCCGTTGAGGAAGTTGCAGTTTGCCACTGACTCGGAAGGCATTCGCGAGGTTCTCGTCCACATCATTGACACCTTGCTATGGAATCTTGCAGGAGGAAGTTGCAGTTTGCCACTGACTCGGAAGGCATTCGCGAGGTTCTCGTCCACATCATTGACACCTTGCTATGGAATCTTGCAGAGAACGACGGCGTCAAGAAACTTATGGCTCATGGCCGAGACCCGCAACGAGTCCTCAATTTTGTACAGTCTCGCTGTGCATAGGCAAGCTATTCGGTCCGTTGATGTAAATCTCATCTACATCTCATTTGAGGCTTACTTTCCCTTACATATTGATACAAACAGCCTTGACGACTTCCTGTCGACCCATATTTACGGATGTCACATTACTTCGAGATAGAAGCTGATTCTAGCTCAATGATCTTCTTCACACTTGAATGTTTTCCATTAACCAAAGCCTAGCTCATGGTGATCGTGTTATTGTGAAGGTCATCCACGATCCCCCTTGAAGCACATCTTGCGTATGGTCAGGCATAGGATTTGGGGCAATATGATTCATATATCTGTTCGAAACGATGAGCATTTATCAAGCCCAGCTAGGGTTTCGAAACTCCGTCCCATTCAATCTGCTTTAATTACACTAGGCGGATACCTGCAGCATTTGCCAGGTATGCCATTCAGGTACCAGTATCACCAGACGTTACTCGGGAGTCGGCTAGCTCATTGAACAAACGCAAAGAGTCTCAGACCACGCACATGTTATCGGAAGTCGGCTCGAGCAAACGTAATCGGGTCGAAAAAGCATCTGTTGATCTCAGGTAGATAGTTTCTCGAGCTTACAAAAGTCTTGCCTCGCCACTGCGCCATCAAGCTTCGGTAACACAAGATGGGTCCTATGTTTGTTCACGTTTGTCATTCGCGGCCAAACCATACGCTCTCAACGTGCTGTCAACGTGTTGTGAACGAAGATATATGCACATACACCTCGGCCTCTATACTCTCAGCTCTCAACCCCTGTTCGGCAGATCTGTTTGTTCCTCCATGTCAAATGCAAGATGGCGCGCCATCCGCATATGTCCTGCCCAACGTGCCACCATTGTCGTCATGCAGTATGCCCGGCCCACTGTCGTCGCCACCAATTGAACTTCATTTCAACCGAGTCGACTGACACGAGAAGCGACGTTCATTGAGGAACCCCTGAAATTTGTGGCACTGCCGTTCACTGTGGTTGACACATAGGGGCCAACCTCCGGCTCGTATTGAGCTACGTCGATGGTACATGGTAATGTCTGACGACGATTCATAGCGGGCTCATGACATAATCGCCATTGCGACATGTCCGATCTTACAACATATGCTGCCAGAATAAGGTGCTGACACCCCCGATCTCAGCTCCGAAGTTGGGGACCGATCGGCCTACAAGAATCGGAGTCAATGTCCCGCCGGCGGGCCGCTGGCCTGACTATGCTCGTATCACTCCGGTCTGACCGGACTGCCTCATTTTCCCATCAATGTTTTGACAATAATAGAGAATTGAAGCCAAGATCTCAACGTGAATCCCTCAGGATTTGGTTGAGACATCCAGAGTCCCGTGCGGCAGGGATGGAAAGCCGAGGCACTTACCGGAAAGGGTAACCTAGCCAACCTTAACATGATGACGACAAGACCCGAGGATAGGGCTGAGAATGAACTGCCTAACGTTCTTGAAGTGACCCGTCCATCCCATTGGAGCTCTGACTACCTTATATCTTAACCTCACCTCGTCTCCCTCCCTTATCTTTACCTTGAACGTTGACTGCAACCCTTCCCCAGGATCCTTCATCGGATAGTCGGTCGCCAAAAGCAACGGTCGCTGTCGAAAGTTTCTCTCACACAGCACCTTCATTCACACTCACCATGGCATCAAATCAGCCCACCGGCGCTGCCGGACCCCTGCCAGCCATGCAAGAGCTCTCACCAACGACGTTCCTCTACGACCCGCCCTCATCCGTTCCGGACCCGAACTCACCGAAGCTCGTCGCCATCTTCAGCTGGATGTCGGCCCAGGACGTCCATATCGCAAAGTACACATCGCGGTACATGGCGATGTACCCCTCCGCCAGCATCCTCCTCGTGAAATGCCCCTTCGTCCACACCCTCTCCAACCGCATTTCCAAGCGGCAAATCAAGCCGGCGGTCCCCGTGATCCGCTCTCTAGCAGACTCCATCCCGCCGCCGGCATCGTCCGAGACAGGGGCGGGCCAGCGGGCCCCGCAGCTCCTCTTCCACGTCTTCTCCAACGGCGGCGCCACCAACCTCGCAAAGTTCCTCGAGCTCTACGCCGACGCGGACCGCGCGGGCCGTCTGGAGCTTCCGCCGCATGTGACGCTCTACGACTCTTGCCCGGGCGGATTCCACTGGATGCGGAGCTACCGCGCGATCTCGGCCTCGATGCCGCGGATCCTGGCGCCGCTGGCTCACGTCTTCATCGGCTGGTTCTGGCTCTTCCACGTCCCGTTCGGGCGCGTCGGGTTCTTTGGCAAGATGTGGGCGGCGCTGCGGCAAAAGGCGCTGTTGGGCAGTGAGAGGCGGCGGGCGTATTTGTACAGCAAGGAGGATGAGATGATTTACTGGGGTGACGTGGAGAGGCATGCGGATGAGTCTGCTGAGGTTGGATTCAAGGTCCGCAAGGAGAGGTTTGATGGGAGTCAGCATGTTGCGCATGCCAAGTTGGATCCGTCGAGGTATTGGGGCCTTGTGAAGGATGTGTGGGATGAGGACTTGGCTAAGAAGAAGGTTGAGCCGCCGACGCCGACGACGAAGTCTGCTGATGCCCCGTCAGAATCAACGCCCGAGAATGCTCCAGAAACTGCCGACAAGACTGCAGAACCTGTGAAGACAGCACTGGATTCACCGCAGACTGCGCCGGAGGTTCCAAAGGCTGCTCTGAAGCAAGAGACAGCTAGCACAGCTCCTGAACCACCGAAACCCGCACCTCCGCCACCAGAGATTGCACCTGCGAGGCCGAAGCGGCAACCTACGCCGCCTCCAACCATCCAGTAAGCGGGCGATGTCTGTACTTCTGCTAGTTGAAGCACTTATCACTTTTATAGATGATACCTTTTCAGACTTTTGACATAGAATGACTATCCGCGTTGTAAACTATCCTATTATTAGACCTAACAATCATAACCCGCACTTCAGTAAGGCTCCTAGCCGCTATCCTAGTCCTGCTTCATAAAGCTATGACATGTTGTCAGCTAGAGAACACATTTCTGCTCTAATTCTGGGTTAGTGCTTGCCCAAGAGTTCGATCCTTGAGGCGAATACGCGGCCATGAAAGTGAGCCGCAAAGCCTCCTCCCTTGACTCGGTTGTGTCAAGTTAATCTCCTTCAGCGTCATTGAGAAAAGATCCTCTTGTCGCCAGGGTTCGGCTATTGGTCAAGCCCGTACATCGAGGCCCAAGGCAACCGCCCATGTCTCACTCAAGACAGCCAAGGCCTCCTTACCTTCATGCTTAAAGCCAGGGGACGCCTCAGTGGCTTAGCTGTCATACCCAGCGATGAAAACAGCATAACCCCTATTCGCCGCTCATCTGGCATACTGTCCTGATGAGTCGACTATCGGAAACTGACATCGACGAAATAAGCTCCTCGGCACTACTGATAAGGAGTTGATTATCCAGCACACTAAAACGAGCCCAAAGCCTGGACCGAGTCCCCTGGAAGCTGAAAAGCATTCAGCTGTAGCCCTTCGGCACAATGGCGGAAGTTCTAGGGGTCGTTGTGAGCGCCTTGACAGTCGTCGACATGACGGTGAAACTCGGTTCTAGTGCAATCAAGCTCAAGAAGCTCTGGGACCAAGTACAGGACACACCCAGTGAAATCAGTCAGCTCGTTGCACAGGTTGAACTTCTCAACGCCGTCCTTGCCGAGGCGGACGCCATGTTCGACCAGGTCTACAGTACCGATAATAGTCCATCCGTCATCAGTCTTAATTATTGCCAGCATGCAGTAAATCACCTGGAAACCTTGGTGACGGACTTACAACAGCAACTTACGATGGCAAACAAGCCGAGAAGAAGCATAGCGAGACTGAAGTTTACTCTGAAGAAAGACTTGATCCAGAACTGCCAGGACAAGCTGCAAGTGGCATTACAAATGGTGGTCCTATCCCAAAACACTCGCATTCTGTAAGTAAACTCCAAGTAAGATCTAATAGACCTAGAGGCTAAACAACGTCCTAGTGCTGCCCTCAGAGCTCCATCGCCGGAGCCATCGGCTTTTAATCATGGTACCTCGGGAGATATGAAAGATTCGGACATGTCGCCTTCTTCTGAAGAGTTTGTGAAACAAAGACAAGCATCTTTTGGAAGATTCGACGCATATTCTATGCGACGAAGACGGGGAGTGATGGACGCGCTCCCTTGGCGGCAAGCTTCTCTCTTTGGCACCTTTGCGCACCAGACGAGCCCGCACTCCATACTCTCTGGTGTTCAGGGTAAGTAATTCCTTTGCTCAAGTAACCTCTCCCAAGACAGTAGACTCAAGGTATGGGCGTGTCACTAACATCGATCAGTCTACCGGGCACGCGTCAGACCACCGATGTGGATGTCGGAAAGAATATGGGACATCCAAACGTATCGAGCGTGTGCGGGATGGAAGTTCTCTTTAAGAACTTGGACTGTACGCCCCTTTAGTGCTCCTGTATTTGGCTATGTCAAATCGGGGTCTTGGTCTCAAGTCCTACAAGAATTCGAGGGGAACCGGGCGTCATTGTTTGACCGTGACTCTGAGGGGTGGTCTTTAGTACATGTATGTGGGCCCCCCATGCCGCGTACCGCGCTTTAATGAAGAAAGTAAGAGCTAACATTGTGTAAGTATGCAATCTTCTTCGGTCATATCAGTGTCATCAAGAATCTATTGAGTATGGGCCTTAGTCTTGACGACATATACTCCGAGACCTTGGGCAGTTCTTGGATCTTATTCGATGGTGCTTCAGAAGAGCAAGAGACCATGTTAGAACTGTTCCACATGTGGCTCTACATATGTGGGCTTGATGACGATATGGAGGCATTCTTCGTCCACGAAGGCGGTCACTATCGAAACAAGTTTAACGTCGTCTCGAGCTTTGTTTGGAAATTACCCGAGGCAAATCGGATCATGGCGACTGGAAGCAACAGTGCATACTACAAACTGCCTCCCAAATCACGCTTCGCTTGCTTAGGGTGGCAATCAGTCGATCCTCAAGTCTTGCTTAATGATATACATCATGGCGAGGGCCTAGAACCTGCGGACTTTAGCGTGGTCTTTGATGGGCCAAAGGAAAGTTCTCTGGAGAACTTTGTCAACGCGTACGTCAACTCACTTTTTGATGCTGACAATGATGACTTGGAATATTGCCAACCTCTGGAAACCCATGCACCGGCAGACCCTTGGCGGCATCTTGCGCGATGGGTTCTTAAGGGCGTGTCGCCAGAGAGGCTAAGTAGAAAAGCACGCCTCGAGAGGTATCCAATCTCAACGACCACTCTTTTCGCCCTTTTGCTTCACATGGAGGAGTGCTTGATGTTTTCGGGTCATCAAGGACAGGTTGCGAAGCTGCTCATGGCACAGTTGCTATTCACTTGGCTGGAAGACGTGGAACGTGCAGGTCTAGACCTGGTAGAATATGGCAGGCAAGAATGGGAGATTTTCATGGGCTGTGACCAGTTGCAACTTCGAAGATGGTTTGAATCAGTTGGTTGGGACGACGGCGAAGACGATTGCGAAGACGTGATCTCTCCGTCTGGTTTTCGGTTGCAGTCGTTCACATATGGACCGCGTCCTACAGATTGGGCACTGATTTGGATTCTAGATGCTGAGGAGTACGCAGGAGAGTTCTGGGATAATATCGAGAACCCACCTTTACTCGTACCAGGCGGATGGGTTGAGGATCGAATGTAGATAGATTTCCTTCATTCTCCACAACCTTTGACATCGGTGTTGTTGTTTTCTCTCTGAGACGTACGTGTAGGAAATCTGACATCAAACGGCTTTACTAGAGATAACTTGAGCGGCGATGTCTTCAAAGAGTGCCCATGCAAATGCTTTGTATGCAACATGGCTTCAGCATCCGCGACACAGCCTCATGCTGTCATGGAGACCGATCTGATCCAGCTGTTTCAAGAGCCTGGAACCAAATGAGACGAGAGCTCTAGACCACCCGTTCCATTCTCCGAGGAAAGCTCTATTTAGTCCGTCTACTGCTCAAAAGCTTGGAGCGAAGCCTATAGACATTGCGTTCAGTGACAAGAGAAAGCCACACCTGTGTCTGGCTCCAATGACATACATGCCTGGTCTACGACCCTCTCAAACTTGGCGTTGAGTGGTTCGCTCAGGCAAAACAGCTAGCTCCTTCACCAATCATGGCTTTGTGCAACACGACTTTTTGAGCAAATTCCAACATGGTTGGATCTCAGGCCCCTGTTTCAGCTAGTGAGTACCTAAGCTGACAAGCTATTGTGGAATCGGGGCATTCTCGCCGACAGCCTTGTGCGCAACTGCGCACTCCGGCACGTCCAGCGATCCTACGGCCATAAGAGGGCTACTGCTTTCCATTTAATATCTTTCCAATCTTTCGTGTCAAATTCTTGTAGCCGCAATTCAAGAAATTCTTCCGATCAAAGAAACGCTCGAGAATAATGGAAAACAATCCAGCGGAACCCGCGATGCTTCCGCCCCACGAACTCAGGATGCACGTGGATACCATACTAGAGGATGAAAAGCTGTCAATTCTCGGTTACTATAAACATCACACTCTAGATCAACTGGTTCAATATTTGAGGACATCACACGGTCTCTCTGTGCAGTGCGGTGCCCCATGAGTTTAGCAAATCAGAGATACTAACCTACCGACCGTCAAGGAGGAGACAACTCGTCTATAAACTAGGAATTTGGGGAGCCTCCAAATACAGCACACGTGATGATGAAAAGTTGTCTTCGCTTCTAGGTCAACATATTCAAGACTTAGTCAAGACGGGTTCCCTGTTCGCGGGCTCTCTCGCCAAGGGATATCATCTGTTCAGATGGGCTAACGAAGCCGAACAAGTCATCCATAACTTCCACATCAGCGAGAATTCTGACACTCTTTCGCCTTCATCTTTCAAGGATTTATTGGGCGATCTCGATGGAATCATTGCGGATGAACACCCTCAGCTGGTTCACGTACTCTTCGGCGTTTGGGAAGGCATTGCACAGATCGATGATACCAACACTGCGAGCAGATACTTCATCCATCAAGTTTATGCTCTCTGTCAGAAGCGTCTCGGCGAGGATAATCTCATCACAAAAACCTTCGAGTGTCTCAATTTCGGATTTTTTAAGTCAGCGGAGTGTCTGGAGCTCCTCGAGTTCCTTCCAGCAAAGCTTTCTACCCAAAAGTCTAGAAGCCCCAGTTCAAGTTTCGAGACGAGCGACAAGACGAGCGACAAGACGAGCGACAAGACGAGCGACAAGACGAGCGACAAGACGAGCGACAAGACGAGCGACAAGACGAGCGACAAGACGAACGAAAAGACGAACGACTATCAGATCAGATCCTTAGAGAGTTGGAAGACTGCTCTGGGTCCTCGGGTTCGGGAGCCCCCAGCCCTCAAACCCCTCAAACCAAGAAAAAGGCGCCGCAATGTCACATTAAGTGACGACTTGGCTTTTCTGCATCTTAGTGAGTACAACGACGGGCAAGAAAGGCTATTCTCAAGATCGGCCCCTCAAACCGTTCCTTGGAACACCTTGACGTTGACGAAGAAGTGGCCAGCTGAACCAAGTCATGGGCCGCCTTACACCAGTCTTCAACAACTACCAAACATGTTCGTATCGCCAAATGGCGCCAAGAGCATTACATCTGCCAATTTAGTGCGCAACCAGACACAATCATTCATCGAACGTTCCGACGAACTCGACGCTGGAGACTTTTGGCCACCACGAAATCGCGGACATGTATTTCCACCAGTCTTGGAGCACGTAGGACAATCATCGATCAAAAACCTTCAGTTGAATCCCTTCAAGGACTCTATAGAAGGTAGCAGCTTCGATGTTTTTGAGCTCTCGGACAATCAAACGTCTGATTGTCAGATGCCTGATCATGAATCGCCTGATTATCGGTTAAGGACTCACAGTACTTGGTCGCCGCACGAGACTGAGCGTCAAGTGATGGTGGGTGAGAGTTCAGTTTCCCAGTACGGAGAGTCGGACATTACTAGCGATTCGACGGCGGATGAACAACAGCAAAAAATGCGAGCAATGGAAGCGGAGAGGCGCCAAATCGTCCAAACAGTTATGGATGCGTTTATTCACGACTTGGATAGTCACATAGAGGATATCACCGGCAGTTCTATCGCCATCAAAGAAGAGGATGCAGGTGAACCTGCCCAGGCTCCGTCGCATGCCGAGGGGTCAACTGCGCGTGAACGGAGCCAAAAGCCTCGAAAACGACAGAAATCAGGCGACGGAAAACAAGAAATTGGAGGATGGAGGAATCATGGTCAGTCCGGTGACAAAGATAACTGTAACGGAAGCGACAACGAAGAGGACGGCGACAAAAAGAGGCCTCGCAAAGTACCGCGCAGCCAAGATGGAACGGGAGACGTCTTGTTCGCATGCCCGTTCTTTAAGTGGAACCCTCTAGCATACGCGAGGAAGAAAGAGTGTTCAGGTCCAGGGTGGGAGTCAGTGCATCGCCTGAAGTAAGTCTGTTGGTATTGCATTGGGTATGCCGTTTACTCATGATTGATAACTTCCAGAGAGCACCTCTATCGGCGCCATGAGAGACCACCGTTCCAATGCAGTAGATGTTGCAATTGGTTTGACAAACAAACTGCACTGGACTCGCATCTCAGAGTCGGATCCATCAATCAGCTTTGTGAGATCATCAACGAATCAGACTTATCCAGAGAGTTCAAGTTTGGCCCTGACGCTAAAAGCCGGCTCAAGGTGAAATCTTCGTTGAAGCAAACAGAGGCAGAAAGGTGGAAGGCAGTATACAGGATACTTTTCGACGTAAGGGAAGATGAAATACCCACGCCTTGTGAGTAATAATCCGATTAAGGTACAAAGTAGACAAAATTAAGTTGAAACTTACACAGACTACGATCACGACATCACGGCTCTAGGCCGGGAAGAGTCCTGGAAAGAGTATGCTCGAAGGGAGATCATGATACTCCTCCGACAGCGTATCGAGGCGGAGGTTGAAGAAAGATTCGCGAACGTGGGACCGGAGCTTATAGCGGGGCTGCGAGGTATTGTCCATGATCTGGAGCTCACAATGAGGCGGAACTTCGAAAGGAGACAAGAGGAAGCTCGAAACTTAAATCGACAAGAGTCACCATCAATCACGCCGCCGCCACCGCCGCTGCCGATGCCGCCAGCAAATCTCGACGAATTCTCGACGAATACGGCCCGGACACCTGGTAACGACGAGGGAGAGGTGGCAGTGGTACCGCAAACCGTCCTCAATACGGATAATAACTTAGCGGGAAACTTTCCCCTCGATGATTCGCAGCAGGAGGTTCACTCTGCCCGGTCGGAAGCGAGCGGCATGGATACGCAGAACTGGAGAACCGTCGAAGGAGAGGAACCACTGGATCCTTCACTTTTGGATGCTGACTTTGACTTTGACTTCCTTAATTATGACGGAGGCAACGACACGTTCTGACAGTAGAAGTGGGTTGAATATGCCCCAGTGAATTTAGCATTAGAATAAGATCTAGAACGACTAAATCTTCTCTCGTGTAAGCTTCTTGTAGGCCGATGCGCGGCATCTTGGGAGGGCAGAGGTACCATATACTGCATCATGTCAATCGTTCGCTCAGGTCCATCATGATACATGGCTTCGTACCACGGTCGACTGATGTCTAACAATGAGACTAGGTCGGATCATGTAGTCACTAATGGTACCTCATCTGATCATGCAGTGGCGGAAGAACCCCTGGCTTATCCCATGAGAATCTGCAGAGTAGAACAACGGATGAGGTCTTGATTCGAGGGATCATACTGCTAAACAGTTTACGCTTTTGTATTCATTGTAAAATCTTCACTCGCCAGAGGTGAACCATCGTGACCTCTCGATGCCCGCAATGGAGCATGGGAGACGTGTCGTACATCACCCGCATGCCAAGAGGCGCGGATCCCCTCGCTAGGAGCCCCTCCCGATCGCCACGCCACTAACGTAGGTAAAGGTAGACTAGGGTATCTCTCCTCTCCCTCAGGAATGCAGCGGAGAGTCCGCCGCAGGCCTGCCACGCACACCTGTGACCTTGAAGCCGAGTGTGCCCGCCCAAAAATAACATGATTGCCTGCCCTTTTGTCCTGATCGTCGTCGTATGCGTCATATGCCTGTGGTGTTGCTGATGTGGTTCCAATCGATTGATGCTAATGCCAATCCCGCATGTGCGCAACACCATCGCGTTCGTGGTATCCCGAGTCCTGAAGCCCCCAATGCCATTATGTGTGTATTCCATGTCGAACACCAAACGCCTCGCCAGGAGTGTAGAGGGAGAGGGAAAAGGAAGAGATGGACAAACATCCTCCCCAAAGTTCGAACCGTGTCATAACTCCATCATTATCGCAAGCTTCATCGAGCTTTTCACGTCCTCGCCTTCTTCTTCTTCCTTCCTTCCCCTTCGTCCCGGCCCCTCTTGCCCGAGCCGGGTTGTGGTATTGACGCCGATGACGACGATCCTGCTGCTGTGTATGCTGCTGATGACGGGTGTTGGTATTGCTGATACTGTTGATATTGATGATGATACTGCTGAAAATCCTGCTCACCAAAGTCCATACCGGCAACGCCTTCGTCCTCGCCGGCGCAGGCGTCGCATTCCTGGTCAAAGGCGTGTGTCTCGACGTCGACGCCACGCCGACACGAGCCGAACTTGTCGGCGTTCTTGGCCTCGAGGCACGAGAGCTGCTGGGAGAGGTCGGCCCAGGTGAGGGATTCGTTGCAGCGGGTGCAGGTGCCCGCGAAGAGCACGAGGCGGCACATTGTGTGTGTGTATATGTTTCTTTTGTGTTCTCTTTTGTGGCGGGAGGTGATTGAGGCGTTGTTTGGAGGGAGTTGTGAGGAGGACTAGGTACGAGGTCGAGAGGGGAAGAGGTGGTAGTGTGGTTTTTCGAGCTCCCCCGAGCCCCAGAGTGATTCCTGGATGAACGAGTTTGTGTCGCGAGTGTTCAATCAGGTAGGTAGGACAAGGAGAAAACGACAAAGAAGGATTTATGCTTGTTTATCGACCGTTTGGAAGTTGAATCCGCAATGACCTTCCGAGGGGGGTAAATAAGGTCTTTCGAGAGTAAGAGAAATAAGAATTAGTCGGACACGGTTCAAGGAGAAGGAAAGAATGTTGAACGGCAGAAGAAGGATGAGCTAAAATCAATCGTCGACGGATGGGCAGCCACAAGCTTTCAGAGGATCGACACGGGGGGCCCTAGCACATCTCGATAGAAAAACGCGACCTGGAGCTTGACGGGTTGTGTTGACACACTGACAGGTACGGATACACACCAGGACAGAATCATAAAGGGGGGGTAGGGGTGTGTGTGAGAGGGGGGTGAGGGGCCGACGGGTAGAGAAGTCTGAGAGACAGAGAGAATCAGAGACAGGGAGTTCGAAGAGGAAGCGAGAAGCGCTCATGCAGCCCAAGCCCTCTCTCGGAAGTGAAGTTCGCGAAGAAGAAACGAGGTTCAAGGGGAACAACGACGAAGAGAGTGAGAAAAGCAACAATCATAGATGAGCAGGAAGCGCCCTCTTCCTCAGAATCTCTGCTGCCAGCCTGCCATCCTCCATGCAGCTCGCCAACAGCCAACCGTCTTGCAGTAGACTATATGCAGGATGTGGCTTAGCCTCGCCCTTGCGCCGCCGCTTAGCTGCACATCAAGACGCGAGACGAGAAAGAAAGTGAGAAGCGAGCTGCATTTGCTGTTGGCTGGTGAGTTGAGTATCCTGCTTGTCTCTCTTTCTCTGTCATATCTGTTCTGCCTACGCAGTATGCCATGCCATGCCATGCCCATGTCCATGCCCCTCTCCCCGTCTATCCGTGTGTGCGTGTGAGAGAGTGCTCCAATTCTTCTGCACACCCACCCCAGCACATCCACTCGCGGCCCGCGGCACTCTGCCGGGGAACACAGACAGGCCTTCCCATCGTGAGGAACGATGTCCTGTGGAGTTTGATGTATGTATGTAAGAAAAAAGGCCTTTGGCGGCCACGCTTCATAGGATCACGAAAAGGAGGGGTGGGACGGGAACGGGGGTAGAGCGAGGCGAGAGGGAAGAGGGCATCTTGCCCCGAGACATTTCTTGCAGTGACATTCCAGGCACCCAAATTCTGTTCAGTATGTGTGTAACTTTTCTTCTCTGTGGAGATGAGGTGATTTGAACGGAAATGGCTTTTTTGGTTGTTTCCAACGGCGCTGAGACACTGCGCCGAGCCTTTTCCCTTTCGCCTATGCGTACGTAGCACGACTTTCGCCAATACAATACACGACTTGTACGGCAGATCCAAGAGAAGAGTAGGCACGGGATATCTTCCACCATTGACACTTCAGAGTCGAAGATCGAGAGTCAGAAAGAGATGTGCGGGAGGCACGGGAGACACGCGGCGCAAAAACAAGCTTTGAGATGGGATTGTCTTAGGGCCGGGCGAGAGAGGCAGAGCATGGATCGCGAAGCGAGCAATGCAACATGCCCCTTTCAGGATAGCTCCGGGATCAAGCTCCCTTGCAAACGGCAGACCTCAAGTTGTCCCCTCCCGAGTCCCGCATTCCGCTGTCTCTGTCTCTGAGTGTCGCTGAGTGTCTCTCTCGGGGATCAACAGTTATGTGTCAGTCTGCTCTCTCTACGGGAACAAACCCTGCGATCGTCTGTCCTCATGGTTCAAGATAGCTATCGCGATGGTTTCGAAAATGCTGTTACATCCAACACAGCCTCATGCCACAGTGCTACCCAAAATCCTCCCCATATTCTCCCACTCTTGCCCCCTCATGACCCCCTAAAAGTCATCCTGCATTGCAACCTTGGATCGGCACATGCAAGGCCAGATAAGGCAGAAGGTTCGAAGGGAACACACAGTCCGACAATCCGCCTTCCGTAGAACAACACGCGGGCACGGGAGCATGTTTATCCGCACGCCTTTTCTGCTCAAAGAGCCCATTTTCTGTCCTCCGCTCGCTGGCTCGAACGGCCTAGACCCTTGACCTATTCTGAATCAACGACGCTGTTCAGCATCCGTTAACAAACTTTCCTTGAGAGTTGACTCGGGTACACCAACCTGAGGACCTCGTGCTCATGCGCCTCTTCTTTCCATTCCCATTGTTTACGGAGAACTTAGAGGAGTCCTTTCGGTTTAGGCCGTCGCCCATCCGTCACTGAGCGCCTGTTACAGCCGGCCGGTGGGATGACAATATCCGAACAGAATAAAAGTGACACCACACTGTATATCCTGACCTACCGATGGATACCGGTACATCTTTCAAAGGCCATGAACGAATCGGCTTCTGACAGACGGCAGAGTCGGGGACTCGACCAACGCGGGGGGAAGGGAGAAACGCAGTCTCTTGCGCATCCCTTGTCCTCCCCTGCACGGCATGTCAGTTCATCACGTCTCTCTGTTCCCACACCAACCTTAACCTTACTTACACTTCTCGCTCTCGCTTAGTAAATTCATTCAGACATTGACAGGTAGACACGCATGTGGCATGTAAGAAGGGCGGTTGTGAGAGTTAAGGTGTACGTACGGGCGACCGCTCACGCATACACGTCCCTGTCCAACAAAATGTCTCGCATGGGATTTGCATCGACGCACAACTGAATTGTTGCCTGCCTCGCCCGTGATAAAAAGAGAGCCAAAGTTTTTGTCAAACCATCTGGCAGTTTCTTGGCGTGGTGTCGGAGATATTCCCCGCCGCGCAGAACTCTCGACTCGCTCGTCCTTCCGCACGCGTCGACTGTGCAGATCGCAAGCATCATTAGTTTGTTAATCTCCAGATGAACCGTTTGAAAAGCTTACACACACCAACAATCAACATAACTCTGTCGCCAGTAAGTACGAGAAAGGAGAGATAAGGCAGATCATAGGGGACAGAGCACACGGCTTAACACACAGACTTGAAGCTCGCAAAGACATTTCACATGCATCCAGACAAGCAGACAGATGAGGGCAAGAGAGGGATAAACCTCACGCACATCAACCATGCACATGCACCCGCACAGGCGCGAGATCTCTACACTTTCTCTTACCTTACTTTTACACTTGCTCATCGCCCAAAACACCTGCGAGATGGAAACCAAAACTTCAGTCCGGATACCGCAATAGTCAACTTGCAGCACGATTTCTGAAAAGCAAATCTCAAGCCTGATGTCTACCGCAGTCCGCATCAGGGCCGATAAGCGAGAGGAAAAAAAACATGTCTGTTCGATGACACCACGATTTCGAAGGACCCCTTTTTCTCCCTGCCTCACACATGTCTCTCTGTTTTCTGAGGCTCTCCCACACAAAGTGCCAGTAAACGGCGACGATCAATCAAAGTCTGCTGCCTGCCACGCCACGCCACGGATACTACCACACTCGCTCGCGGCTCAGTCCCGCACAGGCTCCTACATGATGAGCATGCGAGCATCTCTGCCGCGAATATCGGCCCTGGTCTAGGCCACGGGCTCAACATGACCGTCCATCGTCCACTGGCCACCGGTCCACCCCGAATGTAGTGTTACAACGCCGGTCGCATCAGCCTGGATTATTTTTGACAATGACTGATGATGACCATTCTTCACCTTCCCCTGCTCTCTTCTCTCCTGCTGACCCGGCTTTGATTGCTTGTGACAGTCACATCAGTCATGAAACCAAGAGGTAGGCAGAGAAGATGCAGATGATGTACGGCACTAGAGGTAGAGAGGGCGAAAGAATTTCATGAAACAAAGACTCCACGATCATGGGAGTTCATTCTTACACATGACTTACAGTCCCTCAGTCGCTCTCCGAAGCCATCTGCTTTACAATCAATCCATCAATCTCCGTATACAACACATCGACGCATCACCACTATAGTCCAAATCTCATCCGTACCATGCAAAATTGAATGACTTGATCCGATCCCCAATCACATCTTCCCATCTCCATCTCCATCCCCATCCCCATGTAACGTTTGAAGAATCCCAATCATTCACTCTCTTTATCATGTGAAAATTACTACAACTCCCTCACTCACTCACACCTGGATGATCTGGACCTTCCTCCACTTACCTAAGAAGGAAATAAAGTTTCCCTCATGCCGCCATCTTACCCCGTCACGTCTCGGGAGGCACAGCTTCCTACACATCCGGGGCGACCACAGCGCCAGTCCCAGCACGTGGCATCACGGACGTTGCTTATCTTGTACCTTTCTTCAGAGTTATTTGTTGAGCACTCAACACTGCGTTCACTCTGTTTTGACGACAGTGTCCTGCCAAAGAGACGTTTCCAGATCGTGCGTACATTTGTCATGAGCTGTCAAACAGGTTTGTTTAGTAGAGCTGAGGTGTGAAGAAATGTTCCCCTGCAAACACGAGTGAAGAAGCTTGCACGTGATTGGCATAAGAAAGTATTTGCTGTATGCCTCACACATCACATATGTCTAACAAGGTCGGGAGAATTCATTCGACTCGGAATTAACTATTATACAGAGTGCGCTTTTTGTTTTTGTTTTCCCTTTGCCTGTTTCGCCTCCCTAGTTGCGCTTCATCCACCGGAAAGAAAAGAGAATTGGGAATCAATTTTGCATATCGCATGAAAAGATGCCGGTTAGGCAATTGTACCCACGAAGACTGAGAAGGGAAGATGGACTATACGATAGAACCCGTGGTATACGATAGAACCCGTGGAAGCAAGCTTTACTCGGGAAAAATGTGACCGTGCATCCACGGAAAGATTCAGTTGAAAACCATGCAGATGAGGTTGAGGCGGATGCCATTCCTCGAGGCAGAGTATGTCCTCAGGCGAACCACACCCAAGTAGTGCCCTGCAGCTGCATCATGACAGCAGGCAAGGGTCTCAATAGTTCATCATGGCCACTCTTGCAAATGTTCCACGAGGCAGCAGGTGCCAAAGTTGTCAAGTCCAGGAATGCTCGCAAGACCCAGCAAAAAGGTGTCCTTGCCGTCACATAGGCGTCAGGAGCGTGCATCATGGAGAATGTGGAGTAAGTCCATGTCGCAGAGCAGCATTGAGCACCATGTCCATGTCAAGAGTCGAATCCAGTTCATGACAGTCAAGGATCATGTGCAAGCGAGAACGTGCCATCATCATCGTCAAATGCCGGGTTCAGTGCATCGAGATATCAGCGCGCTTAAGCAAAGCCAGAGGCAGCTTGCCTAGCTCTTCCGTGGGTGGTCCTCTCCCCCAATTCGTGGTTTTGTCCAAAGAAAACAAGGTGGGCGCTGTGCTGTTGCAAGTCCAGCGGAATAAGAAGGTATCAGTCGTCGAATGGTTCGTAAATGCGCACTGCCATGAGCCTCCATAGTCAACGTGCATGTGCGATGCTTCAGTATACGTAATGCGAAAAGAGGCATCAAGTCGAGGTCCAAGGCAAGTGATCAATCACATCACACAAGCATGTCCCCTACCGGAAAGGGTGCATGCAAAAACCTCTATGAGGCTCCAGGAGGCGCTGCGCCGGGCTGACCGGCCGCACCGCCGCCTTGTTGTTGCTGATAAACGAGAGACTGGTACCAGAGGGCAAGGTAGTTCTGGTATCCACCATCTACAGAATGTTAGTATACTAAACTAGTTGCTCGCCGTGTCAGTCATAGACTTACATTGCGCATATGGGTCGGCTCCGTCGGCTCCAGCGGGAGCTTGAGCAGCTGGTGGGTTAGCAGATCCTGATGCTGATGGGTTAGATCCCTGTTGAGAGTAGCTTCTGTCATAGTCTTGGTTTTGACGACCGCGACCACCGCCACCGCCTCCAGAGTTCTTCTGGCGCTGTTGTCATGTTAGTTACAGTTGGATATACGGTAGATTCTAGGCCTGTCACTTACCACTGCGTCGACCTTCTCTTCAATCGCCTGCTTGGCTCTGGCGATACTATCCCGCGAGCCGATGAGGGCAATCTCACGCTGAACCTCGCCTGGACCGGAAGACTGGGCAACATTGATCTTGCAACCAGTGCCATTCTGCATATCACGGATGGTCTCGCCACCCTTGCCAATAATCATACCCACAGCCTCGGATGGGACGTAGATGGCGTCGTTGATCTTGTCACCGCTGCCGCCGCCCGCTCCACCCATGGGCCCCGAGTCTCTCTGATGACCACCGCCGTCGTGTCTCTGCGGCTTCTTGGCGGGGGCTGCAGGTTGGCCCTCGTTTCGGCTGTCGCTATCCACAATTTCCATGATCAGATCCTTGGCTTGGGCAGCTGATTCACGAGAGCCGATGAGGTTGACAGGTCGAAGTCCATTGACACTCTTGGATTCACCAACAATATTGATGTGGCAGCCAGACCGCTCCTGCAAATCGCGAATGGTCTCACCACCGCGACCGATGATCAGGCCCACGGTTCTATCGGGTACCATAATCTGCATGCAGTCCTCGCCGTCGCGAAGAGCTGCAGCTCCGGCTCCGGCGGCGGCGGCAGCGCTTGCTCCAGGTGGTCCGCCGCGGTGGTCGCGAGGTGGGGGTCCCTTGGGGTTCGCAGCGCCACGGTTGATGGCGCCCATGCCGCTATCGTCGATAATGCGGTTGATGGCCTCCTTGACTTCGCTGCGCTGTGCCCTGGGACCACTGATCTTGCACTGGCGGAAAGGACCGTTATCGCTGGAGGGGAGGAACTGCACCCGACAGTTGGACTCTGACTCGATGCGACGAAGGTTCTCGCCTTGTCTACCGATAATGAGACCAACAAGGCTCGACTCGATTTGAATTGTCTCGGCGTTGTCGTCACCGCCACCACTTCCTCTCAGTGGAGATCGCTCTCTGCCGTTAGAGTTGCGAGGAGAGAAAGTGCGACCACGCGGGCCAGGGCTGTAGGATCGCTCGCGGTGGCCATAGTCTCGTGGAGCAGGGCGATCATCCCGGCGCTCGTCTCTGTAGGGGTTGAAGTTGTCGCGGAACTGGTCGCGACGGTTGGAAGGAGAGCGCGACCGCGAGGATCGGCCGTAGGCTCGAGAATCCTGGCCACGGGGAGCTTCGTTGGAGTAGACGAGGGGTCGGTCGTAGGATGTCACGCCCTTCTCAGCAGCGAAGGCCTTGGCTTGCGCGATGGCATCGGCGATGCTGACTGTGCCAGAGTTGACGGGTCGGATCGAGCTAAGATCCAGACTGCCGCTGGATGAAGGCTGGGGGAGTCCCGGGTAGCCACCGCCGCCGCCATACGGGGGCGCGTTCTGCTGGGGCATCGGGGGGTAGGAAGGAGGCGGCTGGCCACCGGGAGGAGGAGGATAGCTGGGCGGCATGCCGGGCTGTCCTTGGGTCGGCGTCGAAGAGGTGCCTCTTTGTGCTGCGCCTGAATGAAGAAATGCAATCAGTCTGTGTTCGAGGGTTCAGGAACAGATTCGTGTCGTGTCTCGGGTACCTACCTAGGGCAGCGAGGATGGAGGAAATGTCGCGAGGTGGTTCGGCCATTGTGGCTGTCGCGTATGAAGAATTCAGGGCGCGATCAAAGGACAGATTGTGACTTGTCAAAGAAGAAGAAAAAGTGATTGATCGTGTCGGAGGGCTGAAGACTTTTTGCGCGCAAGAGGAATTTTCAGCGCGGCCTAGAAATGAGTCGGATTGATTCCGAGAGTGGGTTTGATCAGGTGACAAGGATGTGTGTCAATGCCAGCAATCACGAAATGAGGTCGCAAATCGGTCTCTGGACAATCACGGCCTTGATTAAGGTGAGTCGCGAAGGATTCTCAGGTGTTGTCAGCTTGTCACGATGTGCTAGGGCAAGCCGTGGTGGCACTGGTAGGAGATGCGATGGCGAGGTTTGGAGTTTGGCGAGACCGCCTGCCGAAAACAGATTGCTCCTTGCTGCGCAGCGTGGGTTGAGCTGTGAATATGATGCGCAAGGTCGGACAGGGGCAGGAGGCTGGAAAGTGGCATAGATCCTGTGAAAAATGGGTGTGTCGGACTTTTGTTCTTCCTGTGGTTGCTCGTGCTCAACCTGGAAGGCACGTCGGGCAGGTCCAAGTCGGGTCTGGGCCCATCACAGACCAAGCACGTGACAACCTAGGTCATGGAAATTTGGACTTGGGTCCGTAATTGTGGCACAGGCAAGCACTGCAGGTCAAGCCACTCTTCACAGTTCTCTAAGGAAGGTATGTCGTCATCGTCGGCAGCTTGGAAGCCATGGGTGAGTGCGCATCTGACGACGTGCAATCTTACTAGCCATCAAGACGGTGCTAGGATGACTGAGACTGGGGAGTCTCATACGGAGAGTTTTCAGGTAGGTTTGCAAAAATGCAGACTAGAGTGACTGGCTCAAGACGTAGGTAAAGCAAGTCATGTCAATGCAATGCGAGACAGTTGGTGAAGCCGACTGACTTGTTGCAGCAATTATCAATAATGATGTAGTTCACTGTTAGACTGCAACAAACTTTACACGCATCTCGTGTGATAACATAGTAGACTGAATGAGGAAGGCCCACGATATCTTATACACGGAACTGACCGTGAATGATTTGATTCTCCCATTTGGAGAAACAGAAGCCTTCTGGGCCAAAATCGCAAGCGCCGGCCTCAAGGCTGGCAGCGATGAATTCTGCAGCGAAGCGCCCATCGTCGCAGAGCGCGGGCCACCGTCGGCCAATCAATCTTTGCCAGCGTCAAGACTTGAGACGACCCCACAGAAAGAAGGAAGGAAGGAGCGACGGAGCGTGGGAGCTTGGGTGCACAGGGCAAGTGCGAACTTCTTGTTTAGTGGAGCCACTGCCAATTGCCGCAACATTCCAGGTTCCATGGACTTCCCTTGATGGTACCTGAATGATCTCGCGAGGAAGGGGCAATGGCACAGAAATGCAACTTGGAAGGCGACCACGACCACGACCTCACACTCTCGCTCAGGCTTACCATCGCCCGACTGCGCCTGCGCCTCTCATCGGCAAGAGGAGGCCAACGTCGGAAAAGTCAGGAAAGAAGCAGTGGAGGCCATCCTACGTTGCGTTCCTTCCTTGCCTTCTTGCCTTCGCGCCTTCCAACTCTTCTTCTTATCTGTGCTTGACGTGAATGACCGGCCAATGCCATTAAACGAACATTCCTGGGATGCCACGATTTGTGGGATTTCGACAAGCTTTTCCCACCGTCTGACCAAGATCAGCCTCCAAAAGACCGTTCCTGTCGTAAACCGGTTTTTAGCATTCCGCGGTGGTCGGTGGCAAAGGCTTGGCATCGATCATTGCTTGTTGCTTAGCAAGGACCCCAACGACACCATGGAGCGCAGCCAGTCACGAATCACAACACCAAGAAACTCATCTAGGGTCCATATCCACTCTTTCACCATTATCCTGCCCAATTCCCGGCCATTCTTGCCATATGCTTACAAGGATTAGACTTTAGCGGCGAGAACCGAACTGCCTGTATCTCACGACGATTGGACAAAATGTTTGCCAATACCTCCAGGGATTCCCTGCTGGCGCCAGCCATCCGCCGTCTCTTTTCGTCTGCTGGCTGACGATCTTTGCTCTGTTCCTACTTCGCTCGCTGCGGTCCCTCACATCCTCTCCCCGGTCACCGTGACCCTTCGTGCAGTTTCCGAGAGAAAACCACACAAACCTCGCGACATCCCCGGATGCCTCCAGCAAATTCAGAATCGTCCAGACCAGCCTAACCAGGCCAACTCACCGTTTCTCCGCCCGCAACGGCACCAAACCCGTCCATGCCTCCTCCGCCGGGCACAGCCACCGGCAACCACCTGGCCTGCTGGCGTGACTCGCGACGGGGATGCCACTGGAGCGGCGCCGTTCACCTCGCGCCAGAACGGTACCTTATCCTTACGAGGTGGCACGGGTGGGAAGCTCTCCGCAATAATCCCCCGGGTTTGCCAATGACGTCGCAGCGCATTCTTGTCGCGAGCTCTCTGGATCAACCCGAGCCTATGAGCGAGACCAGGTTGTGTTAAAATGCCTTCTATCCTCTGCGACACCCCCAGAAAGGCGACTTTTGGAAAGATGGGCACCATTCAACCGTTGCTCCGTGGTGTCCCCTTGTTCAGTGACTCAAATCTCGACTTGTATATCACTCTCGAGTTCGCCCCCATTCATGAAGCCACCAACTGTTGGCCTGACTTGAGTAGGGCTATAGCTCTTGTGATACTGCAACCCAGTCTCACTCAGCAAGTTTCAAGCAAGAGTCTCATCGTTCGATAAGACCTCATTGTAGGAGCAACAAAATTCTACCTCACAACTCCTCACTCTCGCCAAGCAACCTCGTACCCAGCTCTCAGCTCTCAGCTCTCACCTCACACCCAGCCCTGGCTTCGACAAGACGGATCGAGTCTATCGTAACAGGGCGTAACATCATCTGATCTAAATACGGGCAACACGACATTAAATCTCAAGAGCCCCATTTCGGCGTCCGAAAATATCGCTTTGCCTTAGCAGCGTTTGGGCAGCCGCTCATCGTGACCCTGGACGACAGATTTGGTTGGCTGAGAGCGGCCGTTGAGCGCGCTTAGAAAACGAGCCTCACCCAAATCCCCATATCCACCCTCACCGGGTGTCGCCAAACGAAACAAAGATTTGGGCCAAGTCGAAGTAATTTCCCTTCAAGGCCACGGCCAAAGGGCCCATTGCTGGCTTTCTTTGGCATTGTGGTGTGAATCAAGTAAGCCGCCTTTATTTTCTTTTCTCGACTTTGTTCCTATTGTTGCGCGCCTATTGCTGGGTGATCCTGTGGACCTGGCCGTGTTAGTCGGCTTCCCTTTTATTATGCGTATTGCCCAGTCATTCCCATCCTCTCTTGTCTCTGTCGTCCTTCCAAGTCATCCTCGTCCTGTGTATTCATATCTTCTCCCGAAAAAAGTACCCCACAATGAATGAATAGAAGCTTGTTCAGAAATCAGTGCTTGACGACTTTCCTTTGTCGCTCTCTTTCCTTCCTCACTTTTTCCTCTTTCCCTCTTCGTGTCGAGTGATTCACCTAATTTCATCACCAAACTCCAACGATTAATTTCTCCTCGACGTCGAGCGCCGTTCTATTCGCTTCATTTCTTGCATTCGCCTTTTTTCTTCCTTCTATTTTATCATTCATTTTTCTCTGCTGGCTCAGAAATACTCGCATCGGCTTCTTACATTCTTCGATAGAATCAACATGTTTTCCTCACGGAATCGCAAGGAGGAGGCGGCCTACCCGGCCGTCCCCGACTCCCTCAGGTCGGACTCGCTCGAGATGGCGGAACTTAGAAAGACGCAACAAGCGCGAGCCGACACTTCTCCCACCATAACACCATACCTCAGTCTCTCAGCTAGGCTCTCCCAGATCTGGCTGAACCGCTGGACGATACTACTACTGCTCGTACTACTCAGAGTCATCTTGCTCATCGCCAGCCTCAACGACAATGTCGACGACGCGAATCAAAAAGCACTCTCTGCTTGCACAAAGGTCGAAGATATTGGCAGCGCCATGGCCTCGATGCCTCACTATCTCTCTGTCGGTGTCAACGAGCTGTCGGCAAAGGGCATCGAGAAGACCCTCGACGGCATGGTTGCTGCTCTGGGTCTGATCCTCACCGGTGTTCAGAACCTCATCATCTTCGTCATCAACATGATGACCTCGATGTACACCTGCCTTATCACTGCCTTCATCCACGGCGGACTTGACGTTGCCTCCGATGTCACCAAGAAGGTCACAGACGCCATGAACAAGGTGGTTGGCGATATCAGCAATACAATCGATTCCAAGGCTAAGAGCCTCTCGGACGGCATCAACAAGGCCGTGGACGCAATCGAAAGCTCCGTCCTCGGTAGCGTCCTGCCCGACTTTCCCAAAGTCGACTTCTCGGGGCCTATCAACGACCTGCGCGACATCAAGATCGACTCCAGCGGCTTCGTCAGCGACATCAATAAGCTCAACGATGACCTGCCTACCTTTGAGGAGGTTCAGAACCTGACGGCTCAGGCTATCTCGTTCCCTTTCAACCTGCTCAAGCAGACCGTCAACGATGCGTACAAGGGCTACAAGTTCGATCGATCAGTCTTCCCTGTCGCCCAGAAGCAGGCGCTGCAGTTCTGCTCGACCAATAACAGCATCTCCGACTTCTTTAACAACCTCCGAGACATGATCCAGAAGGCTCGCATCATCTTCATTGTCGTTCTCTCCATCTTGGCTGTGCTGGCTATCGCACCCATGGCCTGGCTGGAGATCAGGCGCTGGAGACGCGAGCGAAAGCACGCTCAGATCATGGCCAGCCACCAGTACGACTCGATGGATGTGGTCTACATTGCTTCTCGCCCAATGACCGCTACCTGGGGTATTAAGATTGCTTCCAAGTTCAAAGGCCGTCGTCAGATCTTGGTTCGCTGGGCCATTGCGTACGCTACATCACTTCCTGCTCTGTTTGTCTTGGCCCTTGCTATCGCTGGCTTCTTCTCTTGCCTGTGCCAGTACGTCCTGCTCAAGGCTGTCGAAAGAGAGGTGCCCGCCCTTGCCAACCAGGTCGGCGAATTTGCCGGCGAAGTCGTCACCTCGCTACAGGATGTCTCCAAGCAGTGGGCTGATGATGCCAATGGCGTTGTGCTATCAACGCAGAACGAGATCAATCAGGACATGCTCGGCTACGTCACGAACGCTACCTCGGCTGTCAACGACACGCTGAACACATTCACCAACACCATGACCACTGGTCTGGAGACTGTATTCAATGGCACCATCCTTATCAACCCCATCAAGGACGTTATTCGCTGTACCATTGGTCTCAAGGTTGAGGCTGTCCAGAAGGGACTGACTTGGGTCCACGATCATTCGCAGATCTCGTTCCCTCTTTTCGACAACGACACCTTCAGCCTCGGCGCTCAAGAGTCCATCTCGGGCGACTCAGACCTCAAGACCTTCCTATCGTCACCCTCAAGTGTGTCGACCGACGAGGTCACTGGCGCCGTGACTCATGTTACCGATATGCTTCGCCGGGGCATCATCAAGGAAGCGCTCATCTCTACCGGCATTCTTCTCGTCTACGTCATTGTCGTCCTCATCGGCATCATCCGCGCCTTGGTCGGCATGGCCATGCCCGACAAAGGCCGTGGCGAGGGCGGGTTGCGCTACACCGGAGACGACCGCCCAGCCATGAGCCCGCGAAGCCCTCCCAGATCCCATGACAACGACTCTCGCTTCCCACAGTTCGGTAGCGATGCATCTGCCGTGGGCGATGACCACTACTCGGGCATGCGAGATGAGAAAGCGCTGAAGAAGACGAGCGTGCAGAGCGGCAGGGCGCAGCCGACGGAGGGTCATCAACGACAAAGTTCGTATGGGCACCTCGACACAGCATCATCAACCAAGTTTTAGAATGGTATCTACGAAGTATCGACAAGAGAAAGACGAAAAGACAAAAAAAAAGAAACAGACAGAGATTGGAGACCTTGATACCTCCGGCCTGGGCTGGACCGAACGCCGAGAGATACCCCTCATTTACGACAGGTCTGAAAGAGATAATACGAAGAGCATGATATTCGGGCGTTGAAGCATGACTATCAGGTATATTTCAATTTTTTGATGGAACGGGAAAGGAATGGAGAGGGAATACTTCAAAAAGATACCAACGGCTCAGTCGCCGCACCGTTTGCTTTCGATTCTACAACGGATCTCATTTTTTGCGCTCTGATTGACACCAGTCATCAAACTTTTTCATTCTCTGGAATGAACTTTTGAGTATGCAGCGGCGTCACCGACTGCCAGGATGTCTACTCGGTATATACCTCTAGGTAGTTCAAGATTGAATATACTGCTAGCTGCAACCAACTACTCTATCCCATGTTCCCTGATAGTGTAGCTGCTACGGAGTGGTGAATGACTGATACCGGCCAGTGGCATATTCACAGCTCCGAGCGGTATTGCCGCATCTAAGGATCCGATTGTCATGATCATCGCCGGGAGTAAGCGGCGATGGTGGTGACTGGGAACTGCAGCGGCGGCGGCGGCGGCGACGACGACAAAGAAGACGTTGTCATCTGATTTTGTTCAATCCTACGAGACACCTGAACCTTCTCTGGTAAGTTTTCAACCGCTACCAATATCATCTGCATCGGTGACATGCTCCGTGCTTTCTTGTGGCAGCTCCGTCGTCCTCTGTCCAATATCACCATGACTTGCGGAGATGAACAGGCGTCGTGGGAAATTCGATATCTGATCAAGGAGACACAACAGACTTTCGGGACAATTAGACCGAGTAACGGGAGCCCCCACGACAAGGCGGGATGTCACCGAAAGTCAGGGAAGAGCCTCATGAATGGGGTTACCAATGCGAATCTCATGGTATGATGTCGCGTGTGTGTCACGAGGGTTCAGGTACGACGAGATTAGAATGCCCATGTTTTTGTTTGCCTGCCGGTGCTGGCAATGGTGGTGACTATTGGGGGGTGCGGATTGCCATGGCGGATGGAAAAGGTGGAGACTCGGGAGGTCTGGAATAACCTCTTTTGGGCATCTCCGCCCCGCCCTCCGACCGACTTTCTGGGGCGTCATCGTCCAGGGACTCCCGGCCCCACACCCGCCACTCTCTTTTGATGGGAACCGATGCCGGATGGTCGGCTTGTTTGCCCAGGGTTTGGGTGATCTGAGTGGTTCAGGGCCTCGGTTCAGGGTTCTTTTGGACTCCAAGATTTGCCTTTGCTGGAGTGCCACATTGTCTAGCATCTTCGTTTCGGTGCCTGTACGGATAGGTACCTCATGCCCTTGAGGCTCAAAGGGAGCATTCCGGGGGATCGATCGGTGTGACTGTTGCAGGCCGTCCACCTTGGCGGACGATGGGCAGTTGATGTAGCGTTTGAACATGGTCATTTTCAGGGCTGCCCTGGGGGAAAACATAGATCCCAGGCGCCCGGTGTTCTGCCCACTTCCATGGTATAGATACGGAGCATTTAGGTACAGGAGAGGTGCTGAATACAGCTACAAGCAGCTGAATCGGGTGGACACTCAGCGCACGTCGGAGCTCCCGTCCCGTTGGGAGGTTCCTTTTTCACACCGTCCCGCCCCTTTGGCAGTGGCCGCTGCTGCTCCGACCGCAAGTTGCCCAAGGGAAACCGGCGCCCGCTCCAAGAGTCATTCCATTGCTCCTCCCCCACGTCTGAGATCATTAAGTACCTTTTTTCCCATTGGAATTTCTTCCCCCGTCCCCCCTACTTAAAACTTATTACCACCTTCAACCTTTCTCACATCTCAAGTTTTTTTCTTGTGATACCAAAAAACCCCCCCCAGCGAGTCAAAAAGTAGTTCTTTTACCCATATACCCCCTTACCAATTGACTTTGTTGTTTCCTTCTACTCCCTATACCACACTACACAATATGGAAGGCATTCGCCAAACGTTTGCGCGCTGCAAGGCCCAAGGAAGGGTGAGTCTTTTGCCCCTCCCATGTTTGCTGTGCTGCCCCTCGTTGCGATCGCGGGGCTCTCTCCACCGCCGCGCCGCCGACCGCTCCCAACGACGATGGTTTTCCGGCACCGCCAAGATCTCGCAGCAACGACGGGATAGAGGATCAATTGGACTGGTTTAACATTGTTATGAAATAGTCTGCGCTCGTTACCTATGTCACTGCTGGTTACCCCACGCCTGAGGACACTCCTAATGTCCTGCTGGCTATGGAGAAGGGTGGCGCTGGTAAGTCCCTCCAAGAACTTTGTGCACTGGTAAAGGAACACCTCACTGACATCCTCAACAGATGTGATCGAACTCGGTGCCCCCTTCACCGACCCAATTGCCGACGGCCCGACTATCCAGACATCAAACACTGTGAGTAGTGGCCAGAATGGGAACCAAATGGGTGTACTGTGAATACTGATGAGGGAAAACAGGTGGCTCTGCAACATGGCGTCACGATCGAGTCAACACTCAAGATGGTCAAGGATGCCCGCGACCAGGGCCTGAAGGCGCCTGTCATGTTGATGGGATACTACAACCCCCTTCTCAGCTATGGCGAAGAGAGACTCCTGAACGACTGCAAGACATCGGGTGTCAACGGCTTCATCGTTGTCGACTTGCCTCCTGAGGAGGCCATCTCTTTCCGCAAGCTTTGCACCAAGGGAGGGTACGTTCACACACCGCTTCTGGCCATTTCAATCATTGCATACTGACTAACAATTTACAACAGACTCTCATACGTCCCTCTGATCGCCCCCGCAACCTCGGACGCCCGCATGAAGATTCTTTGCAAGCTGGCCGACTCCTTCATCTACGTCGTCTCCCGCCAGGGTGTCACTGGTGCCCTCGGCTCCATGAACGCCAACCTCCCCGACCTCGTTGCCCGCGTCAAGAAGTACAGCGGCAACAAGCCTGCTGCCGTCGGTTTCGGTGTCAGCACCCGCGACCACTTCCTCAGTGTCGCCCAGCTTGCCGACGGTGTCGTCGTCGGCTCCCAGATCATCACCACCCTCCAGAAGGCTGCCCCGGGCGAGCTCTACAACGACGTTGCAAAGTACTGCTCATACCTCTGCGGCCGCGACTCTGACGAGACCACCCGTGAGGTTGGCATGGTCGAGGCCATGGCCGCCGCCAAGCAGCCCACTGAGGAGCCCACCGTCGACGACCGCATTACCGCCGACCAGGACAGCGAGCTTGTCGCCGAGCTCGCCGCCATGCACGGCAAGATTCCCGACCGTTTCGGCGACTTCGGAGGCCAGTACGTTCCTGAGTCTCTCATGGACTGCCTGTCTGAGCTTGAGGAGGGCTTCAACAAGATCAAGGACGACCCTTCCTTCTGGGAGGAGTACCGCTCCTACTACGAGTACATGGGCCGCCCCGGCCACCTCCACCTCGCCGAGCGCCTTACCGAGCACGCCGGCGGTGCCAACATCTGGTTGAAGCGTGAGGATCTCAACCACACCGGTTCCCACAAGATCAACAACGCCCTTGGCCAGCTCCTCCTCGCCAAGCGCCTCGGCAAGACCAAGATCATTGCCGAGACCGGCGCCGGCCAGCACGGTGTCGCCACGGCCACCGTATGTGCCAAGTTCGGCATGGAGTGCACAGTCTACATGGGTGCCGAGGACGTCCGCCGCCAGGCCCTCAACGTCTTCCGCATGAAGCTCCTCGGCGCCAAGGTTGTCGCTGTCGAGGCTGGAAGCAAGACCCTCCGTGACGCCGTCAACGAGGCCATGCGCGCCTGGGTTGTCGAGCTCGACACCACTCACTACATCATCGGTTCCGCCATTGGCCCGCATCCCTTCCCCACCATCGTCCGTACCTTCCAGTCTGTCATTGGTAACGAGACCAAGGCGCAGATGCTCGAGAAGAGAGGCAAGCTGCCCGATGCCGTCGTCGCCTGCGTTGGCGGTGGCAGCAACGCTGTCGGCATGTTCTACCCCTTTGCCAACGACCCCAGCGTCAAGCTCCTCGGTGTTGAGGCCGGTGGCGACGGTATCGACACTGCCCGTCACAGTGCCACCCTTTCCGGCGGCAGCAAGGGTGTCCTGCACGGCGTCAAGACCTACATTCTCCAGGACAAGCACGGCCAGGTCGCCGAGACGCACTCCATCTCCGCCGGTCTGGATTACCCCGGTGTCGGCCCCGAGCTCAGCTCCTGGAAGGACAGCGAGCGCGCCAAGTACGTCGCTGCTACTGACGCCGAGGCCTTCATTGGTTTCCGTCTCATGAGTCAGCTCGAGGGTATCATCCCCGCGCTGGAGTCGGCGCACGGCATCTACGGTGCCATTGAGCTCGCCAAGACGATGAAGAAGGGCGAGGATATCGTCATCTGCCTGAGTGGCCGTGGTGACAAGGACGTGCAGAGCGTCGCCGACGAGCTGCCCAAGCTGGGCCCCAAGATTGGCTGGGACCTGCGCTTCTAAACATGAAGAGCAATGGACTAGGGACGAAACGGGATTTACGAATGGCATATCACACATTGCAGGGCGTATGAGGCGAAACTTGCACTTTTCACGGCTTGTGGTTTCAAAATATGGAAAGCGGTTTTTGTAGACACAAACAAGAAAAAGGGGGCTCATCTTCTAGACTTGAGATCCTCTAAAAAGTAGTTTGATGACATGAGAATTTTTGTACATATGATACAATGACTTTTTTCTCTCTCCCGAAACATACACTCTCTCTTCCTTCCACAAGTGACCGTCACCCAACTCAAACATCATATCCTCTGCTCAGTAACGGGCTCTCCGATACCAGGCACATGAACGTCCTCGTACCCCTCGCCATCCTCAGCCCCGAACTCGGCCTCCTCGCCCAGCGCAAACTCCTCCATAATCATCTGCGCAGCCCTCTTCTCGAGAATCCCCCTGCTCACGGCGCTCAGGGGGCCCGGCGTAGCAGCGTCGACCATGACGGTGACCAAATCCGTCTGATCCTCCCTCATCTCGCCCTCGACGCCGAGCTTCTCCCTCTCGGCGACGTACCTCTCCCGGAAGGTGGCCGTCTGCATGACAAGCCACCGCAGCTTCCAGCCCCCCGGTCCCAGCTCCTTGACGCGCGCGGCCTTGGTCTTTGTCACGTAGGCGTCGATGCCGCCTTCCTTGCGGATCGTGCGCAGGACGCGGGTGGTGAGGCGAGTGCGGACCCAGGCCCCCAAGGACTCGGACCAGAGGCGCTTGCGGTGGACGTTGGGGCGCCAGGTGCGCGGGGTGACTTGGTGGTGTTTCGGGGAGACGTTGTGGCCGTGGCGGATGCGGGAGGTGCCGTAGAGGCCGTGGTTTGATTGTTTGTAGAGGAGGCGGGGGCCGTGGGGGTAGGGGGGTACGGCGGAGGTTGGGATCTTTTGGAGGGAGATTGTTTTTGTGGCGAGGGGGGCGGAGGTTGAGAAGGCGCGGGTTGCGGTGGTGGGAGTGGTGGTGAGGGTGAGGTTTTGGAGGGAGGTGAGGAGGGAGGGCCGGGGCCGAAGGGTTGTGAAGCTCATTGTGGGCGTTGTTCGTATCCGCGGTATCGGGGATGGTGGTTTTGGATAGCGGTAGTGGTTGTCGACGGGACGAAGGGTGGTGCGCGCCGCGGCGTTCTTTCGTCGTTCGTCGTTTGGTCGTCGGCGCACCGTTGAGGTCGATTGTCGTGAGAGCTTGGGGATGATTTTTTGGGCCAATGGTCAGAGATCGGAGCTTCGATATCGGGCGGTGGATGTTCCGCTCTCCGGGAATTGGTAGTTTTGATAGGGTGGCCTGGGAATGAGTGGAGTTGTCGTTGGTGGAGTCAATTGAGCCGCGTCAGGTGACTGCGCGCTGCTTTCGTGACAGGGGTCCGTGGTCTGCTCCCGAGTGCCTTTCGGTCGACCCCTCTACACCGACTCACCGAGACAGGAGGGAAAGTTGAGAAGCTCGAGGATCAACTTGCGCCGTGACATGCTGCTGTGCAGATACTCGCCATACAGACCGCACATTCTACTTAGCCACGATCATTGACGCAGACCTCGCAAGAGACCCTGTCAAAAGCGTCAAATCTGCTGACAACACAGAGGGCTACGTTCACCATGTTACCGCCGGTCGAGGCCTCGGTCCTGCAAAACAACCCCGAGTTCGCGGCGCTGCATCACACCCTCACAACGGCAATCCTCAACCCAGACGGTTCCACAAGAAAGCCGGCGACCAAAGAGCACGATGCGATACAGAATGTTCGTCTCCTATCGATTATCATTCCCAGACTCCCAACTCTGAACCAGATCTGAACTTGGCCCTGAGCTAACCACCACCTCCTCCAGGAACTCGCAGACCACAGATTCACAGCAGCAAAAGAACACCTCCTCATAAGCGCAATCTCCAACACCGCACCCCCCGAACCAAAATCCGCACCCCCTCGAACAATCTCCCGCACGAACTCTTCTTCACAACCACAACCATCCTCCAGCGGCAACAGCACAACACAACAACAACCCCTCCCCGAACCCCTCCTCGACCTCCTCCTCCTCCTCCCACCCCTCCTAACCTCCCCCTCCCCCCTATCCCTCGACTCCGCCACAATCCTCCTCTCCAACCCCCCCTTCACAGACTTCCAATCCCTCCTCCCCCCACTCGGCGACCTCCTCTCCTCAACCCTCCACACCTCCGCCGTCTCCCTAGCCCGCATCGCCAACCCGACAACAAACCCCTCCTTCCTCCACCGCGCCGTCCCAGGCCTGCAAACAACCTACCACAAACTCGCCTCCGACGTATCCCAATCGAAACTCGCGCTCGCCCGAGAACGCCTCCGCGCAGCAGACACCCTGACCCAATGCCTAGACGAGCACGCCGCGGCGCTGACTCTCCTGGTTAGAAGCCTCGAGGCCAAACACGGCGTCGTGGCACGCAGCCTCGAGTTCCGCGCTGCGGAGACGGGGCTGGAGGCGCAGAGGGCCGAGGCGGATGCCGTGGCTGCGAGGGAGGGGGTGAGGAGGGAGGTGTATTCGCCCGAGATGGTGGCTGCGCTGACGAATTATTCTGCGCATTTGAGGGATGCGAGGATGAGGCTTGAGGGGACTTTGATGACGCTGCGGGCTGAGTTGGAGGGGTACGGGGTCGGGGTTGAGGGGGAGGAGGGGAAGGCGAGGACGATGAGGGAGATGGCGAGGAAGAAGAGGCAGATGGAAAGGGAGTTGGAGGATGCGAGTCGGGATCTGGCAAGGTTGGATAGGGCGTGATGAAGTGTCGAGCATCAAGTGTCGATGGGTGCGAAGAATTCGTTCATGGCAAGCAAGCAAGCGATTGGACATGTTTACATTGAAAGACGTGTCGCTATATTGTACACAGCTGGAATGCATGTGTGGTCTACCAAGGGGTGCCAAACGTTCTATGTCCACCGGCCATTCTAACCTTGGCTGCGCAAAAGAGAAGACCTCTCCCTCTTTGGTTGTACAAAACCCCCCTTTTTATAGAAAACCAACTACCCTTTCAACAGAACCTCGTGATATCTCTTGGAGAAATGCAAGCTGGCTCAGAGCACCTTTAGACTGAGACTCGCGTTGGGACAAATCACAAAAACATCCACAATGGCAAAGATTTAACCCTTGACCTTGTAGATGGACTCGGCGAGGCGGCCGACGTTGCCGCTGGTAATACCGGCGACGGAGATACGGCCGTCCTTGGTGGCGTAGACGGAGTGGTCGTTGGCAAGGGCGTCCATCTGCTCCTTGGTCAGGCCAGTGTAGGCGAACATGCCGATCTGGCTGGTGATGTGGGACCAGTCGTGGGCGGAGCCGAGCTTCTCGAGGTTCTCCTTGAGGAGGGCGCGCATGGTGATGATGCGGTCAGCCATACCCTTGACCTCGCCGAGCCACTGCTGGTTCAGGGCGGCGTCGTTGAGGATGGTGGAGGCGATGCGGGCACCGTGGACGGGGGGGTTGGAGTACAGAGGGCGGACAAGAATTTTGACCTGGGAGTCAATGCGCTTGCGCTCCTCGGCGTCCTTGGCGACGATGGAGAAGGCTCCGACACGCTCGCCGTAGAGACCCATGTTCTTGGCGAAGGACTGGGCGAGGCAGATGTTGTGGCCCTCCTTGACGAAGTGGCGGACGGCAAAGGCGTCGGTGTCGGTGTTACCCGAGGCGAAGCCCTGGTAGGCCATGTCGAAGAAGGAGTAGTGGCCCTGGGCCTTGACGACGTCGGAGATCTCGCGCCACTGCTCGGGGGTAGGGTCGACACCGGTGGGGTTGTGGGCGCAGGCGTGGAAGAGGAAGATGGAGCCCTTGGGAGCGGCCTTGATGTCGGCGACCATGCCCTCAAAGTCGAGGCCGATGGTCTTGGGGTCGTAGTAGCGGTACTTGTTGACGGTGAGGCCAGAGTCGTTGAAGACGGCGCCGTGGTTGGCCCATGAAGGGGTGGGGATGTAGATGTTCTTGGCGCCGGGGAAGAAGCGGGCGAGGAAGGCGCCTCCGATGCGCAGAGCGCCGGTGCCGGAGATGGACTGGGTGATGGCGAGGCGGTCAAGGGCCGAGGAGTCGGCGCCGTAGGCGAGGACGGCGGCGGACTTGGTGAACTCGGGGACACCGGTGATGCCGGCGTACTCCTTGTTCAGCTTGGCGGCGATGACCTTCTCCTCGGCGGCGCGGACGGAGGGGAGGACGTAGGGCTTGCCCTGGTCGTCGCGGTAGGCACCGACACCTGTTGTTTGTCTGCGTCAATGGGCATGTTCATTGCGGTGATGATAGACGTTGTGTGCTTGTAATTGACAGCTGACGGCCGGCTAGCGTTGTAGCTAGTAAGCTTGTGACAGCTCTAGCTAGGGTGGTGGTTGTGGTTGTCAAAGTGGCTTGGCGGGGGGCTTTGCGTACCGAGGTTGATCTTCTGCTCAAACTTGTCGGCCTTGAAGGCTTCCGTGATACCTGTTCGCCTATTGTCAGTCATGGAGTTGAGTCAACCGGCGAAGCTCGAGGGAGCTCCACCTGAGCAGGTGCGTCATACCGAGAATGGCCTGTCCGTTGCGAAAAAGTGGCCAGTTAGCAAAACAGTTCGTCGTGGTGATTGTCGGGATTCTGTCAATCGGCGCAACAAGCACTTACATCCTGCAGTATTCGTTAGCATTCGTGGCGCATTCAATTGGCATCTGGAGTGTTTGAGACATACAGGAGGACCTTGAGGGACGTTGGCCCAGGTAGAACCGGCTCTCGCGGCCGTGATGGGCAGAGCGCCCATGCGGCGGGCGGCAGCTTGCCGGGTTGCGATTCTGGTGGAGGACAGCATCTTGATTGTCTTTCTCTTTCGGGGATGGGAGGAAAAAGAGATGTGAATGGAAGAAGAAGAGGAGGAAGAAGAGAGATGTGGTTGAGAGGGGAAGGAAGAGAAGGAGAAAAGACGTAGCTTTCGCTGTTGGCCGGCAGAAAAAAAAAGGATCCCGGTGAGGTAAGGACAATCCGTAATAACTTAAGGTGCCGTCTCCAAAGATTCCGAGACAGCGAAGTGCCGACGGGAAAGAGCTGCTGTTTGCTGGCTGCTGGCTGTTGGCTGCTGCAGACGGGGTGGTCTAACCAAGGAATGGGCTGACTTGTGACTGTACCAGGTGCGCCTTGCCCGCCGTTTCTGCCATTTGGGGGCATTCATGTGCTGGGGTGCTTGGCGACCAGCCCTGAATTCAATCCAGTCACATCCCAGAACTGCTCCCAGGTGAGCCTGCACTGAGCAGAGAGAGGGGGGTGTGGCCCCCCGGTGCGGTGCGACTCCGGACCTGGAGAAGGAGAAGAGGAGCATCGTAAGTGGACCGAGTCATGAGAGGACCCACCTGCATCGTGCAATCGCGGGGGAGCGGATTTACTGTATCGCCGCTACCCGCCACGGGGGAGGAATCCCGACGCGCCTTCCACGCCCTTCACGCCCACGATGCGTCGATGCCCCTTCCCCGGCCCGCTGTTTTTTGACTGGAGCGCATGCGCGCAACTTACGTAGCAACTGAACCCGTCCCTGGTCCTTCCGGCTTCGGATGTCGCCGCGGTTGACCGTTCTCAGCTCACTTCTTCTTCCGCTCGACTCAAGCAGGAGCTTCTGCTTCGTCATTCCAGGGTCAACTATCTGTCTCGGGCGGTGTGTCTCTCTTTACCTTTTGGTCTTCCTCTTTTGCTGGCTGACGCGCGCTACTTACTTCTATTCGCTCGCTTCAAAGGAGTTTCACCTGTCTTGGGGTTTGTTGTTTCTTTTCGCTCATGCTTCCATTCTTTCTGCCTCTTTGGAGTCTTTGACACTGCTGGAAACGATCCTGCCTGGCACGTGTCTGATGCCGTGTTCTCAAGCTTGGGCGGTTAAAATTTCCCTTTTCGGCCTTCGCTCATCAATCTAAGCGACATCGTATTAATATTAGCACTTCCTAAAAATTCTGAAGAAGCAAGCATCGCCATCAACTGCTAGAGCTGTCAAAGCACTCTTCCTCCATTGACCACTGCAAGGGATGCCATCTGTGACTTTCCGTCTTTTCCCCGGACTAAGGGAACCGTCCAATGCATCTCTGCTGCGGACGAACGGCCCCTGGGATGATGGTTCGTGGCTGCATCAAGGTCCGTGCTTGCACGCCGTTGTCCAAATTAGCTTTTGCTTCGCTTGTGTTCAAGATCATTCGAGATCGCCACGAACCTGAAGAGCCTCATTGCTTCCTTCATCTGACTTCGTAGCTTCTCTTTTGATCCCAAGTCTCGAATATGTTCTTTTGTTATATTCAATACTCGCACGATGGCGACATGGGAGAAGCTATGTCATTCACTGAGATTTCCAAGCTGAAAAACC